CGATTACCTACGAAATAGGTACTACGATGTACTTACCACCATCCATCCCATTCAAACGCATAATCTTCATCAAACCATCAATTTCCATATACGAAGCTTGTCTTTCGTTACATGGATCATATACATACATACATACATACATCCATCCATACATTCATACCTACTATGTACATCTCCCTCCTCCCATCCATTCCATCTCTCCATCAAAACACTCCAGTTACCTAACCTAGTTCAAGTACTAGTTCAAATAGGTATATACATATACTCTCGAGACACTCTCACACTTTCACACTTTCACACTTTATAAACCTTTTTCCAGCCGTCCGACACATACCCATCCCTCCCGCATTTCTATTTATTCCTATTTATTCCTATTTATTCCTCCGGAGTGTTTAGTACGTACATACTAAGTATTAGGTTAACTTACCAACCGTGCGAAGGTCATTCATGGATTTAGTACATATCGTAGATACCGGTACTGTAATAGTGAGAATGGCCCGGGGATCTTTTAATTACCTACTTAGGTAGCGAGTTGCAGGGAGGAGTGGAAGGGAGGGAGGGGTCTTTCGGTTCTGATCTGATGGATGGATGGATGGTGGATGGGATTCTTTTATCGCTATTATCGCTATCATATCATGCTCGTATCATCATCGATAATCGTATCGTCGATAATCGTATCGATGATAATCCGCTCCCGAGTGAGTCTATGTCTGTGATTAATCAATTGATCGATCGATTGAGATAGATGATAGATGATAGATAGACGATATCAGACTGGTAGAAGAAAGAAAAAAAATAATCGACTGTATTATATCTAGATATATCCAAATACCTTGCCTATCTATCTATCTATCTATCTATCTATCTATCCTTCTACTCAACTATCCTTCTATCCATGGATACATAGGGATGAATCCACATCATCGTCAGATAACTCTATGTACCTATGTAATGAATATAAATCTTAATATTTCCTTGTCTTTTCTTTGTCTTTGTGTTAGATACTACTTTTCTATAAATAGGTAAAGTGAGGTAAGATATGTGATTAGGTTACAAATGATATACATCTACCTAGATATCCTATGATTTTCCCATTCTACTCATTTTTATGATGCTATCTAAATACATAGGTTTAGCACATCCCATAAGCTCCCTCTATGAAGATGCAATCGATACCTTTCCGCGCGTTACACAAGACGCACTTGATATAATAACATTAATAACATTACTAGATAGATATGAGATAACATTACAAAATATATAAATCTAAATAAACAATTCTATACCCCCAAAATCCCCCTCTCCAACTCCGAGTCCAACTCCATGCCGATATCTGTATTCATATCTCCCTTCATTTCTCTATATCCCCAAATCTCTCAATCCCAAACACCAGCAAATCATCTACATCTACATCTACATCTATATCTGGGACTCACTCCTAGGTAAATCCATACTTGATGGGATTGAAATTTTAGATTAAGAGTCCTATATATACCCTATATTCTATTCTATTATCCTATTATCCTCTTATTCTACGATCCTTCATATCTATCTAGTATCCATCAATCTAGATGCTTTCTCACAAGTCACAAGTGTAATGAATAATTACATATACCTACCTACATATCGCACAAGGAATTGGGATGTTGGATTTATTTATGTAGGGAGGGAGTTGTGAATTATTTTATTTTGTTGCGTGATTGGAATTGGGATTGGGATTGTAATGAGGGTTCATTTCGTGTTTTTTATGCGATTAATCTGTTCATTTATTGATCTATTGATTAGTCTGTAAGTCTATTACTCAGAATGGGAAAGGAAGGAATAGGTGAGTGACTGAGTGAGTCAGTAGATGTAATAATGGATTGATTGATATTTATATTAAATGATATCACTAGATAGATACCTAACAAATTCATCAGTTGAATACAATACAAGGTTGTCTATCTATTTTATCCATCTCATTCATTTTACCTTGCCTGCCTAGACAGATACTCAATTGTTACTGGATACTCATGTTCGATATTGTTATTACATATATATTCCAATTTTTCTTCCAATCTCAGGAATGCAATACAATGAATTGGGAACACGGGGTAGTATCTATATATATATATGTACGAGAAAACAATGGAAGGGGGAATGTGATGAGATATGAATGTAATGGGATATGGAACTAGAGAATTCTGAGACGGGGCGAGATTGAGAAGGGGGGCAGAACTAGTGTTCTGGGATTTTTGGGGGTTTGATTCTTGAGGTTCGGAGACGATTGAGGAATGTGGGATAGTGGCTTTGGGATCTGGGGTTTGGGAATCGGGGGGGTGTTACGGGGGGTCCTGGGTTGATGAGTAGTTAGGTGAGTAGGTGGTCTTCCTATATATGTTTGTTCTGTTTTATTCTGTTCTGTTTTATTTTATTCCATTTTCTCTCGACGAAGAAGAAAGCGGGAATATCCTCATATTAATAAATATCTATCTATCTACCTATCTATATATATCTTATAGACTATAATAGAAGTCCTCTATACTATCTATCTGTTTATCTTTAGATATCATCTATCTATGTAGCACCCATTACATACCTGGTATCTAAGTATATATACTCATCTTATAAAAACAATTAGATGTGTATATACATCTACGCAGTAGATCTACGAAATGAGAAACGAAAAATGAGAGGGGGAAGAACTCGGATTCTTGATTCCCTCAGAGGAGAGAGAGAGAGAGCTGTGTATTTTCCGTGATTTTTTTTCTTTAAATTTCTTTGCTTGTTTTTTTGTGAGATTTTTCTACAAAGCTGGGGAGGTAGATGAGTATCTTCTGTATAATCTCAGAATGATACAAGACTTGTTTTATAAATTGTCATTATTCCTTTGGTGGAGGGGGGGAATCACTCGAGTAGTATGATGCATATCTTTTCTTTTCTTTTTTTGTCTTGTTCTGTTTTGTTTTATGCTTGAGTATCGTATCAAAGCAAAGCAGATCAGATCAAGATTATTTATCTAGTACCCATCTCCCAGTGTTTTTAAGATGATATATATAGTACCACACCATCTATACGTATCGAGATACGAATTCTCCTTTCCTTCTTTCTTTTCTTGCTTCATTTCTCCCCCATCCATTACTTTCTTCAAAATAGTAGAGAGAATCATAAGATACTGTTACATAAGAACATATTCATCAGATCTCAGATCTTGGATCTACCGCACGATTTATTTCGTCGGATTTTGACTTTAACTTTAACTTTGGTATGCATAGAAAGTTGGAAGTTGGAAATTGGGACTACAAGTGTAGAAGTGATGGATGTGGTTGTAGTTTCTATAGATAGGTTTATATTCAGGTGGTTACTCGCTAGTTGCTAGTTGGTACTGTTTTTCTGGATCTAATCTGTGATATGTATACTGCTATTATTATTTTTATTGCTGTGGGTTTGCGTGTCTACGTTGTCTGGAGTTAATAGTATGTACAGTTGAGATCAAGATGAATCAGGCTCTTGATGGGGAGTTGGAGAGAGATGTATAGTATGCTAGATGCGATAAATCGTTTCTTTCTCGAGAAAAAGATGAAATTTACCCCTTTAAAGTTTCGGGAAACTCGTTTGCTCATTATTTTTGCCTGTTAATGGTCTCTCTCTCTCTATTCATTCTTCATTCTTCATTTTTTATCACTTATGTCCTGATCTCGGACAATCTGCCTCTTCCGATAAAAAGACTATTGCTCGTCAGCTATTATATCGTTCCTACTCTTATGAGGGAAGTGGAAACGCATTAGAGTAAATATACTTCTACCGTCGAGTTCTCTGCCCTCAAGTTTCTTTTCTAGTAATATTTTATTTTTATTTTTATGATTGTTCACGAGATTTCGAGATTTAACATCCCATAATCGTTAAGATTCTGTTGAGTTCTAATATACATCCCTTGAGATAGGAGTAGAAAGAGTGATTTCATCAGAGTTTGATCGTGTGATTTAAGCGAGATTTACACGCAGGTTGCAGCATAGTAGGAGCAGCGGCTTTAAAATCTTTACGAATCAAATATAGCCCTAGCATTCGTTTCTTTATGACTAGCCCCTTTCTGACTCTCAATTAATTCTTAGCAGCGAATCTCTAAAACTCTACTTTCTGGTACGTACAATTCTAAATGATGTTTTCAATCGTCTAGAAGAAGTTTTGTTCAAATCACGCGGGATAGTTGTCGAAGTCGGCTTCGTTTTGATCAAATAAGAGAATAGTTCTTTGATTTTTAGGGGGTTTATCCCAAAGTAGATCATGTTTTTGCCTTGAAGAGCATCTTCATTCAAAGTTTTTTTCCATACATGGCGAATATTATAAATCCTGACCTCCTAGAAGTCGAAGGCCTCCAGTTTCAACATCTTCTCGACGCTTTCTGTGAGACTAGTAAAAAAAAGGGTTCCTAAAGTATTGATGGCGGGGCAGTGGTCATTTCAGTGTTTTCTCGTCTCTTTAGAGACTCAAACTACAACCTACCGTGAACATCCGTGCAGAAACCCGCGTTAAATCTAATGCATAGTCTTGGGAACCAAAGATTATACATTTAGAAAGATCGTAAATATTTATAAATAATTTGTAAGCAGTTCAATCAAATTAAGGCTTTCTATAGACTTTAGGCCTGTATTAAAGACATTGCCCTCCTAACGCACAAATCCTCATAGTAGTTTGTTGTAAGAGTCGCTCCGCTCGTCGGGAAAAGCGACGATTAGACTAAGAATGGGCAGTGGTGGGCTTTTACCCTTAATCAATTTACCATCTGGTACGTAACGCTAACCCTAAACCCTAATTTGGGGTAAATTGTTTTATGCGACTTTCGTGTAAGTTTTGCGTTTAGAACGCCGACGACAGTATCGTAACAACTACTGGTCAGAATCACTTCGGGGCAGTTGCAATCAATTTGATTTGACGTATTCGATCTATTTCAATTGATAAAAGAGTGCATACCAAAGGACCTTTCCCCTTGAAATTTGTTGTGTGTGCGATCCCGACACTATTTATGTACCCCTATGTAGCAACTTGACCTTTAGTGATGGTTTATCCCATAGGATATACGTTTTCTGTTTCCTTGCCCACTGCCTACTCTCCTTGCAAAGCTCTATATCAAAATTCCACAACATCCGTGCAAGAATTGATCGCATTTCAAAACAAGCTAGACTTCAGTTTCTATCATCAGATTCATTCTCTTTTTCATATGTAGTGAGAATGGCGATCGAACTTACTTCTTCCCAAGACAGTTTCTTGGTCCGGTGGAGAAAGGTTGAAACGCAGCTTTGTCATCATGTTTATATTTATCTGGAGGAGGCGTACTCCATCGAGCTGGATCGAATGTATCTGGATCGGCGAAGTTTTGTGCCGCATGATGTGCTGCCCAATGATTCACACCAACAGATATCTGAGGTGTCTTGTCAGTATAGAGAAGTAGTTACGACTTCAATATGAATGGCACATACGTTACCTGGTATGTAAGTGCCGTTTATAATTTCTCCTTCCGAGCGCGTACGACGAGGGAGCGTAGATGGTGTTGGGGGGTACATCCGTAAGGCTTCTTCGATGATCGTGTTTACATATGGGAGGTCTCTCACAGATACCATGTTAATATCATTGACAGTGTTGAATTTTTTGCGGACTTCGGATGTCGCTGCCGAAAGCACTTTCGGGTGCTTCAACATGTAGTATGTAGCGCCACACAAAGCTGATGCTGTGGTTTCAGAACCAGCCATGATCATAACTGTTGCTGTCCCCTCTATCTCATCGCGATTCATACCATTTTTGTTGTTGCGAAATATCTATTTTTTGATCAGACAAAATTTTCAGGATATGAGATGCTCCTTACATAGCTGATGAAGTCCTTCCGATCTGTGTTCTTCCTTAATCTCGCTTCAAGCTTGTTAATTGTATAGGCCATATGCACTTGCTTTTGTTTTTTAACGCCTGGAACTAGATTAATCAGTAGAGCCAAAATGATTCGAAATAGTGGATATGCCTGCGCAGATTTTATCACAATCACGAACTTCAATCCCACGCGAATCTGTTCTATCCAATAATGATAGCTACCAGATTTCAATGTTCCAAATGCCTCTCCTAAGCACAAGTCTCCGGCAATGTCAAATGTAACAAAGTTATACCAATCACGTAGATCTACATAGCCAGCAGCTGACCCATCTATTTTCTCCTGGAGTTTTGCGATGAGCTGTTCAAAGTATGTTGTCATTAGTGATTCTTGCTCACGCAGCGCCACATCAGAGAATGCGTGCGCTAAAGTGCGCCGCATGCGAGAATGATCTGTGGCATTCGCTACTACATATTATTAGTCTTCTGAGAAATGCATCAGGAATAATAGAATCGGCAAACCTATGATATTGCTCTTGCCAGCATGATCAAGATGCCATTTTTCATCACGTCTAATTTCACGCCGACCCTCATGCGGACCGTAAATATCTGAATGAATCTAGAAGACTAGGTTCTTCTTTATGATAATTGATATGTAAATGGTTGGAATATATCTTACCGCGCCATGACTGTGCTGTGTCAAAAGATAGTGCTTCTGGAGTAATCCGTACAATATCTCCGTATCTGTCGTGGAGATTCTTTATCTCTTCAACAGCCGTACCACGCGCCAAACTCAACAAGTCTGGAAAATAAAAGGCAGCACGAAGCCTTGGTCCGCAGAATTTGGCGAGTGAGTGCAGAGTAACATTGTAAGCTGCGCGGAGAATCGAGAATATGATGTACTAAGATATACCAGGGTTAATACAAGTGTTGGAATCGCTGCTGGCATCTTACATCTGGGACAAACCATAGTAGTGAACTACCAATAGACGTGTTATGCCAAATCCGAACCGCTATACGGGTACATAATCCGATGCTAATACTTAAATTAGGTCAGTGTTGTAATTAGTATCTTCCGTATTTCAATTACGCCCCACTTTAGTGATATATATCAATATTTATGAAAATATTCCAGTAATTATTATTAAATTCCATATCACTGACAATATACTGAAATACGAGAATTTACATATTTCGAATGATCTCTTTCTTTATTAGGCCTAAATTCATTCAAAATATGCAATATTCATATTGAAATATGTAAACTCCCGTATTTCAGTATATTGTTAGTATAGTGTTGGTATCAACTTGGTTGATAAGTGTTAAGTACTTAGATCTATGTGGTTGTATTCGTTCTTCATCATTATTATCTATGGGAAGCTAGTACTTAATATAGGGTAGCGCTAGCGCGACGCTAGCTAATACAGTGCCCTCTTTGATCACATGATCGATATCCCGACATATAGTTTCCTTCGTATAATACATACGGATGTAGATATCGTTGGCTATTATACGCACTAGCGTACGTATCGTACTCTATATATCAGCCACAGTAATACTACCTAATTACAACACTGGATCAGGTCAAAGGTCCACGAATCCTTTGGAGGCAGGTGAGACGGAAATTTTGATGCGTAGACGGAGCTGTATGAGTGGTAAATTAATCGAGCGGTCTTATCAGACGTCAAGATAGGATCAGTATCAAACATCATCTCATTCGTCTACGGGGATCACATATCTTGAGAACATATTGTTCATGCAGTCATGCATTTATGCAGGGATAGAATGCACTTCTGTAAACAAATGGGATTGAAAGGAATTAAAAGTAGTTCGCGAAATTGATTGATGTATCGCTTGTGATTCTTTAATAAATAACTATATTCGTGCAAAACGACGGAAATAGTGCATGGTATTGATAAAATTATTGGGATACAATCATGTGATCATAAAGGGCGGTGTATTAGCTAGCGAGACGCTAGCGCTTCCTTATTTAATAAGTATTAGCTTTCCATAGGATAATAATAATCAAGAATTAATACAATCATAATAAACCAAGGAACTACAATTAAGTTGATACCAACAAAAATAATCACGCTGATTTGATTGGTTCTAACGAGTAGGAGCTGCTCGAACATCGATTCCTGGATTCTATATTTGAGCAATAAGACGATGTCACACTTTTCTGATCGTTTTGGATGGTTTAAAACGTAGGTGGAAGTGGGGAAATTTGAACTTTCTCGCCGCCAGGATGGAAGAAAAACGCGAAACCGACAATTCGCTCCTTTCCAAATTCTATATCAAATCATTCTGTCTAATTAAATACTTAGGTAACAATATTGAATTTTTTTTAAAGAATTGGGACTTGGTTTCAATTTTGTTCAATCAAAAATGTGTCCTAAATTGGTATTTGATTCTGGAATAGATGGACTTTCAATCGAGGGGTAGTTTCGGTGAGTTTGGTGCCTCGGGCCTTCCCTCCTGAGAGAGCCGAGAGAGCCGAGAGAGCTTTACTAACATTTGGTCTTACTTTATTTCCCCACTTCCTATACCCACAATTCAATACAACGTCTACGCCGCAGTTAGCGTTTTCTAGTGCATAATTTTGTCAGGCTGCGCTGATAAAGTTGGGCGCGGTTCGGAAATTTAAAAGGCACACCTAGGCTTCAAGAATTAGGTAGTCGGCGCAATTGTAACTTTTATGGAACAGTGCAAAGCTATGTCTTCAATTCTTTCCAAAATTGCACAAGGTCTCGAAGGAGAAATCTTTGAGCTTGATAGTGATGGTTATGAAGCTTCTTTGAAGTCTTATTTCACTCTTCAGGAGGCACAGCTGAAACCATCTTTTATTATCGCCCCTAAACATGCTCAAGATGTCGCCCATGTTCTAAAGTCTCTAAGAACCATAAATTCTGCGACTGATATTGCTACAAAACTGGCTGTTAGAGGAGGCGGTCACAGCCCTTTTGCAGGCAGCGCTAATATTGACAATGGTATCACAATTGACCTGCGAAAAATTGACACCGTTGAAGTGAATGAAAGCAAGGACATTGTCTCAGTCGGAGGAGGTGCTATCTGGGGTCAAGTATATGATAAGCTTGATGCGTTGGGCTTGTCTGTGGTTGGGGGTCATGTCTATGATGTAGGGGTAGGAGGATTTACTCTTGGAGGTGCGTATCGTCGTGCGCTTTGTTTTACTATAAAATACTTGTGTACTAACACAAATTGCAGGAGGCTTTTCTTCTTTTTCGCCAAGACATGGCATGTGTTGTGATATGGTTCAAAATTTCGAGGTGGTTCTTGCAGATGGTCATATCATCAGTGCCAATGCCAATGCAAATTCGGACCTCTGGATTGCACTCAAGGGAGGAAGTAATAACTTTGGAATTGTAACTCGATTTGATATGAGAACGTTTCCGCAAGGCAAACAATGGGCTGGGATAGTCGTATATCCAATCTCCACCTTAGATGAGAACTTCAGGGCACTCAATAGTATGCAAAACGATTGGGACCCTTATGCTTCGATGAAACTGAGTATCACATTTTCACCTCAAACAAAATTCACTATTGCATCAAACTTCGAATACACCAAAGAAGAAAGTGAGCCAGCCGTATTCAAACCTTTCATGGACATCAAGCCTCAATACAGAAATACAATGAAGATCTCGACCCTCGGTGAAACTGCCAGAGACATCCAGAAAATGCAAGCCAAAGGAACTCGTCAGATCTTTGCTACTACATCCTTCCGGTTTTCTGTCGCTCATTTACAGAAAGTATACACCCTCTTCAAAAGTGCGGCTACCTCTGTGGAGAATATCAAAGGTATGCGATGGACGCTGACATACTGGCGTCTCCACGACTCAATTACTGCCAAATCGAGAGCATCTGGAGGCAACTCAACAGGCCTTGATACTTCGCAGGGCTCCATTGTTCTGTGCATATTGACCTACTCGTGGGAAGATAAATCTGACGATGAACGTATGGATGGAACGGCTAGAAGATTTATCGAAGAAGTTGACGAGTCCAGTAAGAGTGCAGGGTTGTTCAATCGCTACAAGTATGTGAATTACTCGGCGGGCTATCAGGATCCAATCAGTGGATATGGCGATGAAATGAAGAGTAATTTGCAAGCAGTGAGCAAGAAGTATGATCCTGAGGGCTTTTTCCAGACTGGTGTCCCAGGTGGCTTCAAGATATTACGTTAGAGAGTGTTGGCAAATAGAACAGGTAGACCCTAGTGGCTATTTCGTTCTTAGTTTTTATTAGTTTTTATTTTAAGAAAGGGCTTATCTTCACTTTGAGTACCTAGCATAATGGATTTTGTCCCTAATTTCGTCATGCGTACCGTAGCTATCCCTTCAACTTTGAGATCCTTTGTACCAAAGCCCAACGTACCTAGTTCCTTAGGGCTTTGGCATAGAACAATGTTCTCTCAACAAAATAAAGAGCTCGTTTTAAGCTTTTACGTTTCATCGAAGCGAAGACGAAAATTGTAGCTCTAAAAAACGATGCGCAAAGTGTTTCAAGTATATCAGAAGCTTTGTGAATAACTCTTATACGTAGAAAAGCTCGAATGGAGGCTTTATCTCGCGTATACTTCAATCAATGTGGTCACAAGCTTAAAATGTGCCGCGAAGTTTGCTATTCTTCTTATTGCTCAAGGCACAAGCTTAGCTGACCAGACGTTAAGTTGGCTTATCATCAATATGAACTGAACGAGATGTAATGCGAACAAAGAAGTCTTTTTTCTAAAACATACCATGAAACCTGCTATCCCAGGGCCAGGTTGGATTCACGGTTAAAGTATCTCACCACCGGAACACCTCAGCAAAGGCATCGATGGACCTAGTCAAGATAGCATTATTTCAATACCCCCAATTGAGGCCTTTTTAAATAACACATACCGTCACATTCCCATTCCAACAAGCTGGCAATCCTTATATTGAAAATTATGCCGTTATTTGGGAAAAGTGAGAGGAAAAACGTGTGTACAAAAGAGAATAGACTTAAAAGGATCTCATATAAAGTATGATACCTTGAATATTGATGCCTTTCTTCCAATAATAATTTCAGTAATAAGATTCATTTTGGGGTACATGTTACTACAATTGCTTTTTTTGCCTTCGAATAAGGAGCGGCGACAGTGTGTATCGCATCTTTCGTTGAATTATATAGATAGCTTCTATGAGATGAAAAGCTAACTTCTGTTGTACTACTTACTATACTTCTTCTCGTCCTAGTTCATTAGATAAGTCGACTTAATCATGCAGTCTCACATACCAATATTTAGTGATTGATTATGACATTACGGGAGTTGACGTTGTAGATGGCAAGATCGACACAATTTCAGCTGCCACATCGAAAGCTTGATGCACGTATGTCTCAGATTTATCGCGTCATGTATGTCTCACAGCAAGTGTTGAGCTTCTTGAAAAAAGGTATATAATGCCATCTTTCCCAAAGATTAGCATGCTCATTCAGACTCATCTCACTCAATCACAAACTCAACTAGCAAAATTTCCAATTTTTTCCAGTCAAATATGTAGGTCCACAGCCTACGCTTCCTCTCCCCAGCAAAATCGCAACTCATAATTGTCTAGTATAAATTCTTCGACCGCAATCATGAGTGGAAAAGATAGCTCTGTCGTTATCCACATAAAGAATACCATGATGGGAGGATTACTCGAAATCAAGAATGCAGAGCTAAAAGAGTAATTTCCCTCTTTTCTTTGTACATATTGTATCTTAAGATTCAGCATTATGGATTGCAGTCATACCATGAAATATCTAGTCTCTTGTGTCTTGTCCGCGAGTTTGGAGATGCTTCACTATATTTCCCCTTCCACTAACATTCATTCCACAGAGGCAAATTCCACGAAGATGGCAATAAAGACGTTGAGATCTCCGCAGCCGATATAAGCAAAAAGATCGCTACACCACACACTGCGATCGATATTTGCGCTTCTGCCAGCTCTGCCGGAAAGGTTAGTAGATTATTCCTAAACTTTGGAGCAATTCACGCCCAGCTTTGCTTCATAATTCACAAATTCATTACAATTTATCGTCAAAAGCATTTATCCAGATTTTAATCACATGCAAAACACCTCACCACCTTTCAAGATGTATTTTTGTGGCGCGATACTGACTTTTTGATTCACAACCGCAGGGGCTTGAAGGTAGCATTGAACTCTATGATAGCGGAACGAAGATCTGTAAATTTACCTGGAAGGATCCAGCCAGCGGAGACAATGATTTCCGAGTTTCAGACTTTCAGCTTGGCGGCCCATATCTTGCAATTCCCCAGGGCTGGAATCGCAGTGGAAGTTTGGGAAGAGTGACTGTCGACGTCATGAAGAGAGAATAGTAAATCTATGACAGGTAGGGGTTTTTCTCACATATGAAATTGATCTATCTATTGCTATATTAAGATTAGTAAAATTTTCCAAGATTTGTAACATAATGCTTGTGACAATCATGACTGGACAGAGTCGGGATACTCCTCAGTTTCATACCCCATAGAGGTCAAAAGCCTATCCAGAGGTTTCCTCGTCTCTTTAGAGGCGAGGACTGTATTCTATTTTGAATATTTGAATAGGGGCTTGCATGAAGCTTAACATATAATCTTCAAGAATAGATACTTCGATTATTTTGGAAGATTATATATAATGAAAGGTATTCGATATTTATGATTAATTTGTAATTACTTCTGATTATTCTAAGTATACTCAAACTTTCTAGAAGCTTATGGCCTATAATATAGGTATTATTCATCCTAACGTATGGACCTTTATAATAGTTCACTATAAAAGTCGCATCACTTTATCGAAATTGCGACGATTAGACTGAGAGTATCAAATACCTCAGATACGGTAAAGATACTCAGCCCGAGGGAAAATAATGTTTTCCATGTCATTCACCTATTTCTACTCGAAACCCACTGGTTTCCTCTTCAACACAATTTCCCCATCCAAAACTTTGCAAGGCCAATCCATCGTCCACCGAAACTTTTCCAACATTAATCCCCTCATACCTCTCACATCATTCTCCACAACTTCATATTCCCCTCCGCCATTAACCCACCACGCATACTCCAATCCCTTCAATAAAACCAACACTCTCGCCCATAACGCCATTGCCAAAGGGTCATGATGTTCAAGTAATACACGAAAACCCAACTGACATCTAGCCGGCATTACCGTAATCATACGTCTTAGGATCTGCGCACTCGTACCGGAGAAAAATGCTCGGTAGTGGAATAGTACTGATTCTTTCGCTTCAAGATAGACACTTTGAATAGTTTCAAACTCCGTGGACATGGAAGATGCATTTATTAAGTAATCAAGATCTTCTTTTATTCTGCTCATTTGGAGTTTTGCATTTCCAGATAGCTCATCCTGCGATAACACGCTAGGCAAGCTTTCAAATTTATACGAAGCATATCCCAATCAATTTAGCAATCTTCTTCTTTTGGTTAAAAACTACATTCGCACCCTCCAACATCCTGATCGCTTGAACCGGTATCTTATACTCTTCATTTCCAAGTTTATGTCGCGAAAGCAACCAATAAACATGATACAGCAAAATCGCCGAAAGCCAAAGCTGTTCTGAGAGTTCTTCGCCTTCTGAAAGAGCTTGGCGATGATTTACAAGTGTACGATCGAGATAGCGTCTTAATACAATGCTTATAAGAGAATCCTGGGGCGTATGTGTATGCAGATGTAGCGCCGGAAGCGCGAGCATGGGATTGAGCACGATTTCAGAATCGAAAGAGAGCTGCGGAATGGTGTGTTTCCATGCGCATGCTGGAGCGCCTTGGCAGACGGGCATGAGGTGACTGACTATTGTACTGTAATGGTACATTAAGCGGAGTTCGAGAGATCGCCATTGGCTTGTGGTATCTGCTAGGGTGTTTGGGCATGTTTCGAGGCTAGAGTTGGGTACATGTATAATGGGCGTTGGAAAACGCTGCACTGCTGATTTTTGGGATTTTCGGGAGCCCGTACTCCAATCACATTGGGAAATGTTGATATATCGTCGTCGACAGTTGGAACAGACGGGCTTTATTTCATCGCACTAGAATAATTTAAGCAAAAATTGTAACATTGGATTCATTACATTACCTTCACTTTACGAACTCTACAGTCACGACACCCAGAGTGAGATTTCTTTAGCAAAGGGACGCCGGGTTGCCGAAGAACAGGAGTATTAACAGATTCCATCAAAGCTATGAATTGGAGTCGCTATCTATCGATTGCTCCCCAAATTTACTAGAAACCGAAGATACGAAGATGCGAAGATGCCAGCTTCCGATTCCTTATTGTGGTGAAGATGGATTGGTAAGTAGACTGGCTGATCCACTTTCGTGATATGTAAGCAGTAAATGACCGGGTGTGGTTCCAAACAGCCAATCATGTTTGAAAGCGAACAAGCGAGTAGTCTCCCACTAGGCCATTTCTGGAATTAGAACACCAACTCAGAGTTTGAAGAGAGACACAGCCTAGAGAGCATGATTTTTCTAATTACTTCAATGCCTATAAAAGCACGAAAAGTATCTGCAATTTTGAACGCCATCACCAAATTCCATAAACTTCCTTCAAAACAATCGTTTCAAAAACTTATCTTTCAATCACCACACACCTCAAACACAATGTCCAAAACCCTCGCAGTCTTTGGAGCCACCGGCCAACAAGGAAGCTCCGTCATTCACCACGTACTAAACGACGCATCCCTATCCCAACAATACACCATCCAGTGTAGGCAATAGTATACTACAGTGAAACTGTGGCGCGTATTAGCATATTGATATTGCAGCTAATACGTATAGAAAGGAGGTTATACCACTCTCGTACATATTTATATGTTTAAAGAATACTAGCAATATACTGAAATACTGGAATCCAATATAAAAATCCACATTCCTATCCAAATTAGGCTAGAAACAATGGATTTCATATCAATTCGAATAAGGAATGGAATTTTATTATCTAATATGAATAGGAATCTCTTATTTCTAGTCTAATTTGGATAGGAATGTATATTTGATATTGGATTCCAGTATTTCAGTATATTGCTAATAGTATTGAATAACTAAATGATATTGAATACTTTCAGTGGTATTGAATTCTGTACCACATACGTACGTATTTCGAAAAAAATCGATACATACCACTAAACTAACCCGTATAGGGAAATACTATTGCCTACACTGACACCATCCGCGGCATAACCCGCGACACCACCTCTCCCGCATCCCAGAAGCTCGCCGAGAAAATCTCCCTCATCCAGGGCGACATCAGCGATCCGCACTCGCTCCGCACAGCACTAACAAACGTACATACCGTCTTCATAATGACCATTCCAAATTTCAGTCCCAACGCAGTAGAGATCGAATACCACAGTGGTAAAACCATCGTAGACATCGCTATCGAGATGGGAGTGCAATATATAATCTTCAACACCCTCCCACACGTAACTGCGCTCTCTCACGGTAAATACACCCACGTCACCGCTTTCGATGCAAAAGCCCAGATCGAGCAGTATATCCGGAGACGTGCGATCAAAAGTTCCTTCATCTCACTCGGTTTCTTTATTCAGAATTTTCCAACGCAGGACTTTCTGGTTCCGCGAAAGACGGCGAATGGATCATGGGTGGTGTCTCGATATGCGAGTGTGAAAATGCAGTTTCCGTTACTCGATGCGGTAGTTGATGCGGAGAAATTCGTGGCTGCGATTCTCGCGGAGCCGGATAAGTATCAGGGAAACACTTTCTGTGCCGCGGCGAAGATTAACTCAATGGATGAGATTGTCGCTGCGCTGTCGAAATCGAGTGGAAAAAATATCGTTTGTGAACAAGTCAGCGAGGAGACTTTCAAGAGCGGTTTGCCTTTTGCGGCGGAGATGTTTGCCGATTATTATAGCTTCTGTGAGGAATTTGGATATTGGAGTCCGGGATCTGAGGAGAAGGTTGCGTGGGCAGTAGAAAATGCGCGCGGGAAATTGGCGACGTTGGAGGAGTTTTTGGAAGCGCACCCTTATCAGCTTGAATGATTGACACTTGATAGCTCCCGGTTCTATATCATATTTGGCCTATTGTTTCCAGGAGCACCCATGGTAATGGTAGTGATTAAATTTAATAAAGGTTTCTAGAAATCTATTTATCTATTCCTTAGCGATGAGGAAGGCTGCGTCGTATTCGCAGCTGTGAGAATCGCATCTTCTTCTAATAATATTCACCATCATTCTCATCCTCCAAACTCTCAAACTCACACTCTAAATAGAACATAACTATCGACTTTCCTTCTCCCTCGCGTATACGCATCATATCACCTCGCTCTCTTCCCCAAACCATCCCTCAATAACACTATCACATCAAACAACACAAAAAGACACCTTTCATCCAACCACTTATATGCCAAATCAACCATCAAAACCATCAGACACATAGAAGAGAATATCTTCATCCACCCACATACTCCAATCGTCGACTTTCGATGTAAATCACAGTATCTCGCGTAACGAAGTTTTATCGCTCAAGCTTCCGCTTTTTATATCTACCAGAAAGATCCCTAAGACATTTCACGTTTTGCACACTTACAGCAAAACATCAATATTTGACAATTCCATCTCGCAACTTTAGAACAATTTCAGAAACACGTTCCAGATATACAACACATCCACAGCAAACATCTGACCGCAAGAGCCCAAAACTTTCCACGCGAGCATTCGTCGTCTGAAGGCCACGAACAATGAATCCAATCATCCAATCCAATCCATTGCGTTAGGCCATTCTCCAGAATCTCAACATCAGCCATGACCTCCAAGCCCGTCCGTTTCCCAGAATCTTATCTTCCAGCACTGTCAATAATCTCCACACATCATGCTCTACTTATCGAACGGTAAACCGACGAATATGATTATACTCCCGGCAAAGGTTTTTTCTCTTTTCTCCCAAGTCCTCAGAGATTGCAGGCTGGTAAGCAATAATCAACCAACAAGATCACAGAGAAGAGTATCGATATCATCAAATCTCTTCTTTCCTTTCCTTTCCTTTCCACTCCACAAGCGAAAAGGAATACAAACTTCACCTTCTCCAGAGAAATTTCCCATTCAGCAACCCACATACATGTATCCTCCTCTATTCCCCTATCCTCCATTTCCCAATCCACCATTCTTCTCAACCCCCTCACAACTTCCTCACCCTCCACCTCCCTATCAAAACCCAAGATCCAAAACCCAAAATTCAAAACCCAAACCTCGCTTAAGTATATATCAATCCCCAACACCAACACCAACACCACAATCAAGATTCGAATATCTTTTCTTTCCACTCCATTCCATTCCATTCCCACAATATAATCTACGAACCAGATATCCTGCTCATCTTACACTTATATATAATATCTCCCTACACCAGTAGGTAAACAACCACTAACTTCCCCTTTCTATTCCATTCTCGCTAAATTTTAAATGCGCTATGAGCCTATTTATTCTTCTCTTTTCTCCCATCCCATCCCATCCCATCCCATCCCATCCCATCCCATCCCATCCCATCCCATCCTATCCCATCCCAACACAATACAATTACAATACAATACAACACAACACAACACAACACCATTCATTCACTCTAATCTCAATCTCAATCTCAAACCCAATTATGTTAATTTGATTGTATTTTGATTCGCTCGCTAGGTACTCTACAGTACATCCACATACTTATTCTCCACCCCTCCCCATATTCCATTCCATTCCATTCCATTCCATCCCATTCTTTCCACCCCCCCTTTCAAATCGCCTCCCCCCTTTCCCAACTCCCCACTCCCCATCTATCAATCGATCGATCAGTCACCATACCATAGCCACACAAATCATTCGTACAAATACCTCCATCTTTCTCTCCCTATTCCCTGTTCAACTTCTCCTCTTCATCCTACACTATCCATCCATTCATCCCATCACAATCACAATCATAAAAGCCGTTAATTCTTCCATCCCATCCATTTCTTCTGCAAGAAAGGCCCAGCCAAAAACAAAAACCAAAACCAGGCCCTATCCCATCTATATGAATTTCATGTCACAAAGACTGAACAAACAGAGATCTATGATCATTTCATTTTCGCCCATCCCAACCAAAAAAGAAAAAAAGTAGACAAATGCAAACCACCCCACCCTACCTCCAAAAAAATAAAGCACCCAACCAAACCCCAACCCATCCCACCCAATGCCCCTATAAAATAGTGAAAGATAAGAAAAAAATTGACGATGCGATATTTTCGCCAGTTACTATATCTTCTCATCTGTGGTGAATAGGAGAGGTTGTCGTATTCTGCTCGACAAAGGAAACTCGTTGATTAATACTTTTTAGTCGCAGTATATCGGGAATGTTCATGATCCCGAAAGAATTCAAAGCGCTAAGTTCAGGTGATTTTGTTTCACATAATCCAACGGAAGAAATAGAAGAAGAAAAAGTCCATCCTATGTGCGTAACGCGAAGAAAGCAAATTATTGATCGCCTGTGCCTGTCATTTAAGCCCCCATGAAAAGCGCCTTCGCTTGAGTTTTGATAATCTGACTGATGATACCGCTCAATTTACATGATTGCAAGCAAAGTATGATAAAGAAAAGAAAATTTTGGTGGTTGGTGCACCACCCGTGCTGTGATTTAGAGTCATTACACTCCTCTAATCGAACAAGTGATGAGTCCCGTCGATGACATGAACATTGTCCGGATCTTGATCAGCAGCATTTGGCTTGACTGTTGCTCGACCCTCAACTCCAATACTCCTAGCTTTTGAGCTGAGTGGAAGTGTGTATTTTAGCGTGCCTCGGACGATCAGGTCGAACTCATGTTGAAGAACTCGCCCCCAACGCTCTGATCCACGTGGCTCCGTCTGATTTCCAGGTTTTAGGATTCGCATCTCCCCTATTGATACAGAGGACGTAGGTTTGAATGGCGACCCTTCAAAGATCAAGGGACTCTCGAAGTTGTAAATATGTCCAATTTCCAAATTCGGATTGGTGTTTGGATCATCATCCATCGGCGGATCATTGATTGGATCATCCCGTCTCTGTTTGAATCCACGCCTCCACAAAAATTTGGTTGGTGGCTGTGCCCACCACTCAGAATCTGTACCTGCATATTTGGACTTTGCAAAAATAACCATATCCATAGAATCAATAGTGACAGCAACCAGGTTTGGATTTTGAGCCGTAACCTGTAAATCTATAATGACATCTTGTTCGCTAGCCAAGATGTTTCTCAAAGCCAATACCTTCACATTGCCCAGGGGCTGGGTTGTCGCAAATAGGAATGCCACAAGACCTGCCGCGACGAGGAGAAGCAGCACGGAAACAAACATGCATCCAGCAAACCGAGCGATGAATGAGCGGTCGTTTCTTTGATGTTCCATGTGTCTTGATGATGGGGCATTTCCACGGCGTATGCGACTTGATCGAGTTGAACGAATGGTAGATGGAATAAGCGGTGTTCTCTCATCGTCCGCAGCATCATCAAGATCGTATCCCGAGCTAATTGGCGAGGTCTTCCTGCCGTTCACGTTACCTCCCATGGACATTCTCGCTGTGTTTACCACTCTCGGACTCGTAGGTCTTGAACCTTGGCGAGTAGGGTTTGCGGCAAATTTGGATTTCGCAGCATTTGGAAAAGGCGATTCGTTATCGAAGAGAGATGCATGGCCGTTTCCCCCATTTCTTCCCCAACGGCTAAAATGATGATGTGCCGTCCCTCGGCCTAAATTACTTCGTGCCGTGCCCTTTCCGTCGTCTTCTGTTGTCATTTCTTGACCCGCGCTATTGTAAGAGTTTGCGAATTTCATACTCTTTTTCATCGCCACACTGTGATTGCTACTATCCATCATTGAGCGTAATCCGTTTCTTGCATCTATTTGACTGGCCATGGATGTAGCACTTGGGGTTCGAGAATGAAATCGACGAGGTCGCTCTTGTTCTGGTGGATTCGATTCGTACACAAAGGTCTCTTCGGAATCGGAGGAATTCGCTTCGTCGACCGCGCTCGCGACTTTAGCTTCGAAGATATCTGCCTTGGAAGAAGCTGGACGTTGTCTGGTTAGCAAAAGGGAAGCACTATACAAATTTAAACTGGGTCTACGAGAAGATCTCTCTGATATCGTCCGCTCGGGACTCGTCGAGTCCATACTTCCTTGACGTGGCGAGGGTCCTTGTCCACACGCCCTGTCTGGAGACCGAGCGGAATATGCACTTGAGATTGATCTTGTAGAATAATGATGAAGTAATCTGGATCTTGAAATTGATTGCTCACCCGTTCCAGAAGTTACCGATGGGGCCTTTCGACTCTTCTTCTTTTCCTTCCGAGGTCGAATGGTCTCAGTACTTTGCTTGGCCCGTAAACTGCCATTAGCCAATCCTCCCGCACCCGTAGCCAGAGCAATTTGTGGGATTGAGCTCACAGTCTCCGTCTCAACTGTCATGTTTTTCGCAGAGCCTTCCCCGGATGGTTTGCCCCGCGCTGCTGTTGGTCCACTAAATGATTTAGGTGGCCCCGTGCGAGTTGCCGTGGGGGTAGTGTTCTTCATCTTGTTGTCCCCCTTCCCACCACTCTCACTCCCACTCTCATTTGTCACAATCGTCGGCTTCTTCAACGTCTCAACCGATGCGCCATCCATCAGATCCTGTTCTGTTGGTAAAGTTGGACTTCCCTGAGTGGTTGTGTCGATTGCGCCATCGAGTTCGAACGATGGAGTGTTGGGTTGGCTGATCTCCTGGACAGTTTCTAACGTTGAACTACCACCACTGACACCTCTCGCAGGTGTTCGCATCCCTGGTGCTAACAGGTTCTCTTCTGATTCGCTATCGGCCGCAGATTTCCCTTCCGCTCTTTGCTCTGCAGTGGGAGAGGTTCTTCGCACATTGATCGCGGGGATTTCTTGTTCCGTCTTTCGAGGCGATAGCAGGCTGCTCTGTCTGGGAGGAGGTGATCTTATTCTCGGGGATACAGGCCAACGTGGACCATCTCTGATTTCACTCGTTACTAGCGGCTTCTGAGGTATTGGTGCTCTAATCGAAGGTTCGGATGCAACGTGATTCAAAGTAGGAAGCTTTTGAGCTGATAAGCCTCGTTGGATCGCCGCAGCAGATGGTGGGTGTTGACTACTCGTTGAGCGTGAAGGACTAATATCTTGGCTATTCTTCCGTGATCTCGAAGGGGTACCTGAGCGAGCGGCAGAGGGATTTCTTAGTTGAGGTCGGACTGGTGACGATTCGCGTGATCCTATTGGGCTGTTGGTTGCAGACGATGCTCGGTTTGTTTGTAATCTCTTAACAGTAGGTTTAGTTGATGTATCGTAGTTCCTCCTAGATGAAGCGAAGGGTTTTGAATCTGAAGTTGGAGATGGAATGTTTGTATCTAATGGTGATGGTGAAGGAGTCTCTCGCATCTCTGCAGGTTTCTGCGTGTATGATTTGTCGTCCATTGTCACTTACTTCTTGATTTTTGGGGGAAGCCGTACGAGTGCAACGTAACGAAAAGTTAAAGAGGGTAGCTTTGGGTAGGTACGACGAGTGAGAAGGTAGTGCGTTATTTTAGAGGGTACTGTACTAAGTAGCGAATGGGGAGGTACCCGAACCCAACTTTTCTTTGCCAGCAAAACTTTAATGATGGAGTAATCTTATGGATGGATGGATGGATGGATGGAAAGAATTTAACGAGCCAAACGATGGATTGAGTTAAAAAAGGTCATATCATCCATTCAAAGAAGATTTCCTGAATACTGGCGGTATCGAATCAAATAAGGAATTCTTGATTGGTTTTGCTTTTTTTTCTTTTTTTCTTTCTCCTCCTTGGTTTTTGGGGAATGGTAAAGAGGGGTCGTTGAGGTCGTTGAGGTCGTGATGAGTGGTGTGTTTGTTGTGTTGTCGTAAATGTTTCAATAAGGCTGTGTGTTTGTGTATGTATGTATATGTTATATGTAATCTAACTTATGTAGGAATAGATAGATGGGATTGGATTGATCGGAAGTGTAAATGGTAAAATGTGATTTGGGGGTTATAATTATGGTTAGAATTTGGCTTGTGTTCTTCGTATGTATGTGTGTATGCGTGTATGCGTGTGTGTAATGTACCCAGCCAGGTAGGATTCTGAACAACAATATGATTTGGTAGGGCAGAGCAAGGCAGACCAGAGCAGGGCAGAGAGACAAGCAAGTTATTGTCTACTAGGTAATTAGGATAAGATGGGAAAACGAGAATCGGTAGAAGAATCTTCCATCTATGAAAGAAGGGAAAGGAAGAAAAGGGAGGGAAAGATAAAAAGATGATTTGGCTTTCTCTTCTTTCTCTTCTGTACGGTCGGAGTAACGTTATAGGATTGATTGATTAATTGATTGATTGATTTTTTTGTTCAAGATCCACCATCTCAATCAAAGCATCCCATTCCATTCGCAATTTACTCATCCCACTCGCATATCTTCTTTCTTTGGACTCGCCCTCTTTTCTCTGCTCCGCTTTCCACCAAAGTCTTCTCGAACTGCGATTTTGAATGGTCTATGTGCATGTCCATGTGAATAATGACAAGTCCTCCTCCGCACCAGTTACCAATAATGTGGATTCAGCCAACGGTTCAATTGAGCGGCACAGGGGAAGTGGCCTGGCACGCCCTGGCGGGCAAAAGACGAGACTCCATCTGACTAAGCTCAACTAGGATTAATGTATGATATTTGAAGAAAAATTCAAACAATCGGAGGTCGAGAAATAAATTCCGAAATTCTAGATGTTGGTCGGCTGTGTTGTATTCTACGATGTACACAGGTTGGTTTTAGTTGTATCACTCCATCAATCCATCAATCCATCAATCCATCAATCCACCAGTCAATCAGTCAATCAATCTCTTGAGAACTTTCATCACCTGGTACGACTCAATGACGATGAGGGTATCATGACTGACTATTATATATGAAACATGATTTAAGCTTCATGAACAATGCTCTACTCTTGTGCTATCTACCCTACCTACCTGCTTAGGGACGGAGGTATCTATCATGATTGCAGATAGCAGATAGCGTCTATCTAGATAAGTACCTAGTACTCACTCGTAGTGTATTGCTAAATTTACTAATAAATCTTGCTCTATTGACATTGATTTTACCGTATTTACATTTTACTCTTCTTCCTGTATCCCATGCTCATTCACATCCTTCCTATATTGTATGTCCAACATCCTCATCCTCATCCTAGGTAATCCTAGATACCACTAAAACCCTCCTAGGTATATTCTAGAAAGAACCTTTCCTTCCTTCACCGATTCATCAACCCTACCACCCTACCACCCTACCACCCTACAACCCTACAACCCTACCATCCCATCCAATTCCAACCTCCATATCCCACCTTTTACCACAAACCATTACATACCACAAGCCATCACCTAGTTCTAGTCCTAGTTCTAGTCCTAGTACCACCCAAAAGCCTCGGGAGTAACTCCCTTCATCCATCTCATCTCGATGGTACCTGAAAACCGATCTTCTCCTCCGAGCCCTCCATTACACATCACACATCACACATCACACATAATAATACATAATACATCATACATCATACATCAGCGATCCCTAACCTCTTCCTGTCTCATCGGAACACACGGGAAATGTGATGAAGAAATAATGTCTACATGAATTGATATGAATTTACATGGATTTCCCCTTGTAAACCCCTACCTAGCTACCTAGTCATACTTATTTACAATTTCACCATCTCATTTCACAACACCATCTTCCCGTATCAGATATCTCTAACCACAAGGCTGCATATGACACCTACCTCTCCCTACCTCTCCCTACCGAGATACTCCTCAAACCCATTCCATTTACCCAACCCGAATCTTCCTAATTAAATAATCAATCCCCCCAATCAATCCCTGCTTTTCCATCTCTTCAAACCATACTCATACTATACCCGAGTCCTAAGTCCTAAATATCAATGACGAAACAATGATGACAACAATAATAATCCCTATCAATCCCAATCAATCCCAATCAAATCCAATCAACCAATCAAATCAAATCAATCCCCCCCATCAGTCAAGTCAAGTCATAACAAAAAATGATGAAAGCGGCTCCTCTCACATGTTCGTTCTCCTCCAGGCTACCTACCTAGCATCTACCTACCCCGGGATCCGGAGACAAACCTCCTAGAAGAAGAAAAAACAACCTCCCATTCATCACATCACATCACATCACATCATCTGAATTGTACCACATACAAGTTACCATATACAACAAACAAACACACAGCCGAGAGATGTCTCAATCCCTCTCTCTCCTCCTCGCCCAATCCCATTTTTGCCCACTTGTTTGATTTATTTTCATACAGGGCTATCTACGATATGTAGGAACTTATGTAGGTACTTGTGTACAGTAATCTTCTTTTCCTTTCATTCCCCTCCAAGACCAACTTACTTATAATTACAGAGGTCAACTGATATACCACAAGTCACCCACTAGTTACCTGTAATCATCACGTAGAGTACCTAGAGCAGATACTTCATAGAAACTTAATACCTACACCATCCTCCATTTTCCCTTCTACACACCCAAATTATCCCTCTCATTTCTAATTGGTTAATTCATAATCCATCTCTTCTACCTACCCACCACCTAGCCCATCCACTTTTTATGCATACCTAGGCTCGCTAGGTACTCCATTCCGTTCCGTAAACACGTTTTTATCCATTTTATTATCTTTTATCCATCGATTTTATGCAGTGGAAAGGGTCTAGAAGGTCTAGATGCTTGGGCGGATGCTTGTGCTAATGCTACTACTGATGAAAAACAGGTTATGAAACGAGTGCCACTGGAAGGCTTGGGTCTTTTGGGTCTTGGCTTGGCTTGGGGTTGGATGGAGGGATGGATGGAAATTCTGGACATGGAGATGGTGTTTTGGATACGTAGGTAAGTAGGTGAATAAATAAGGTCTTCTTTTTGGGGTTCGATGATTGGATTGAGAATGCGATACAGGATAGATACCTACTAGATAGATATAGGTAATCAGGTAGTTTCTACCTCTTGAAGTAGATACTCTGATGATTACCGAGCGAGCCTAGTGTGTATGTATATCTATTGTAGCCGAACTGGAGACGGGAGTATAAAATGTGTAGAGATAGGTGCTGGTACCTAGTCTATAGATATCATATATGTATATATGTACTCAGGTTCGTTCAGTTGGGATTTCGATCCTTTCTTCATCCTATCTGGGTAGTTCTATCTCGCCTCTATCTATCTATCTTTCCATCTCTCCTACAACTAAAATAATCAAATAATTTAGCATCTACCCAATCCCTAGATTTATAACCCAAAAACCATAAATCCCAATTCCCTACAAGGTAGTCTCACAAATCAATACATCAATCAATATATCATCCCAACGATTTGAACGATCTCAAAAAACTCAAATATTGAATCAGTGTTCCCTCACTCACTCTCACTCCCCTCTCTCCTATCTTAGAATTCTAATACATTGGTTTCATTCTTTCATTCACCATATGTATCACATCTATGAATATTTCTGTATATCCATCTGTTATATATCATACTGTTTCGCTATGTACTCCGTATCTATATTGATGTTTGCAAGATAGATAGATTGATAGCTAAATATCAAAAGAATAAAAGAAAATTTTTCAATTCGTTACATACCTAGATAGGCTGATAGATAGCTAGATGGTTAATTAAATAAGAATAATCATATACAAATACAGATTTGAGAATGAGAAAATAAGAATATATTCAATGAGCTGTATCGTAGGGAATGAATGATTATCTAGGTACTTGTATGTTATTATGTATGTAGAGTGTATAATTCTGGATTTGGATTGTATTTGGTATTTGGTATTTGGTATTTGGTATAAGCAACGATGCTTTCGCATCTATATATGATGTAGCTGTATATATTCTAACAACCAATCCTAATCCTCGTATTGAAAATCATATAGAAAAGGAATGGTGTGGTGAATGGTGAACATTTTAATGAGTGATGTGATATGACTATGATGATGATGATGATGATGATGATATGCAGATAATACTTTTAGTATACTCGGGTACGGGTATATTCAATCATGTTTACGAGTAAATACTGACTAATTTACTGATTGGCTAATTACTAAAGAAGAGAAATAAAGACACCAAGAGTGTTCCATAGGTAGGTGGTCAAGGTACCTTTTTCTTTTCTATCAAGTATTGAATTAGATATCAGTTGTAGGTAAAGTTATATCTACTACCCATCTACGGTCCGTTAAACCCATAAAACCCGGTTCCGCGGCTGATGCTGATGCTGATGCTGATGCTGATGCTGATGCTGACTGATGCTTATATCAATGCTGCTCACATCATCCATCCGTACCTCTATCTATCTACCTACCTACCTCCCTCCCTATCATGTATCTACCTACAATCCACCATTCCCATCCATAAACCAGGGAAAATCGCATGGGAAAGGAAAGAATAAACACACCAATCCCTAGTCCCCCTCCCCATCATCATCATCCCGAACCCCCCATAAACATCCCCAGAACACATACACACACACCTGACACAAATCCACCAATTTCCTTGGTTCATGATACAGACTCTCAATCACTCAGTTCAGTTCACTAAAATACTTGGTAAGAAAACTACGCAGTATAGTTGGCTCTGTCTCATAACCCCGTCTGTTCATGCTCTATTTCGCATTTCGCATTTCGCATTTCATTTTGCATTTTGCATTTTGCATTTTGTTTTCTGGTAGGAGGAGAGAGGTTTCTCCACATGTAGATAGTTAACTCTGCGTATTGATTCAGAGTCTGTGGATGATACTGTACTGCACTGCATTGTACCCCCACGCACATCAATGCGCACGTGGCGGGTGGACAGCGCATCGATCATTCTTAAGGTTTTGGGTTTGGGTTTCTTATACTTTGTTTTAGCAGCTGGGTGGAGTGCGTGTTCGTTTTGCTAACTTTGGTATTTACTTACCATTTATTGTTTTTTTTTTTTTTTCTCTGTGGTTGTGCACAGTGGAGTGTGAGTGAGTAAGGATTGCGGTGTGGAGTTTTTGAGTTGGCCGGAGTGGAAGTTTCCGCTGGGGGTTGGGAATATTCTTGAAGCGAGCATTTGAGGGTGTTTGGTCTGGCATGAGCGTGAGGAGGGTTGTGAGAGGGATGTTGAGTGGAGGGTGCATAAATCGAGTGATTTGAGCTGGGAATGGATATCCTTCTACCTATACTTCTTCTTCTTGGAGAATGAGGTGGAAAGAGTTGTAAGGCTGAGAGGTGGAGGGAGTGGGAATTGCGTTTTGGTGGTCTCACTGGTTCGCGAGTGGTTTTTGTTGAAGAGAATCTCATGAATATAGGGTATACGTAGATATGATTGGACGTATCTATAATCGCCGTAGTTTGAGGGAAAATATAATTTATCGTAGTAACCATAAGATATAAAGTCCCTTGAATAATTTCGAGATTCTAGACCTCGAATGGCAGGCAAAGATTAAGATACTTCATCATTTTATCATTGTGGCGTGATTATGCAAAGGTATTCTTACCTACAGATAAACACATACATATATACATATCCATCATTCGTTACTCAAAGTCATCATTGCAGGAATCCATACCACTCTCTAACGTATATCAGATAATACTCCGTCAAATATAGAGTTATATTACGGAGCACTTCATCGTTACGGAGAAGAACCGCGACGATCGAGGTATAACTGGTCAGGTAAAATTGCCAAGCTCTTCTACGTTTTATGTCCGTTTTTGCCGGATTGTGATATTGGGCACTTGTGTAACTCTTGTACATCTTGGGATCTTTACATCCTTTTCACTCAGAGACCGATTGGAGAGAAAGGACGATGATGGGAATTGTATGGTTTCTTCCTTGCAAATACATGTATATTATATACCGACTATTGCATTTGCTTTCATGGTCGAGACAAGTTAAAACTTCATGATGAGTCCTCGTTCTTGATGATAGTAATCATCGTAATTTTCATGAGTCCATCTTAAATTTATACAGCTGGTGGAAGTGACCAACTCTGCTTCAATTTCAACTATGACACCTGCAATTCTTCAATCCTCAGTTTGGTTTTTGTTACTCGCCAGTTGCAACCTTGTAGCTTCTTCTGCTTCGTCACATTCGCGTGGTGAGTCTGTGTTTGCGGAGAGTTATGATTATATCATTGTCGGTGGTGGAACGAGTGGTCTAGTTGTTGCAAATCGATTATCTGAAGATCCTACTAGTTAGTGGTTTTTCCATAAGTATGATTCTAGTATACAATGCTAATTGGTATACAGAAACCGTCTTGGTGATTGAGCATGGACTTATAGATAACAGCTCTCTCACCTTAATCCCAAGACTCGGTCTCCAATATTTCCCTAATAATGTAAAGAATTGGAATTATGTCTCTGCGCCTGTTGAAACACTGTCAAATACAACTTTCAACGTCTACATTGCTGATGTAGTAGGAGGCAGTTCCTTGCACAATGGTATGTTTGCTGATCGAGGATCTATGGCAGACTACGATGCGTGGGGAACTCTCATCGGAGACGATTCATGGAGTTGGGAAGGTCTGTATCCCTATTTCATCAAAAGCACGACTTTCACCCCTCCATCAGAAGAGCTTCAAACACATTTCGATATCAGAAATAACGCTTCTGGGTATGGCAACGGACCTATTCAAATCAGCTATCCTTCTGTCATCTTCCCTGATTACCGAAACCAAACTCTAGCCGCGGAGGATTTTGGAATCGAAATCTCGGATGCACCAGAGTCCGGTGACGCGATTGGTTTCTGCTGGGTTCCTCAGACTCTTGATCCGAAAACGGGGTTTCGCTCGCATTCGCGTGTCGCTTATTATGATCCTATTGTTAGTAGACCCAATCTCCACCTTATCACGGGCCATCTAGTCGAAAAGATTCTCTTCGATGACAATCTCACTGCTACTGGCGTGAAATTCACATCTGTCCAAACAAACCAAACACATATAGTATCAGCAAACAAAGAAGTCATCTTGGCAGCCGGCGCAATCAACACACCCAAGCTTCTACAACTCAGTGGAATTGGTCCCAGAAACGTACTCGAAGCTGCGGGAGTACAAGTTCTTCTCGATGCCCCGGCTGTAGGGGCAAATTTTCAGGATCATCCGGTTACGTATCTCAGCTGGAATGTTACGAATTTGGCGTTTCCAAATGATGCGTCGATTGCGATGAATGCTTCGTATAATGCGAGTGCGTGGCAAGAATATATTACGAATCATACGGTTGGTCTTTCGATTCTATATTTGACGATTATTTGATATCTCACCACGTCATACTGAATGCACCTCAGGGACCATATACTCAAGGCACTTCTCCCGATGCAGCATTTATTCCTCTCTCTCAACTCACATCCCAAAGCCAAGAAATCATCGACCAAGCCCGCGCTCAAAATGTGTCAGGATACCTGCCATCTATCTACCTCAACAACTCGGCGCTTCTCAAAGGGTATCTAGCCCAACGCGATATCATCCTTGATCATTTCTCCCGAACCGACGCAGCAGTGATAGAAATTCCCATTGGCACCACAGGACCGGGTATGTACCCAACCTCTTTCCCCTCCATAAACTTCAGAAATCTCACAACCCCCACTAAACAAAAACCTCACCACCTACTAACCCCACCCCAGGCGCCTGCGCCGTCGAAAAACCTCTCTCCCGAGGAACTATCACACTCTCCCCCTCTTCCCCTCATTCCCAACCAATCATAAACTACCACACCTTCTCCTCCCCCACCGACTCCCTCATCCTCACCTCCTGCATCCGCTACATCCGCTCCTACTACTCCTCTCCCCATCTCTCCTCCTACTCCCCCACCGAAGTTTTCCCCGGTCCCGCTGCTCACACAGATGAAGAGATTCTCGCAGCGCTGATCGGCGCAGGCGCTATCGCGCCGAGTTTTGCGCATCCGTCTGGCACGTGTGCGCTAGGGAAGAGAGAATTGGGAGGCTGTGTGGGAAAGGATTTATTGGTGCATGGGCTGCGGAAGGTGAGTGTCGTGGATGCGAGTGTCATGCCGCTTATTCCGGCGACGCATCTGCAGTTGACGGTTTATGCGGTGGCGGAGAAGGCGGGGGATCTTATTAAGGGGAGGGCGTGATTGAAGTGGGATTTGGGGAATTCGGGTGGTTTGAAGGGGATAGGAGAGGTAGGGGAGTTGAAGTTGAAGTTGTTTTAGGGATCGCGAGAGGTGGGTTCAGAGACGTATAAGATCGTGGAGTAGATGCACTTGTGTGAGCTTGTACTTCGGGGTGTGGATAAGGAGCTATACTTCTTTTTGCAAAAGGCGATGTTGTACTTGATATATATAATCATGTCAGTAGGTATGTAAATAAGTACCCATGAACTTGTAACAAATGCATTTTGCATGAAAGTGATCAATCTCTAATTACATCTCGCTATCTTCTTGAAAGCGATAGGTACATCCACAATCGGAATATGTCTAGACAGAACGCATTCCCAAAAAACAATGAGATATTTTCCAGTTTCATATACACCTGCGAGGTGAACCTCCTTGAACTCCCATATGTGAAGCAGAAATTGAAACGGTGAGAAAGTGCTTTCTGGGACCTTCTCGTTTCAGAAACGCTAGTGGAGAAAACAAATGATCTATACAATTAAACTTGTCTTTTGGGTCTCGTTTTCCCGCTATGCTTGTTATCTTCTCTGGTTGATTTTTTTGTTTAATTACCTACCTTTACGAAGCGTGATCACGAAAAGAAGTTTATTTTCTCAATTCTCTTTTTTCTTCGGCTGTTTCTGAATAAGATAGGTAGATTATTTCTGTATTCTTATATATATGTTTACTACGGTTTGTAGAACTTGCTGGACTTCTCTTTTTGACCTGGTTTACTCTGATAGAATTTGTATCTGCTGGTATCTTTCTGTTGAGTTGAAGTTGATATGGAATGCAATGGAATGGAATGGATGAGAAGTGTTTTCTCTTTTTTTTTTCTTTTTTGATGAGATGAGGTGAAGAAATGAGATTCTGCACGGTCATGGGATTTCTCTAATGCAATAGAATTGTAGAACTGCAGAGATTCTTTGATATTCGAAAAGTATCTTCGAATATGCTAGATATAGTTTTATTGTGGGATGGAAGAACTTGCAAGCAGGAAAATGATATATCTTCATTCAAAGCGGTAACTTAAATCTAGTATTCATAAACCTACCTTTTATTCGTAGCAAGAGAAGACTTTGGTAGTACAAGGAGTTTAATGTTCTTTATTTGACCATTTTTGTGTTTCTAGAAATGTTTCTATTCTAGGTCAATCTGGTGTTCGAATGTTCATTATCTAGTTTACTTTCATGTATCAAATTCTGTTCTAAAGTTTGCCATGAAATGAAGTCACTTGATTTCGGCGTCATTTCCATGCTTACTAACACCAGAAGATTCTCAATCTACGGTGTAGTATGGTTCATCAATGCAAAAAATGGAGGGAGTCTAAGAAAGTTTGGAGCACTTCATCTTTATATAGACTCATTGAGATGGAGGTGGTGATCGTGTCATGGGTATTTATATGTCTGCAAACTCGTGGCTTGAGATTTTCATCTGAGATTTGCGAATTTGCTCCGTGGATTTAAAGTACATCTGATACTTTTTCAACTTAGAATTTCTACTCAGACTTACTTCATCTGAAACACAGGAAACATGTTTTCTTCCGTTTCTTCCGACGACCAAATGGATTATGAGCCCGATGAGAATCTCTCCACGACAATCGTTCCTGAGCATCTAGGAAATGAAGATACCATGATAAAACTCGGATTCATCGACGAATTGAAGAAACTATTTGCGATTAATGAGCTTCTCAATCTTCCCCAGGTATGCCTACCATTTCAAATTCCGAAATTGCATTTCCCGAGTGCAAAACTTCAGAGTTCATGACTGATAAAATACAGCTAGTTGTGATAGGCGACCAAAGTTCTGGAAAGAGCTCTGTTCTCCAAGCTATCACACGACTTTCTTTTCCCGTCGATGACGGTCTCTGTACACGTTTCCCTACCGAAGTTTCTCTACAACGAGCATCGGAAGACGCTCTAGAAGTCAGTATTACGAAAGCAGTTCGTGCATTGGATGCGCCAAATCAAACTACTGTACAGAAAAAGTGGGTTGAGAAGCAATCAGTACGTATCGACGAGTTCAATGGTAAATGGGGAGGAAAGGTTGCGCAAATGAAGGATTTTTGTGATATTATAACAGAGGTAAAGTGTCGTCACTGACCTGAACCATTTTTAGGAAATTTGCGTTAAAGTAGGAATACTAATAGAATGTTAGGCGAAGAGAGTGATCATGGGAGACTCCATCGAGCCTGGACAGTCGGCAAAAAAGGTGAATGTTGCCCAAAGTAAGAAAAACTTGCTGAGTGATGCTACATTGAAGATTGTCAAAAAGGGTCCAGGAGAGATCAATATCACAATTATTGATATTCCCGGATTGGTTTCATGTAAGTCCTTAGACTTACAATATAGTTGATTTAGACCATCTTTCTGACGCCCATTAGCAACTCACCCAGCTCATAAAATGGCCAAAGCATTAGTGGATCACTACATATTGAATCCTCGAAGCATCGTTCTGTAAGCAAACCCAAAAGAAAATCTCTAGAATCTTTTACTTATCACTCACAGAGCGGTTGCCCATCCTGCAAATGTCGAAACTCAAGATATGTTCCAGATTATCAAAAACATTGACAATTGGAAAAATCGAGTGATTGGGGTCATCACAAAGTGTGATAAGATAGAACCAGAGGGCGATGACTGGGTACGCATTAGTCTCTATCGTAATGATCATCGTATAAGAATACTGATATAAAGTGTCTTACAGGTATTCAAAGCAATCAAGAACGACGAGAGCGATTCCGAATTCGATAGATGTCTCAAATACGGCTGGTTTGCATTGCGCAATCTTTCTCCATCAGAAAGAAAATCCAGTGCCAGCAAAGATATCCAAACGATACGAGACCAGAAGGAGGAAAATTTATTCAGTCAAAAGGTCTGGATAGATCTGGAGCGACAGGGAAAACTAGGCATCAAAAACCTCAAAGTTGCTTTGACACAAATGCACAACGAACATGTCACACGCAGTATCCCCGAGCTGATTCCAGAGATCGCAGACCGTCTCAAAGAAATCGAAGGGAGAATCGAAGCTCTAGGACCACCGCGAATCACACCCGAGAGCCAGTTGAATTGTCTGGTTAACCTTGCGACAAAATATTCTCTGCACGCGGGAGATGCTATCGATGGCCACAATGATCGTTTACCCGTCAACTGTCCCGAAGTGAAAATTCGAAAAATCGTCCGTGATACCCTAGACAAGTTTAGAGATGGCATGACCGATGTTTATGAGCAGCGTTTCAATAGTAAAATTCTCGGATTCTCCATTGACTCCATTGAAGAGAGAACGTGGGAACGCGCCGTATTGAGAAACAAGTATTTTAACGAAATTAGCCGATGCATCGAAGCAAATCGTGGCAAGGAGATGGCCGATGAAGTAAACGGAGCGGTTATCCGTAGTCTCTGGTCCGAACTAACACCAGTATGGAAAGATCAAACCAAAGATCTGATTGAGGCATTAGTCAACGCGATTTGGATATCAGTAGGATGTCTCTTACGCGCGATTTGCGAAGAAGAATCTCTCTTAGTCAATGTCCAAAATCTACTCGAAGAAGACAAAACCGCCGTTCACGAAGACGCCATGCACGAGTTAGATAAACTTCTCAACGACGAGAAATCCGGGCTCATTGTCACTCTCAACAAATGGAACGTGTATCAACTTTCCGATTTGCGCGAAGGCAGATTCAAACTCATGACTGCGCGACTGGATGAGATTCAGAGACGTGATAAGGATCTTGTGAAAACGCAGGTCAAGAGCTGGTTGGGGCATAATGCGAAAATCGATGCGATATTTACCACGCATGATAAGTTGGCGAGCTATTATCAGATTGGCATGGTGCGATTCGTGGATAATGTTTGTCATCAGGTTTGTGAGAGACATCTTTTGGGGAAGAAGAGTCCGTTGAGGACTTTGGGTCCGGATATGATTACGAAGAAGTTTCAGGGTGTGAGTTTTCAATTTCTTTCACTTTTCTTTCTTCACTCCTCCTTTTTTTCTCTTCGCGTCGAAATTCGGCGTTCGGGGTTGGGACTTGTTTGTCGGAAGATGATAAGCGAAACCTGATTAACAAGGAAGAAACAGAACGAAGAAGCTTTACGAAAGATAGCAGGCGAAACTGAACCTCAGTTAGCGGAGCGAGCTCGATTGCAAAAGGATCAGGAGTCGTTGAAGAGAGCTATGGAAAAGGCGAAGCAGTACAAATTGACTTTGGGGGTACATGGGATGGGGCTGTGATGAGTTGAAATTGATGGATGTAGTGAAGAGGTGACAGATGTTCAGCGGGGAGAATTGACCGGTGGGATGGGGGAAGTCAGAAACTTTGAGACGATGGATGGAACGGAGATGAGATTGATAGTATTGAGGGAGAGTTAATAGATGAACGGATGAATGGAGACATACATGATGGGATGGGATGAAATTGCGAATATACGCAAAAGGATAAGGAGGGGCGGAATAGATACAGCAATCTCTAATATTCTTATAGCATAATAAGATATTGGTTTCCGAATCTCTCATCTGTCATCTCAAATACCCCAAAAATACTAACCCTAGCTTATACATTGTACTAGCCCTACCCTTTTCTACTCACTATCCCAACCCTTTTCTACTCACTATCCCAAGCCTTCTCAACAACCAACATTTACAACCCCCCTTCCCCCTTCCCCCGACAACATCAAATTTGCTTTTACATTCACATTCACATTCACATTCATATTCACATCCAAATTTCCAACCCAAACCCCAGAAAACAGCACAGAATCCGCCAGCGAGGCACGATGAGTCATTTTAACTATTTCTATCCATCCATCTATCCATTCCACTACGCATCCCGAAATAGTGATGCAAACCACAAAGGAAACCAATTCATTCATCTCCATCTAAACAAAAGAAAGAACAAAAGAACCCAAACGAGTATATTTTCGTTATTATTTTTTGATTTTGATTTTGATTGGGATATGGATTTGAATCGAGATCTGGAAACATTGACATTGGCGATTGTGTTTCGAATTTCTTTCTTTGCGGGGAAGAAGCGATGATGGAATAGGTGGATAGATAGAAGGATGGGTAAATGGGTATAGATCCTGCTATATCGGTTTAGATACCAGAAGATATGTCCAAACGCGTCATTTCTCGAATATGAGTATGAGAGGAATGGAATGTATGACGTTATCCATGAACGCAACGAGTATTTCACCGCCGGGGGAGGTGAGGGTTTCGATAATCAATTAACCAACCAACCAATCAATCAATCAATCACCTATTCCTCGGCCCCCCAAACTCCCCCGCTTGCGAATCCGCCGCCTCACTCGAAATATCCACCTGCACCGTCCTCATAATTCCTTCTATTTCCTTTCCCTGCCCGTGTACGCCTCCCGTCGCACTCTCCAAGTCCCTCTCCCTCTCTGAACTCTCCATCCCACTCCTCTCATCCACGCTCCTCTCCCTCGCAATCATCCCCTCCTTTCCGCCTTTCCCTAAAATCGTCTCCTGACTCTCATTATCACTCACATCTCCTGGATATCGAGCCGCGGCTCTCGCAGCTCTTTCTTTTCGTGAGTTCGTGAGAGTATTGATATTGGAAGTATTGGTGTGGTGCTGACTTTTCGAGTTGCTGAAAATTTGCATATTGTGGGAGCCGGTGTGGGCGTAAGGGTTTGAGGAGGATTTCCCGGTTGAAACGAGTTTTTTGCCGAATACTTTGAAGAGAGGAGCGAGAACGGGCATGGAGGTTAGGATGATCTTGTTTGTGTTAGTTTTTTGTTTTACGCACTTTTTCATTCTCATTTTTTTGTGTTTCTTGTTTGGAGTTGAAGGAGAAGGAGAAGTGGCAGAGGACATACCCCGACATTTAATTCTATGTTCCCCCACACGACCAACATTGTGGAATTACCACTACCCGTCGCAATAATGGGTATTACAGTCATCCGCATAATAGAACACACCGTTGTGAGAATACCGAGGGCAAAAACGCCAATGATGCCGAATTTTTTGGATCTATCCATTCGTAACCCGTAGAGAAATGGGATTGGAAGGAAGAAAATTATGACATCGAAAACGATAGTCGTAATGGCAAGACCAGCAAATAGCGGACCAACGGGAAGACAGGTTCCTGCAGTTGTTGGATGCCATGATCTTTCGATCTGATGGACTCATATATTAGCATATATTTTGGTGAAAAGTGCATTAGGAAAGATGGAAAGAGGATTTATATGTACCGGGTTGCAGTTGAACATTAGTACCAGAGTACCGACTGCATGGCCTATAATGCAGAGAACCATCACGATCCATACTATGAGACGGTAGGTTGGTTGTCCTTTGGAGAGAATGCGAAGATAAGAGAAGCAAAGTGAGACTTTGAAGCCTAAGATGCCCATCATGTAGAAAGGGCGACCGGCATAATTAATCTACTCATTTATCAGTGGCTGATCTCTTATACATCAGTAGATTGTTACTGACTTTAGAATATGTGTTCAAGTTGACTATTGGTCTAAGAGCCAACGGCAGACCTAATCCCCATCTTGATTCTATTTCATCATTAGCTAGTACCAAATTTATCTGAGATGCTCCTTACGGGCAATAGTACAAGCGTTGTAAATGATACTACATATCTATCCACGAAGAATTAGCATAAATGGTAGAGACAGCCGAAGAAAGACCTACCGCAGCAATGAAGACGGCCCAGTCATCGGCACCAATACCTCGCACAGTACGGACTCTAACATACAATCTCGTGCCGACAGTGATGAGCATCAACACGAGCAATGGAAACGAAGCTCCTAGTATCGAAGGATAATTGGATTGAGCATCAACCTCTGGTGTCGAGTTGTAGACCCACAAAGTGGGCATGATGATACACTTTCTAGAAGATATTCCACAAAGTCTCCAAATTTATCAACGATCGCGTTGCATCTGAACACTGGATCTGAGATATGTATATACTTTGACCTCTTTGGATCGATCCTCAATTATTATGGACTTATCACTATTGCCAAGCTTTTGAAGAAACTCCTTGTTATGTCGTTTGGATTATCGACCTGTTCGTGTTGGAGATTTTATTTCCCCCTTGTCGTCTACAGGGGCCGCGACAGGTACAGTGCCACGGTTGTTACCAGATGCCTGCGATACAACACTAGCTGGGAGGATTTCTGCAATGTAACTTCGATCAACGCAGCCACCAGTTGCGGCTCCTGTTATTTGGAACTCAAGTCATAACTCTATTCTATTGTTCTGTTGAAGTTTGTTTGTTGCTAATAGCATCTATGTCATTAGCATATTAAACAAGTATTGCTTCAATTGTCGTACTCGAAAATGAGGCATCTCTCAACTAGAAACACACGCCACACATTATCGTACTACTTTTCCCCTCAGCGACTAATTCTTATGGGGAAGGGGTCTCGGATACACGGATGTTCAAGAAGATGGACTGTTGACGACATGGCTCCCCTTGTTCATATCCCTTTGCTAAGCAATTATGTCTGGTGAAAATTGAGAATCCTCTTGGACCTTGGTCCTTAGGCCCCTGGAAACTCAAAATGATTACCCCAGTGTAAACAATCAATAGCAAATTACCAAACGTTGCATATTTCACGCAAAAACAACTGAATTGGTAAAGGCTCCGTAGGTTTGCACCGGCATTCCCCCAACCCCCGTCGAGAACAGGGTTTTGATCCAAAATCCCCACAATTCGGATCAGATTTTGAGTTCCCCCAGCCAAACATCAACGATTGATAGCTCAAGGCAAATCGTCTGAATCTCAACCCTGCTCAAAATCGGCGGGATACCTCGAGAATACTTGCCGAGGTGACATTTCTGATCATAATTCCTTGTCGTGGTGACATTTAAAAGATTTTCCAGGGATTGTTATTCTTTTCTTACATTAAACCTCGAAATTGTCCGGAGGATGAACGAAGGATTCAATAACACTTTAATCAAGTACCGTTCGTTGAAGTTGTAATAAGAAATAAAAAAACGGGCGCCGAAGCCAACTCTTAGTTCACGGGATCGTTCCGGCCCCCTTCATAATTGACAACTAAAATGATTCGCTAGGGCTGACCCGCCTTGATCATGCACAAGCCGAACTACAGTCTGTCCATAAAGTTTGTCGTTAATTCGGCGACCTGATAAAGTCTGATCGTACGGGCGTAATATTGGAGGAGCTGACGAGTGCTAAATCAGTAAATAGTTGTCTGCGTAGGTAGACACATAAATTTGACTTTGTGGCTGATTCCTGCGTATTGATTTAAGTAAACTCAATAGAAGACTGCTAGTTTCGACGAAAGTCCAAGTTCGTTTCAGTAAACTTTGTAGACTTAAATCCCATGAATATCAGAATGCAATTGTTTGTAATGAAAACTCTATTACTCTCCCAGTCAGGTCCAGAGGTCCAAGATATTCTCTGAGGAGTCTAGACTCACGGATAATGTTCATATACCCGCTGAACAATTTTACAATATTTCATAATCTTAGCAAACTACAAATGGACCATGCCTGAAGGAAGAAAGCTATTTCCGAACGGGTAAATGTCTCATTGCCCTCGTTGCATGTGCATATAGCTTGTCAATTGAGTATCTTGCTTGGCTTCAAACATGTGCTCAGGAGCGGTCGAGTTTGAGGTTCCTGCATAAATTCTTCCGTTCAACTGGATCTGCTTCGTAATTGCCCAATTTCGAAGGTGAGTAAGAATTTCTCCAAGATAATGGTTGTATTTGCTCTACCAAGGAATGCCCTGATAGGAGAATGAAGATTTATGGTTTGCCACAAACGAGCAATATCTAGAAATGCTGATGATAAGGAAATTATCTCTCCACTCACATCACTGATTCAATCTAGAGTCAATTTGCCATCAGATTTACATGCGAGCTTACCGAGTCGACCGCCTCATGCGTAGCTCCAGCTCCAGTATAGGTGAGAATGGCAAGAGACCCACTCGCAGAAACGGCAAAATTGAATGATAAAATTCGAAACCACAAAATTCAGATGCAGAGTTTCATTAGTGCCATACATCCTGCATAGTAAGCTGCAGTCTAGGTTGTACTGAAATGAAATGACAACGCATGGTTCATGGGCTCGCGCGGGGTATTTACCTGATATAGAACCAATAATTATCAACTGCCCCACGAGGCACCATTGTGTCGGATTTCTTCAGCTTCGTCCATTGGGTGAACAGAAGGTAAGACGGACCTTTTGCTATCCTGAGAACCATTGCGATTATAAGTCGTATCGCAGCAGTGGAAAAATGTTACAGACAATCTTATCTGGAATAGATATATGGTGTCTCGTTTTTTCTTTTTTCGCATGTTCCTTCAGGTACCAGATCAATCATGTCTTCGACTTTAGCACTCTTGTCAAAGCATAGAGGCGCGGTTTCCGTTGCCGCAGTGGCTAACACAGCTTCTATGCTGTTTGGTTACGATACAGGAGTCGCTGGTTCTGTAGTCGCTCTAAGAAGGTGACTACCAACGGCAGCCACGCGAAGAAACGTCACTGACCTCTTGAACAGTTTTTCGTCAGAGTTCAAACTCTCGACAAGCCCTGCACATTCGGCATACATTTCCTCCAATATCGTAGCTCTTCTCAATGCCGGTGCATTCTTTGGAGCCATAGTTCCGGCCCTTCTCACGAAATACATCGGTCGAAAACCAACCATGACTATTGCGGCCGCTTTTTTCATGCTCGGTGGAATTCTTCAAACTGCAGCTCAGCCACCTTCTCTGTCTATGATTTATGCTGGTCGTGTTATAGCAGGCTTTGGTGTCGGCATGGTTAGTAACCTTACTCCCGTTCTTGTTGCCGAGACTGCGCCGAAAGAACTGAGAGGATTCCTTATGGGACTCTTCGAAATGTTTCTTGTGAGTGGTGGATTGTTGGCTTATTGGACAACGTATGGATGCTCGTTACATTTACAGCCCACGAGCAAACAGTGGCGTGTTCCATTAAGCATTCAGATTATCCTGGCTGCAATCATTATGATCGGATCATTCCTTATAATCGAATCGCCAAGATGGCTGGCCAAACAAAATCGATGGGAAGAAGCCGAACATGCCTTGTGTTATCTCCGAGGCTCAACATCGGAGGATTTGGACATCAAGACTGAAATTGCAGAGATGCATGCGCAAATTGAAGAGGAACTTGCCGCAACTTCTGGTAGATCGATTACCGAACTGTTTCAATCCAGAAATCTTCTTCGTCTTGTTTGGGGATGCGGTGTCTCCTTCTTTAGCATCTGGTGTGGACATAACGGGATCCTGTACTACGGACCAACGGTATTCAAACAAATTGGATTTACTGCTCAGAATGCTGCTCTCTTCGCCAGTGGAATCTTTACCTGTCTTAAAGTGGCTACTACTATTCTTTTCTTGATCGCAGGAGTAAGTTTGATCAGACCTTTGCTGTCTATTGTGTCCCAATCTATAAGTGGACCATCCTAACGCTGATATCATTTAGATCCAACATTTCAAGAGGAAAAATCTATTGAGTATCGGTAGTGCTGGCATGGCAATCTGTATGTTTGCTCTTGGTGCAGTCCTAGCCACACATCCACCGACCGCTGGAAGCTTAACAAATGATACGCCAAGTGGAAAGGGAATGGTAAGTGTGATTCAACACCACAGGCTGAGCCCAGTACTAACTTTTTCAGATGGCAATCATTTACCTTTTCGTCATATTTTATTCAATGTCTTGGGGTCCTATTGCTTGGGTTTATATTGGAGAGTAAGTTGTCACGATACCACAATATTCTTTAACAGACTAACAATGTCAGGATTTATCCTACCCGAATCCGTGATTGGGGAATGGCTATCAGTGTTATGGTTGTGTGGCTTTTCAACTATGTCGTTTCGAGGGAAACTCCCATCGCAGTGTTGAACATTGGATGGAAGACATGGATGGTATGTGATTTCCATAGAACAATAAAAAGCTCGAAAAAGTCGCGAAAAGCTAATAATTCTTGGTGCGAACAGATCTTCGGAACATTTAACTCGGTCGCATTCATCTTCACTTTGTTCCTTCCAGAGACCAAAGGCTTGAGTTTGGAGGAAATGGATGTACTCTTCAAAGTTGTTAATGAAGATGTCAGAAGGAAGGACGTTGATGAGCATGTTGTTGCACCACTGGATGGTAGCGAGAAGAGTACAAATGCTGAAATGGTCAGGGAGGTCTGAATTGTGTTGTAGACGTGTATAATATTAATGATGGGTTGCACTGTGTAGATATCTCCAGTGAAAGTTCTCACTTGAACTCAAGAAAAAATGTTATGAAACAACACTTGTTGTGTGCGTACTTCTCTTCTACCACTGTATATTGTTACTATTGTTGCAATTGTTACGACACGTCTTGGCCTGTCGCGAACTGATTAGTACTGTTGACTGTCTTGACTCTGTAGACGATACCGTTACCATGATGAAGTCCAGCTTAGGGCTCCAAGACACTTGGTTACAGGCACTAGACCCTATTGTAGACGTGCAACAAAAGATTTAGCTATATTGATCGTTGAGAGATGATTGGCCAGAGGGCTTGTGTGTTCGATATGTATATCAGTAGTGATTTTGATGAAAGAGTCCATGATTCGCAAGACACGATAATGAGGCAAAGTAAGGGGCTGTGAGAAAATGAACGTCAAGGCTCGGTGTGCAGCATTGCCTTATATTATCAACTTGTTTCAGAATCCGCAGGAAATAGAGTACGCAAGCTGATAATTGAATATCTAGGTTTGATCATTGTCGTTGCGTTGTAATGTATACCTAGGTATGTACAAACCTTTCATCAAACGGAAAAGAACTCAACATTCGCGTGAGCACGTGGAAAGATGAGTGACGTGCCGGCAGCCATTCTTTAATTGGTTTAGCAATGGTTTGGTAATCACGATCGTACTAATTCTTCATACTTCACTTGTCAAAGCATTTTGAACCTGTCACCAAAAACATTAAAAACATGGTATCCTCACTATCATAGCAAAGAGTTGAGCAAATTATCCCATTGTCTCATCACGTGTTTATCATTCATATCTCTCCATGCCAATCCTACTACCATGTTTCAACAATTGACTCTTTCCTGCCCAGATATTGTGTCATTATTATCTCATCTCCCCAATATAAATCTTGTCTACCATTATTATGGATTCACTCATCCACCATCCCAAGATGATAACGCCTTCCCACACCAATATTGCCTGCGTGCCACTGATTCTGATTATTTGTGGTTCGCAGTTCCCATCTTTCAATTGTTGGTAATGACGACACATATATCCCCTGTCACATATTACATCATAAGCACACAAGAGGATGGAAGAACCATCTCACAATCTTCCTGCAACCGGCATCAGCGCATATGTTGGTAAATCCTTTTGCATCATCTCCGTCTCTTATTACTCCATTGTGATATCAAATGGCCATTCGATTTTTTTAATTGGTGGATGCGTCAGTCATTGTATCTTGGATAGAATAGATTTCCTTGAAACCAAATCTCGATGTCTTCTCACATGGGATTTTCAATTTGCCCATTAGCGAGAATGGGGTGGGACGAACCAGTGGGAATCATTACCCCCCGCCATACATACTGAGTACATAACATGATACACAATCTATGAGAGGCTTTCTTGAACCCGAACAAATGGATCAAATGGATCAATGGAAAAATAGCCACATTTATGACCATGCGACCGTGTGGCGTTGCTTGTGGATATATGACGTTTCTTATTGCATAATGTTCTCTTAGATGTTACTACCAATAATGATTCACTTGTCTTGGTGTGGCAGGTCCAGATGTTAGGCAGAAGTTGCCTACAAACAAGCAAAAACAAGCAGAATCGGAAGGAGCAGGTGGGTAGTAGGGTAGGTAGTATTCACTAGCCACTTGCCTCACCCCTCCAGCTCCTTCTCAAACCTGCTTCAACTTGGTTTGAAAGGAGCATGCGTGCGTACCTGCCTCGTTTGAACCGTGGCTAGTGCCATATTTCCTCTCTCCTCCTGAGTATAAGAAGGGCACTTCTTCCTCTCAATTTCCATTCCTCATTCACATCAACAAAATCTCAACAATCTCACTTCACACCTACAATTACAAACTTTAAACAACTTTTTCAACTCTTCACCTCAAAGCAAAACTCCATCAACATGTCTGACAGTCTCCGCAAAGGTGTTGGCGAGCAAGTCTCCGAGAAGGTCACTCCCGACTCCCAAAAATCCACCACCACCAAGATCGGAGAGAACATCTCTGGAGGTGTTGACAAGGCTGCTGGTGCCGTTCAACCATGTATGTGATCCCCTTCAATTCTTCTCTAATTTCTTCTCGCACAAGATACTGACAATCCATCCTCACAGCCGACTCCAAGTCCACCACCCAAGAGCTCTCTGACAAGACCCGCTCTGGAGCAGATGATGCCCAAAGCGAAGGAAAGGGTATCCTTGGTTCGGTCACAGACACTGCCGGCGATGCTGCAAACACTGTCTCTGACACCCTCTCCAAGACTGGTACGTTGATATTCCACTGCATCCCTCCAAAAATAACCAAAAGCTGACCTATCTAATAGCCTCTTCCCTCACTGGCAACAAATAAATTCGTCTCTTCCGAATAATTTACATTTTTGCGAAGGAAGGCAGGACGATGAATGAATCGATGCATTGGTATTTCTTTTAGCGTTGGGAATGAATGTGCTTTACTTTTGCTCGCTACACATGATAGCTTGCTTTTATGAATATATGATATCCGGAAGGAAGGAATGGATGGAGGACTGGTAATAGTCTCTAGTGTTGGCGAATAAAAACACCTTCACACATACACACCTTTTTGTCTTTTGTCTTCTGTGAATGTTTTGTGAATATATCTGTGTAATTGGTTCCTTATGCCACCCTCTACCTGCCAAAAACCCAAATATGTTCTCCGTTTGAGTCTCAACCTCCCTTTCCTTGCTAAGACACCGGCAACTAGACTCTATTCTATACATCGCCATCACTAATCCAGCACCCAATCCCTTTCGCATGATCCAACTGTGCAATACATAACATGTATACAACATGCTCCATTCAATCATTAAGCAACGCAGCAAGCAAGTGCACATGTGAAATATTTATTTTTCTTCAATATCATATCATACATCCATCAATTTCTCACTCTCATCTGATTGTATTCCCATTCCTATTCCCATTCCCATTCATAACATCCCCTCACTCTACTTTCTCCACGACCATCTTCAATATTTCCTCGATACCCTTCCCCGCATTCTTCGGATCCTTCGCTACCGCCTGCCAATACTCGCCGTGGCGAGGTTCGCTGAGTATACATTTCTGTATCACGTCTGCTCGTTTTTCCTATTCGAACATATTAGTCTTGATCTACATCTCGATTTCAAACACGCCACCGAGCCGCCTATTCTCATTTTCACGTCTGGAACCAGGGAGGTTGAGACTTACTTCAGTACCATGCTGCAATAAAAACTTGTAATACCAAGCCCACGTATCACCCAAATCACTATCCAGCAAAATAGCCTTCTCGAACCAATTCTGCGCTTTTTCCAATCTCCTCTCGCCCCAGAAGATACGAGCAATAGTGACGAAAAGAATTGGATCGTTATCAACTTTCTTGATAGCTTCCAATGCCCTTGGTTTTCTTTGCGTACGTGCTTCAAGATTCCAAATCGATTCTGTGTATAACAATCCGCTGTTGGGTGCCTCTTGGAGAGCTTTTGCCATCATGATTTTAGCCTGCGCAGTGTTGTTTGCGCGTCGTTCAACTCGGACGGATTCGGTCCATAATTCTGGCGATCTGGGGACTGCCAGTCGGGCTCTGTCAAGAACACTACGTGCTTTGACGACCATACCAGCTCGCTCTTCGAGTCGTGAATATAGTAACCAGAGCGGAACAGATTTTGGACATGCTTTTGTACCTGTACTATAAGCTTCACGAGCTTGTGGCATTTTGCCTTCGCCTTCGTAAATTTGACCTTTCATCATCCATAATTTGGCTGCACCAGGGAAGAGATTTAATCCTTGGTTAGCGAGATCCAGGGCTGCGTCAATATTGCCTAGCTGTCTTTCGTATGCAACACTCTTTGTCCATACACGATCAGTCGGGGCTTCTTGTCGTGCCGTTTTGAGAAGTTCTCGTGCTTGTTCTGGTTGGTTGTTTTCTGCCTCCAGTTTCACGGCCGCCAGCCAAATCTCCTCGTTGTTTGGATTTTGGTTAAATGCTTTACCGAGGACTCTTCGTGCATTATCGACTTCACCAGCTAGCCACTTCTCCTTTGCTAACATCATCCACAACACTTCACTTGTAGGGCGCGCTTCGACAGCCTTCTCGAGTAATTGCCACAAAGCCTCCTTAGTACCGTGGTTCTTTTCTAGGTCTGCAGCTGCAAGCCAAAGCTTTGTGCTAGTAACGAACACACGAAGTGCATAAGCATAAATAGCACGAGCAGTTTCATACTTTCCACGGTTTATGCTAGCTTTTGCATCCTCCATCCAAATGTCTTTTCGATCATCATCTTCATCCAGTCCCCATCCAAGAGTTTCACGAATGATATTACCGCAAGTCAAAACTGCTCCCTCTTCCTCACACTTTTCTGCTTCAGTGATCCAGTCTTCTCTTTTTAACATGGCGGATTCTTTTGCTAAAGCTTTAACAGCACGATTCATGACATTTATTTTAGAAGCTGTGCCCATTTGCTCACCAAGCCGGGCTGCAGCTATCCAAATTTCATGAGAAGTAGGTATAGCTTTGCGGGCCTTATTAAGGACCTTTTGAGCATTCTCGGATGTTTCTAACCTTGCAAGCGCTAACCACAACTCGACTGAAAGAGGAATAATCTCGGTGGCTTTTGCAAGAAGTAGACGTGCATCACTGGGATCTTCCTCGAGATTGACAGCTTCTTTCCAGAGATTCACAGATTGAGGAATGTGATCCAACGCGTGCCTAATGACTCGTTTCTTGGCCCTGGGTTCTGATTCCAATTTCATCGATTCAACCCATAACCGCACTGAACGATCGTTATTTCTAATAGCATTTGCTGCAATGATCTTTGCGTTGTGGTTGTCATTTAATCGAATGTTCTCCAGCCAGATATCCTCGCTTTTAGGACAATACTCACAACCACGTGCGATGATATTACGTGCCGCTACAGTTTTTCCTGCAAGCTCTTCGACACGAGCAGCTGCAATCCATCCTGGAGCATGCTTTGGATTTGTTTTGATAACAGACTCCAGCAGAGTTCGTACACGGACGATATCACCAACTTGGGTTTCTCCCTCGTTAATTTGGGATTTGGCTAAACTTGTAAGATATCCTTTCGGGTCGATATTGGTCGCACTTCCAGACATCGAGTCGGTGCCTTGAGATGCTTGATCGAGTTTTACTTTGAGTACTTTATCTCTCGCCGCTCCAATATCCGCAAAATTGGTCATAGTTCCATCAGATCCATCTCCTCCTGCACTTTCTACCCCATCATCCATTACAGTGGTTCCCAACTCTGTCGCGTCCCGAGCTCCAGCAATAACACTATCAGGGACTGCATAAAACCTCTTTCTCAATTCTTGCTTGCTTCGTCGATTTTTGCCAGTCAAATCACCCACTTCTGGTAAGTTTGCCCAATCTTCATCACTGACTGTTCCTAATGCTCGTTTCAGGTCCGCGAATTGTTGTTGAATCTTGGGATTATTGCGTTCGTATTCTTCCCTTTCTGCTTTTTCTCGTGCTTCCCTGTAGGTAAACTCGTCGGTAATCTGCTCATCTATTTTCATATGATAAACCAAATGCATTGGAGGATGGGGAATTGTAATAAATAGGGAGACAAACCTTCTTATTTTCCGCCTTCTGTCCATCTTCTCATCCACTTCCTGGTAGATCCTATCTGCTTCATCATCGTCCTTGTCATAAACGCCACCTGAAAATAATCCAACTTCATTGTCCGGATCCTGGAAGCGCTCATCGTCCTCCTCATCATCTTTTTTTTCTGTAGCTCCGTATGCTGTAGGAGCCGCTTGACCGAGTTGAGCAGCGCGCTTTGCAAGAGCCTCTTTGATTTGATCTTCACTTGGTCCCTCTCGCGCAGGACCTAAATCAGATCGTGTTGTAAATCCTGTCGCTCCTCGACCTAAACCAGCGACATAATTTTCTGGCGCCTTTTGACTAAGGAAATCGCGTCGACCAGACATAATTGCGAACGTTATTGTATTGAAAATTCAAGGTTCAAAGCATTGAAATAATAAAATCTCCAGAAAAGATGCAAGGCTGAGAGTAAATAAATATATCAATCCCCGACAGCCTAGCGATTGAGTAGCAGCCGTTTTGAAGTATTTATGTAATCATTGTGGATCCACATACGCACGGTCCATATGGCTCTTAACTTCACTCGAGCTTCGGTCGATTCAGACCTCACTTGGTACTTTCTTTGCCTCTTCTCTCTAGTTGAAAAGCAACCGGAACAATCCTTTATTGGTTCGTTTTGAGTAAGAGTCTAGTAAGAGCCTAGTAAGAGCCTAGTAAGAGAAGACGTAGCGTCGACTCTCTCCTTCGGGAATATTCTCTAAGATCGAAGATCTACGCAGTCTTTTATCTTGGCCTTGGGAAGTCTCCTTGGATCTTTGAGAACTGCAGTCAAAGACATTGTCACATATAGTCATCTCAACGTTATACTCATGGCTTCAAAGCACATAAGACTGACGCCTGATACTTCATAGTTGGTATCCTAGGTTTTCGTTTTTGTGTAAAAGTTTGGTTCATGTAAGCTAGTCCTATCCCACTAGACCCCCCTGACCTCTTGCAAATTTGAATTAACATAAGTTAGGATACCAACGCAGGCTCTTGTTTAAAAACCAATTGAAATAATCAACATATTTAGTATATCATCTCTAATTTATTTTCTCAAAGTGTAGAAAGGTCTCCAGTGGAGCTATAACGCTTCGCATTTCCCATCCTGCAACCTATATACCAACCCCCTCTCGATGCAGATGTTTCTGTGTGTATTCTGAATACTGTCTCATAAAGCTTGAGTAAGATCCTTGAACAGACAAAACTCTAGATTGAGACTGATTAAGAATTGGCAAAGGCATCGAAAGTGGCAATTATCTTTATTCATCTAAACCCCTGCATCCATATGGTACAAGATTCTAGACTTGCTACCCCGAGTAAGACAAGTCCTTGGAAATACAATGCAACTCGTGATCTCAACAGTTTTAAACATCGTGTTGCTACGTGGCTTCCTACCTTGCTTATGTTCCCAATAGCAGGGAAAGGTTACGTAGCACAAACGAGTCGCCTGGGTTACAATTCTTGCACCATGGAATGAAGCATTTAACGTTCCAAATCTCTTCGCCATTGATTGCTGTAGAACTGTCATCGCAACTTTAAAAGCTCAATCATGACCAGATGTGTCTGTGTGGGTTCTAGACGTAAACGGCAAATCAAGAATGCTATGAAACTCGCTTTCGTGAACCGAACCGAATTCCCATCATGCAACCCTATATAACATATAGTTTATTGTCCTTTACAGAAATCTGTATCAACATTAGAAATAGAGTATGAACTTCACGGCTACTCTACTTCCCATACGCTATAATCTTTGAACTTGATTTGATCGACTGTTCTGCTTGTGAACCGCATCACAAGACTAAGCCCAGTAATCATCACTTAAGTTGCGCCTCACTTTCGCTAGTATATACTTTCAAAAACTCGAAATCATCAAAACAAACACATCGTGTAGTCTAGCTGTCTAATTCACCGCTTTAGTCAGATAAACACTCAAAATCCAAGCTAACATCTCTACAGAACGCAGACATTCATTCGCAACAGATATAATCATGAAACATCCATCATGATTCCGGGGTCACATGGCCTCCCGTAACAAAAATTTACAGCAACCAACTCAAATGAGAGGCTACAATAGCCACTGCAACACCACTGGTCATTTGACCACAGCAAAGTCAATATTGACAGCATTACAGCAATTTCAATGGTCAAATGACCACAGCAACATTCGTGATTGGAAATAGTTGTTCAAAGCCGAGCGTAAGTAAATCTCCTTCTTCCTGAATATGACAGCTTGACCACCAAGCTTTTTTGTACCTTTTATTCTTACAAATCACTTACTATATCTTAATGATCCGTATCGAGAAATCCTTCTTTTTTTTGGCTAACATTCAGATATAGTAGTGTGTATCTTATGTTCTGGAAAGAAATGGGTTTAAGACTTCTAGTATGGGCTCACGAAGAGATTGGACGGTACTAGAGTTGAATAAGAAATTACTCGTGGCCGCAGTAGAACCTGCGGAGTCCGTATGTAATTGAGTGATATTTCTCTTCCCAAAAGTGAGCGTCATTCCATCGTTGTAGACATGAATTGATATTGAGAAGGCTGAGACCTCGTATTTCTCTTTCATTTGAACTCACATCATTTATACATTACATAGACTGCACCCGCGCCTCACCTCTGCTCTTAGTGTGAATATCTTGCCCCGAATAGCTCAATCGAAAGAACAGGATCCTCGTGACTGAATGATCAACTTGTTTTATCCTCCTGTCGAATTACCTGGACAACACAGGCTAATCATAACCACCTGTATATTCGGCGCTCATGAAAATGATCGGAGAAGCATCAATGTGATTGCTTTTGGATCAACAGAAGCCTCAAATTATTTGTCGAAGGTTTCAGTGTGAATCCATTACATCGTTTCACGATTATCAAAAAAGGCCTGCCAGGAATTGAATCCCAACACAGTTGCCACTTCTGTCCTAGCTCATCTAGTCATCGAGATAACCCATATCGAATGATTTTATTTCCATTTTTCGCTTATTTCCTAACCATTGAAAATCACAAGCCATAGAAGAGATTCTCGGTTGTTCGTCAAGGGATTGAACGACCGCTCTCTCGGCGTTTGACTTTCAAGGGACAATCTCATATTTTGCAACATTTAAAATCATAAGTTTATGTGATAAATACATGTATATTCTGGAAGTATTACTACTAATACTTACATGATAGAGCGGCGAATCTTGCTATTTAAAGAGAAGAGATGATGTTCTTGTGACGGAACAGCCTTCAGAACGAGGTCCTATTTCCTCTCCCACTTCCCCAAGATCCCTACACCATCCACTACAGCTATACGCCTCATAGATACCTCCAGTAGATCTTCTCGTTGGCCTTGGCAGCCGCCACAAACTCTAGCATCAATTTTCTGTCTTCCCATTCTGCGATCATCCTATCCTTGTATTCCCAGAGCGGATAAGTAGATTTCCCAGAAGTCTTGAAATCATCATAGTAAGCGAGGTCGCAAGCCTCAGCTAATTTCTTTGCTTTCTCATACAATCTAACATCAACTTTGGAAATCAAATCCAGTGCGGTTGATGCATCATCCTCCTCAATGGCGGCGCTTCCTCCATATGCCGCCTCTGCACTGTCAATTTTGTCTTTGACCTCTCGAATCGTCCCCAGCAATTCTTTGAATGCCGGTGGAAATGTGTCCGGTATGAGACGATTAAAAATAAATCCATAGGCTTCCAAAGTATGCTGTACTTTAAGTTCCTCACCACAACTTTCGTCCATGCTCAACAAAGGTTTGGCGTCGTCCTTGGAGATTCCAAACGTAGCGTCGAAGATGATTTCCAACTGCAGGTATTTATCGGCTTGGAGGAGTGAGTCTGGTAAGAAAACTTTAAAGGCCTGTCTGCGTTCCATCTCCATAGTATCTAGTTGCGACTACTGTTTCTTAAGTGCACTTCCCTTCTCCTTCACCATTCTGGAATACATTGATCTCAACCTAATCAACTCTAGAATATTTACTTGATCCGTTAAAAGACGTTTTTTCATCGAGCTCCTTCTGGATTTTTATAAATCATCTTCATTGACTCGTCATCATAAATATCGTGTTTGAAAATGAGATCATTGGCGAACTTATATTTTGATACATTGGGGTCGTTGGCGGTAGAATAAGTCCGATGTGTATGAGGAGTTCTCGTAGTAAGAGCCATGAAAGGTCTATGGAAAGGTTGTCGGCTCCATTTTAGTAAAGAGCAAGGATGCGGGAGACGCATTTGAGATTAGGCTGACGACTAAATTGTGAGAAACTTGAAACTTATTTGTAGTGGAAGGGTCGATCTGGAGACCGAATCATCGATAACTAGTGTTGGAATAGTGATGATGTTTTGTTTGTACGGCTTCCGACTTCAAGGATAACTACCTGGGTACCTATTCGGGCCTGTGGCCTGATAATTAAGCCATAAATATGGTCTGTCATATTTGAATTCACACTTGCAGGACCGAGTATTGATAAACTTTTGTTAAATCATTATTGAATTTGTATATATATCCATCAGAACGCGTCTCCACAGCTCTCATAATGTATGAAGGAGTTTAGCCCCCCCCTGCCAAAGCATACTCTTCGACTTGAAGAATTCAGCGTGACAGGGGCAACTTCGCCAGTGGTAACATCAAACAGCTGATGGCATGATAGTAACTTCACGGAAATGGGCCTCCTAATTTGGCTGATGCTGCGTATTCCGTGACCACAATTGATGTATACTTAAATTTGATATCATTGCGGCCAACTCCAATCCGCCGGGCGCATGTTTGCGACCAAGTCGACATATATCATACATTCCTTCATTTCTGCCACCCTGCAAATACCCTACACCAATGTACCTCGTTTGTAATTATCGTTCATCTCATCCTTCTCCCTCGCTTTGTAAAGGACCTCTGGATGTCTATGCACACTCGGCATCATACCCAAACCAATAGACCTCCTAATTGACTTTGCAATCTTTCTCTGATTAACTGGTCTTAACCCTGTTTCCTTACTTCCTCTAATCCTTCCCATCGGTGTTACATATTCTGACATGATTGAGAAATTCTACAAAATCCATTAGTCCTACTCAAGCTTCTCTCGACATCGCCCTATCATTCTACTCTCACAATCCACGAAAGAAAAACTAACCTTGTAACTCCCCGTAGCTATAGGATCAAAAGCAACCACATCAAAAACATCCCTTGTAACCTTTCCCCTCTTTTTCCATTTCGCCATTTCTATTCCGCTCAAATCATGCGGCGCATACACATCTCCAGCTCTCCACCTTCTATGTATTTGTTTTGTCAGAGCTGATCTCGAAACATTGTCTTCGTATTCCTGAGCCGCAGTTTGCTGCACCCTAGAATTGGCTGCTAATGCCCTACGTCGCTCGTTGCCCTTCTCTTGAGCTTTGTTCACAAGAGACATCAGACTATCGTAACCTCTCATTTCTGAGGGAGGTGCATCAGATCTTGGAGGAAGTTCTGCGAGGAGAATTAGCAATTGGCTTCATGGTCGAAAGGCGGTTGAATTATAATTGACATACCAGCAGCCAAAATTCTACTGGTTGAAAATCGCATTCCGAGGAATGGCGATGAGACCGCATTGCGCGCGGCGTTTAAACATTGTAGTCGAGGAGGCATGATTGCTATACTTGAACGATTCAATATCAAAACCACTTGGTGTTGCTCGATACCAAAATCTTGAAGTCCAAAGCGGGCCGAAACCCCGCATCGGAGGTGGTTATTCCGATGACCCGCAAAAATTTATTTTGATATCTACAATGAATGATGATAGACATCAAATATTTGCGCCAGACATAACATCTTTCACATTTTTCAATTGAGCCCAATCTCACAAAATGGTTCGTAAACTTAAGCATCATGAGCAGAAGCTCCTCCGAAAAGTCGACTTCACGACCTACGCATCAGATAACAATCATCGAGATGCGGCTGTGATACGGAGATATGCGATTCAGAAACCTGGGGATTATCAAAAATACAATAGACTTTGCGGTGTAAGTTCATAGTTCCTAATCATAGGAACTACCAGAGACTAATATATACACATACATAGTCTCTCCGTCAACTCGCCCACAAACTCACACTCTTACCGCCCGACTCTCCAGTTCGTCTAAAGCATGAACAGCTCCTCCTCTCTAAACTTCACGATATGGGAATTCTTCCCTCCACCGCTTCCACTTCCAAACTTTCCTCCGTTGAATCGCATGTTACTGTTTCCGCATTCTGTCGAAGACGTTTACCAGTTGTAATGACAAGATTAAGAATGGCAGAGACAGTACAGGCTGCGAATAAGATTATTGAGCAAGGACACGTTAGAGTGGGCACGGAAACTATCACAGACACCGCATTTTTAGTTACGAGAAGCATGGAAGATTTCGTTACTTGGGTAGATGGTTCGAAGATTAAGAGGAATATCTTGAAATACAGAGAGAAATTAGACGATTTCGATTTGTTGTAGACGATTGGAGATGGAGGTTATGCATGGCTGGAGTCCTGGACGTGGGAAAATTTGCTTTGCTTGGAGTTCGGGGATTTATGGATTTATTTGAGATGGATACCTTGAGAAAATTCATGGATAAAATAAGATGTAAAGTATGATGAGAAACTAATGATTTCGATGGTCCCAAATTTCTGAAAATTGGGTGTGGGTTAGCTTGATTCTTAAAATCGTGCAAAGAGAGATGAAAGCAGGATCACAATGGGAAGTCTTAACGTTACAGAATATGGAGGATGAGTGGACTCATGCCTGGGTTTACATTAAATCACAGTATAACTAAGGCTATAAAAGAGCGTCTTCACTGGTTTCTCCAAATTTTTGAGTTGCGTTTTTGTTAAAGATAACTCATTTTTCACAACCCTGATTGACACTGTTCTGAGCACAATACTAGGTAGTTATCCTAGTTTCATGGTCAAGGCTCACCAAAAAGCAGTCTTCTGCTATCAGATACAATTGCAAGCACATTTCCGAGCATATATTTCTATTATCTGATGTCATTTCACAACTTCTGTCAATGCTTCTCACTTGCATGTATGAGGACACTTTTCTATTTACATTCCAGAGCCATAATAGCAAGTGTTATCTATCTATCATTACATTCGAAGCATTTAGCTTTTCTAGCATACGCTCAAACAAGAACAAGTCTTGAAAACACGTTCTTTCCCCATAAAGAAGTCATGAGTATTTGAAACTCTTGCGCTTGTTTGCTCTCATTACACTAAAGCTTGCCACAGTCCATGCGAACTGATCACTCAAATACATACGCACTGCGGATCTCCTATATTTGTTTTGATACAAGATTTCTAATCAAAAAAACCAGCACCACCACTTGCAAAACTGTGAATCCGATTCGCATTCATATGACGAAGCGAAGTTGGCATGTTATTCCCGAAAAATAAGTACACCATCTTCGGCACGGGCATTCAGTATCTGCCATCCAACATCCATAGTTGTGCTTGATGAAGATGCACTCATTGCAGAAGTTGTAGGCATACTCCCCAAAGCAGCATCGGAAATACCGCAATATGTCTTGGTAGGGTAAAAATTAGGTTCTTGAATATAAATCGTCTCGCCACAAAGAGTTTTCACAGAGACGAATTCGCCAGTCGTGAGAGCGCTAGCGGGGATCGTAGTACCTGCAATTGTGGTATTGCATATCGAAGATGTAGATGTGGATGTGGACATTTTTTCCGTGGTATCAAGTGTCCAAGAGGTGGGCATACCGTACCAGGTCTTTGTGGGATAGAAATTGGGCTCTTGGATGTAGACTGTTTCCTCGCAGAGAACTTCGACAGCAACATATTCGCCGGTTGTGAGGGCGCTAGCGGGGATGGTTACACCTGCGATAGCGGGGTCGCATGATGATGTTGTGGCGGTGATTCGTTGTTTGTCTTCGATGATGGGTGTTAGGATCAGTGTTGGTGTTGAATCTGCTGATGCTGATGCTGATGCAGATGCCTGAGTCTCGGTGGAAGGATCCTCAGAAGCAGAAGCAGAAGCAGAAGCAGAAGCAGAAGCAGAAGCAGAAGCAGAAGCAGAAGCAGAAGCAGAAGCAGAAGCAGAAGCAGAAGCAGAAGCAGAAGCAGAAGCAGAAGCAGAAGCAGAAGCAGAAGCAGAAGCCGACGCCGACGCCGGAGCATCAGTGGGAGAATCTCCAGATGCAGAAGCATCAATCTGCGTGCTTGCAGCAGGAAACCCAGAAGTAGCAAAACTATATGGTGTATTACCAAACGTGCTAGTCACAGCAATAGCTCCCGCTGCGAAAGTGCTGGAGCTGGAGCTGGAGCTGGAGCGTGTGGGTTCCGGCACGCCCCATTCTGTAGCGGGAAAATAGTTGGGTTCTTGGATGTAGACGGTTTGGCTTGAGATGATGACGATCCCGACCTGTTGGGTTGGGGTTAGTGGTGGTGTTTTTGCTGGAATGGCGGATTAGGTGGTTGTTTGAAGGGATTTGGGGCGAAGAACATTGCTGATATTGTGATATGATGATATGAAAAGTAAAAAGAGAAGATCAAATAATCATGATAGGAAGAACTTCCGCAACTTACGTGTTGACCCGTCGTCAAAGCAGAAGTCGCAATTGTAGTAAAGAGACCGAAAATACCTGAAATTCGCACTCCTGTAGCGTCATCTTCGCTGCGCTTGATGGGGTTTCCGGAAACAATGACGAAGAGAATGGATAGGATTGTTAGAAACTTGATTTTAGAGACGGGAACAAACATTTTGAAAGAGTGATGGGCGATTATGTGTTTGTGTTTGTGTGTTTTGCTTTATTTTGTTTGTAGGGTGTTGCTATGTGTGAAGAGGGTTGGACTGTGAGAAGGGGCAGAAAGGAGAAGAGAAGGAGGAGAGAAAGAGAGAAATAAGAAATGATCAAACTACCTGGGTACCAGAAAACATTAAAAAGACATACTGGACATTCATTGACTCCGCCACTTCCTTCCAATTTTCATTCCAATTTCTTTTCACATGTCCAATATTCCATAATTAGTGAATACTATGAATCCGAAATGAGAGGCTAAAAATCGGATCATGATACCCTCAAGAACGAAATCAACCCTCCGAAGCCCGAGAAGTGAATTATTAGTACCTAGGTAACAAGAATGTTTGTGATGCTATGTAGAAGTGTTTGGTCTGTGAAGTGTGTTGATGATGGTTTCTAGATAGAAAGCAAATCGTTGGAGCAAATAGTAAACATTTTCTAGGAAATAGGATCACACAGTAGATAGACAATCTCTGTTAACGTTTACTACCTTGTTGAATACCTCAATCCGACTCACCACCAAATCCAAAATGCAAAGAAAGTATTTAGTCCACACAAATACCACTCTAATAAGTGAAATACTCAGTATCAATATATACATACTACTCATTTATTCATTCATTCATCCATCCATCTCATCAGTATCCTCACTAGGTAGTTGATAGGTATGTAGTTACTATACAGTAAATATCAACCTACCCCTCATCCAATAAATAATCTACTTCACCATCCCCTCTACACATCACCAATCTCCATCTCCCTCTCCAATACCCAAACTACCCGAACTTCACCATCCCCAATCCCCAAACCAAACCAAACCAAGCTAATTTCGCATTCGGCTCGGGACATCTAATCTAATCATACCTATCCACAAGCCCATCGAGTAATTAAGTAATCAAACCCCTCATATACCAATCTTAGGTAGCTACTGTAAAATGTAACAAGAAGCGGGGAAACTTGTTTCCAAATGTTTATATATAGCTCCCCAATAACCCAGATATTCTCTCTTTCAAAAGTGTGCTTCTCTCTCAAATACTATTGATTTCGAAAACCTTTGGAGTTCTTCGTATTGTATTGTATCATAAGTATACATACATACAATTTGTTTGTACTTTTGAGTTTGAGAAAGTTTATTGTACTTCCGATATATTTGTACCATATCTCCATACATAACAAAGACTCAACTACATACAAAGTTGTAGAGATGGATGGTCAAGGAGATGGTTCGGCAAAGGGCAGTCCGGCGAAGGGTAGTCGCAGTATGTATACCTCCCATTACCCCTGTGAAACTTACCTGCTGTAGCAAAGTACTTACTCGACTAACATATACACAGACAGAGATTCAAGAAGATCTCAAAGAGATGCCACTGGGTACGTTGATTCTCTCAACTCTTCCCCCATCTCCCCATCTATTCCCCCTCTTCCCCACACCTAAACTAACAATCCCCCAGCGTACCCCTCCCTCTCTCCCCGCAACCCCCAACCCGTCAGAATCCACCAATCACAACTACAACAACCACGGCAAACACAGCCGCCACACCCAACACCACTCCAGCTCCACAACCTCGGCGCTCACACCAACACCCCATCCCACCACCAATCCACCCCCCCTTCCACCCCTACACCCCCCAACTCAACCCACCCGTCTCCACACCGGAAAGTCTCCCCAACAGAAGAAACTTCCCAACCCTCGCACCCCTCCCCATCGCCAACATCCACCAGCCGGGACAACCTTCCTACTCTCCGCACCAAGGAGTATTCGGTGGTGCATCGCTAGGAGCCGGACTAGGAGCTTCCCATGCGATTCCCGTCGGCGGCGCTGGTGACATGCAAGCCGGCACATCTTCCAACGCTGGACTTCCTAACTCTAAAGGAAGATATACTCTCAAGAAGCGAGAGTCTAACCCCAACCGACCGGCGACTGTTTCGAAGCCGTACATCGTCAGGCCGAAATCCAGATCCGGCGCCAAATCCTCCCGAGTTTCGAAATCCAAGAAACGCGCACAGTCCTCGGGCACAGCAACACCCGCTGCAGAGGATTTCGAAAGAAATATGGATACCGTGATGGAGACCCTAAGTAAATCCCTCTCATTCCTCTAATCATCTTTCGACATTTGCTGATACGATTGTGATATAGCTGGTGTGATGGTCGGTTTGAATAATATCGGACAGGTTATCCGTAATGTTCAAATTCAGGCGAGAGCGGCGGCTGCTGCTGCTGCTGGAAGAGGAGATCTTGTACATGGAGAGGAAGAAGACGAGGAGGAAGATGAGGAGGAAGAAGAAGAAGAAGAAAGTATGTTATCTGATTATACTACGATGATTGACTTTGCTAATATGTTCAAGACTGATTGACGTCCGATTCTTCCTGATCTTGACGTTGGTTGTCCTGAATTGTTGCCCTAATATAAGCCCAAGGGTTTGGTCACCAAGCAGAGACAATCAGAGATCTTCTACACATCCAACTATTCGATCATCTGTCAGAGGATGCTTTTTTCAAATAATGTACATACAAAACAGGTAAAACTTCACGTGTCCTCCTGTACCGATGAGATGAGGTCCAAGGATTGTTCATCCGGAGTTCTAAGGACTTCAGTGGCTCTAGCGCATTTTTGGGATGTATACTTTTCGGTATCTAGAGAAGTGCCATACATGGTTGGATACTACAGAGCTCTTCAAGGACGGGTTACTTGGAGTATTGGCGTCTGACTAGATACTTTTGTAGCCTCTTGAGGTACTTTCGGGATGGGAAGTTTTGGTTTTATGATAGAAATTACAATTGGTTCATTGAAGTCTTCTATTATCGTGTGAAACAGCAGTTGCTGAATGTGAAGATAGAAACAATGTGCCACTTGAATCATAACTTGCCTACAAAGACAATAATCAATACCATCGCTACTGTATAAAACGATACTTTCAAGTCTCTCAACTTCAAACAGCATTCTCGATTGAAAGAAATTCGGAATAATATGTAAGCAAGTTGATAGTCGATGGCAATCTAATAAACACACCATGGTACCATGATTCATTGTAGTCCGCCCAATATATGGTATTTTGATCAAATCGAGTTATTCACCTATTACCGCCACAATCCCCCAATTCCCAAAGTCCCCGAAGACACCCAAACACAACACTCGAAGACCTCATCTCTGAATACAGCTACCCGTGGACATTCGAAAATCAGCTAACAAGTCGCGAGAAATTACATATCATCTGCAGATAGCAAAAGGAAAATACTTCTACCACAGCCTCGAATTCTCTCCAACTTCTCAAGAACCTGGCGGATTTGCAGCGAACTTTCGTATTGTAGAAGGAGAAAACCAATAGAGTAGAATGTTTATGAAACCAGAAGCAAAAGAATATTACCCTTTGACTACAGTGCATTGTTTTCTTTCTCTCTCGATGTCATAATGGAAAGAAGATCATGAGTCACCAAGTATTGAATTGTCATTCACCATTCCTGGTCTAAAGAGCAATGAACTCGCGAAAGAATGATAAATTCCTTGTACAAGATAACGAGAGGACAGTAAACCTTTCGATCGACCCCCTAAAGAATTAAAATGAAAGATGTGAAGAAAATACCGACTACAGTTTATAAATGACATGCATGTATTCTCAACCTCAAAGATCGACATTGCAAAACTCCAGAAATAATCATCATGAATAATCCAAATAATGTAACCTCTGGCCTCTATTGCGAAATAGACAGATTCAGATGCTCAAAATGCGAGCATGACGACTACCGCCATAGATACAGATGTCAGAGACATTTGATTGGGGATGCTTATTGTAGAGAAGCGATACCCATGATCACACCTGATAGGAATGTGTTTTGTAGAGATTGCGCAGAAGAGTGAGTTTTGAGTTTGTTCACGTTTTCTAGATCATGACTAAGAGAGATTATCGGCAGTGACGATCTGGATATAAGTAACCAGGGTCGTATGTCACCGGAACTACCAGCAACTCGAGATGTACCTGTCAGCAGTAATATAACACAAGGAGGAAGAGCGGAAGTTCAGCCTGTGCCTACCAATGTTTTGCAATCACCGGGCCTTGCCGATCAACATATGGCACCAGGAGGGTGGAATGAGCCTGGAGGTGTTCAACTTTCGACTTTAAACCCACAATCCTCAGCTCATGTATCTCCAGACCAAGATCTCGCGATAACATCAGTAGCGTCTGAAAATGACCCCTCAGCACCGCAATCATCAGAAAATAGTAACACAACCACAGCACCACCACCAACACCACCACCAACACGAGCAGCAGAGCCAACACCGCCATCAACACCAGCACCGGAACCAACACCACCATCAACACCAGTACCAGGACCAGCACCAGGGCCATCACAGGAACCAGAGCCATCGCCAGCACCGGAACCATCACCGAAACCAAACCCATCACCAAACCCAAACCTATCACCAGAACCATCAGCAGCACCCTCACCCGCAACAAGACAACCCGAAATCTGGGCAACACTCCGCAGCTGGTGCTGTTGCACATCCACCCAATCCTCTACATAAAGAAACCTTCTGCAGCAAGAAAGAAATGGGCTTCAAGGAAATGAATAACACAAACACGATGATATTATTACCACAATGACAAATTGGACATCAGTAATCTTCTCACTGCTGTGGTATCATCTCGTTGTTTTGAGATTAGATATGAGCTGAAATTGATTGTTGCGCTGTGATATTTGATGTATGGATGTGAAATTGAGATTATGAATTTCGTGTTGAGGATGGGAAGTTGTTTGTTTGGTTCAATACGGAAATCGAGGCTCTACGTAAGCAAAAAAACAGGCGGAAATTGACTATGATTTGAAAGAACTTTATCAACTAGAATCCTATTTTAATATAATATTAAATAATAAAAACACTTTATATTGATACAAAGAAGATTCGAAATTTTGTTTGCTTTTTTTAAATCTCAGTATTTCATTTGAAATAAATTTATAATCTATTAAAAAAGTCCTTTGAAAAGGTACTCAATTTCCGCCTGTTTTTTCGCTTACGTAGAGCGAGGATTGATTTTGTGATGTGGATTTAGATTGTCACGTGTATTTGAATCGGTGAGGTGGTGATGACATTTAAAGATATCATATGATTATTGTTATGGAATACATAGTACTATTATAACATAGTGTAGAATATCTTGTTGACTTCATGAAGATAGAATTCAATGATAGTCATTTGCTAGGATGATCATCGTGTTTTATCTTGTATATAAATAGATGACTAATTATATAACATGTGCATCTTTGGGTGATCAGAATGCACTTGCATGCTATATATTATAGGGTGTAAAGTGATGTATTTTAACATAGATAGTAATATCAGACTATACCTCATACTTTTTGTGAGATACGTGAAGCATCATGTGCTTGAGAATAACAGAAGCCTGTCTGAACAATTCACTTGTACGAGAAGCAATTGAAGAAAAAGCAACAACGTTATCGCAGTTGGTGGCAGAGAAAGAATTTTGAGTGGGATCCGTTACATATCGATAGAGATTTGCATAAAAAGCTTTGCACTCCGGGAGAGTTATCGAAGAGAAAGAGTGTATCGACAAGCCCTGCACTCCTGAGAGTTATCAAAAAGAATATATCGACAAGCTCTGCACGGAGTAGCATCTCAACCTGACTGTAACGCGTGTAGGTAATCATATCGTACATCAAACATCTCCTTCCACGAGGCGAAGTGAAGGATGAGTGGAGACCGACTGAATTTCCTTTCGTAAGCAACACCATATCCAACCAATCACAGTTCGTCACGGTCCACAGCAACAAACACAGCCAGTGTTGAAAACCCAAAGATCCGAGGTGATCTCGAGGTTAAACCAGCCTTATATTCTTAAATTGATCGACTGCGTGAATAAAGTCAAAGAATTGGGCGCTGTCGATCGAAAAGCCTAATCGCCTTTCCTTGCATGGATTGCGTGCAGGCTGGACTCTGTGATCTGTGGTTTCTACTCGGTCGTTACTGATGGTCCCGTTTTTTGAAACCTGACCTGTGAATAAAGTTCATCTAGAATCATCATCGTGATATGAAGAGAGCACCTGAACGCCCATGACCATTTTGACCGCTGATGTGGCGGTTAAGGTATGACTACCTAGGTATCTGGTTGTATCTAACGGGGCGTCGTGGTGGTAAATGGATGCGAACACCCGCCGTTATCTCGTGGCGCAGTATTGTGCGTTTAATAAGTATTTGACCATCTCCCGAGATTATATGTCACTTCCCATGCGGCTCTGTTGAAGGTTGAGGTTTGGTAGATGATGTACTAAGCATCTAGCTTGTATTATCATTAGTATGTATACCCGAGCACAACCCGCGGGAACTACCAAAACTAGTTACACACCAAAATGACTGACCATTAGAAGTTTGGATGGAATTGTTTTGTTGTTTATTGTAAACCTTAATTTGTGAATGTTGAATGTAGAATGTAGAATGTAGAATGTAGAATGTCCCGAAGATACGAGTGCGTCATCGTCATTCATTCGCTTTGCGACGCCAAACTTTCCACGCTGCTGCATAAGTTGGTCATTTTTTTTACAAGGATACGCCCCTCCAGCTCTCAGGCCAGGGCGAATAGATAGAGGGTGCCTACCTAGATTATAATACCTACCTCTTATAATATGTGCGAAAATGTGAAGAATGGATGGGAACAAACATTCGAGAGGTTGGGGAAAATAAAGAGATTAAAGATATAAGTTAGTTAATAATGATATAAACGTAAATACAGGATAAGAACTGAGCTTCACACCAGAAGAAATGTGAGATCCGACCATCTATCTACCTACCCAACATCTCAACAATTATCATAAACTGTATCAGTCAAGTCTGGGAAAAGCTTGACAAGACAGACAATGATAAGTATCACAAGGCCCAAAATGCCTTTTCCTCAAATACTGACTGTACCTAGGTCGGTCGTCACGCTTCCTTGGATTATCCAAAACTTAATCCCAGCGCTACGAGGGTTGTCTTTCTTCACCAGATCAAATGCTCCAAGGTTCCCCGTGGTTGAGGTAGCTGCCCAAAGAGATGAGAGATTAGATGAGTCGACGCCCGAGATCTTGTTGTGATTTACCTAGTAAATAGTAGTTGTGATTCCGTGTTGTATAGTATAGTATAGTTAGTAAACTGCTTTGCTTTGGTTCTTTCGTTGAGTAATAAAAAGTGAGTAAGTGTGTTGTGTGAATTTGTGCATTCGCGCATTCAACCAGCGAAAAAGCTTGACTTCGCCCAATTCATATATGTACACTGACGCAAATTTCCAATCCACTTTCATCCGAAGTCCCCACTGTCAAATTGTTTTACCCCCCTCCCCCCCCCATTTACTCGAGGATCGTATCTTTGTGGAAATTTAAAGAATCACCCCTCATCTTCTACTTACCATACATCAGGTTTACATATATTTGTTATATCTTCGAGTGCATATTCCATATAATAATAAGCTTCTCGCCAACATCATCAAAACATCCATCATTCATTCATTCACTCATTCCTCAAACCATACAACGTTATATAAATCAATCATCTGGCTTATATCACGAGATGTCTCCATAAGCTATTGGCGCATAAGGCCGTAGGACCAACCATATCAAATCCTAATCATTAAATTTATTCACTACCTACCTACCTAGTACGTCCCTACATACAGATACGCTCGTGTCAGGAGGGGCAAGAGGAAGAGTGAGCGCGCAAAGTATCAGCAGCAAAGCCTCGATCCAAAGTAATCCTCCAACTTCCAACCCCCTCTCAACCAACAAATAACAACAACCTACAACTTCGAGTCTTCGTTTTCTTCTTTTTACAAAAATCACCTACAACCAACAAATCTACTTACAAACATATACTGTGTGGTCTCCGGACACATATACGCTTTACCCTTACTTTGTGGGCAATAACTACAGGGTAAACAATTCAAAATGCCTGAAAGAGTTGTTCGCAGCTCTTATCATGACCGAGAGGTCGACTATTATTCCTCCGATGAAGAACGGTCAACCTACGGTCGTTCGAAACCAAACGGTAGTACTTATCGTACCGTCCAACGTTATCGGGTCGCACCTAGTCGAGGCGAGGAAATAGACGACACTCGATCCGTTCGTTCTTCCCATCGAGAGTACGAAACTCGACAGGGTGATCGAGTTGAAGTGGATCGTCGAGTCGAAATTGATCGCGAACGTGAACGATACGAGCCAGAAGTACGACGAACGGAACGCATCGAAGTTGACCGAAGAGTTGAGGTTGATCGCGAAAGATACGAACCCGAGCCAAGACGGACCGAACGTATTGAGGTCGATCGAAGAGTTGAAGTTGATCGCGAACGATACGAGCCTGAAAGACCCCGTTCAGCTGTCGACTATGATCGAGCGGTCGAATATCAGAGAAGTACAGTTGAGCGAGCTAGAGAACCCGAACGTGAACGAGATCGCACTAGAACAGTAGTTTATGAGCGGGAGCGGGAACGAAGCGGGAGTCCCCTACCTTGGGAACGGCGTCGGAATGATAGACCATGGGAGACGGATCGCGAAACCGATGTCACAGTCGAAAAGACAATCGCTCGACGTCATAATGAACCCTATGAACTCGAAAGATATTCCCGAGAGACCGAATACTATGATCGACCAGAACCTACCCCACCACCAATTATCATTCGACAAAGAGCTCCAGAACCCCAGCAAATTATTGTTCAAGAAGCGCCAAGCCCCGCTCCAATTATCATACCTCAAATTGCGCCAGAATCACAGCGGGTTGAAGTTATCGAAAGGAAGACGGAGATACAACAAGAAATCGTTCCACGACCTGAACCACGCAGAGAAGAGGATGAATACTATTACCGCCGAGATGTTCGTGAGGTTGGTGGTAGAAGGGACCGAGACGATGATTATGATCGTCGTTACGATGATGGATATGATAGTGAAGGTTATGTCCTACGAAAAAAGGTTGTCAAGAGAGAAACACGCAGTCGTAGTCATAGCCCTCATCACCGAAGACATTTGGCAGAAGGTGCCTTAGCTGGAGCTGGCGCAGCTGCTCTTTTGGCAAGCCACAAAGAAAAGCAAGGATCTGAAATTGCCCATCGTGGTAGAAACGTCATTGGTGGAGCTGCTTTAGGTGCGATTGGTGCCGAAGTGGTTACTAGAGCACGCAGTCGTTATCGCGACAGTCGTGAGGGCAGGAGCAGGTCACGATCAAGCAGCCCACATGGTCATCATAAGTTAAAGACTGCCCTTGGTTTGGCAGCTGCTGCAATTGCCGCTGGAGCTGCTGTCAAATATGCCCAGAACAGAACTGCAAACAAGGAAGAGTTGGTTCGTGGCCGAAGTCGACAGAGAAGTATGTCTCGTGGTCGCCGCTATTCTGATGGCGATGAATATTGGTCCGATGAGTACGAAAAGCGGACTACCATCATACGGGATGCAAGTAGGAGCAGAAGCAAGAGCATACATGCCGACCCAGCGCATCGTAAGAAATCCATGGCAAAAGCTGGAGCTGGAGCTGCTATAGTCGCTGGTGTCGCGGAGCATTTCCGGAATAAATCCCGAAAGCGTAGTGGTCAACGATCGCAATCACGAATTCGAACTGCTGCGGAGATAGCTGGATCAGGTCTTGCGGGTGCTGCAGTGGCCGGTTTGTATGAGAATAGAAAGGCCAAGCAGGAAGCCGAGGAGGATGATGTATACGAGAGACGGGAGAGAAGAAGAAGCAGGACTAGGAGCAGAACTAGAAGCAGGTCGAGAGCCAGATCTACAGGCGTATATTCTGATCCAGGTGTTGACCCAGAATTAGGCATGGTTCAGTACGGTACTGAACCTGTATACACGCACCAGCAGCCAGCACCATTCGATCGACCTAACGAGTACGATCCAGCTGTCGCGGCGGCCGCAGCTGGAGCTGCTTACGGTGCTACCAGACGTAGTCGAAGTCGATCACGCCGACACAAACGAGATTCATCTAGCGAAGATGGAGAACGACCACGATCGCGATCACGAAGTAGAAGCCGTAGCAGAGTCCGAGATCTTGCTGCTGGTGCGTTGGGTACAGGTGCGGCCGCCATTGGAATCAATGAATATAGAAAGAGAAAAGAGAAAAAGGAGAAGAAAGAGAAAAAGGACGCAGAAAAACATGAGCGTGAGCGCGAACGAAGACGTGAGGTCCCCCAGCACTCTAGATCAAGTTCCCGCTCGGTTTCCCCGTCGGAAATAAGATCGTCTCTATCCAAAAGATTTTCAAATCTTATCCCCAAAAACCCCGAATGATCTTGTTATTTCATTTTCATGTCCATAGGTACTTCCAATATCTGTTAAATCATTTGTTCGAGTGGCTCGGCCTCATGTACCTCTTTCTCTCGTACTGACATTCGTTTTGAATCAGGCTATGAAGACGAAGCACCTGAAAGTTACTACACGAATTTCCGTGATGAGACATATTCGCCTTCGCCGCCTCACGCTTCAGGAGGCTCATACTATCCTGATAATAATGCATTCCCACCACCTCCTCCTTCTAACCCAGAAACTCTCACCCATCATGGAAATAAATCTACACCTTTTGTTCATGAAATCCCTCCTATTCCTCCTTACAATCCTCAAGACTATGCAAGTCAACGCCCTACTACTCATGATCCTCATCATTACCCACCTTCATCCAGAATTCCTGGTGACAATGTGAGTACTCATCAATCTTCGAATCCCGCACCTTTTATGACAGTACCTCCTCATACAAGAGAGGAGTCTTATTTCCCTTTTCATGAAACCTCTCCACCTCAAACTGATCATGTTTACGACCGGGAGGGTGCGTTGCTATTATTCATTCCTTTCCATGTGTACAACATAATTATTATGATTCATCAATATACTAATACTTTATTTTTCTAGATCGTCTAAATGTTCCAAAACCATCAACACCCGATTCACCCTTGACACCAATCGAAGCTACCCCCTCAAACAAATCTGTCATGTTCGCTCCTCTATCTCCCACTTCTTCCCGTCGCTTAGAACGTATACGCAATTCGAAAGCGGATCAATCAACTTCCACGGTAAATACATATGAACAACCCAATCCATCTTCGGATCGTCGTTATAGAAGAAGACGAAGACGTAACTCGGATCCTTCATCTGATCGACCTTCCAGACCTCGTAAACACCGTAAACATAAGAAAGGAAGACATGGTGATGAGAGTGATAGTGAAAAAAGCGAGGATGATGACGTGGAGGTATTGCCAGCAAGGTTTGATAGAGATGGGAGACCGTTGAGTCGGAGTAGAGATGGGAGTGGGAGTCGCGAAAGAGAAAGAGATATTGCGAAGGAGTTTGGCGGTGGGAATGAAATGGTTGAGAGGGTGGTTAGGGGTGTGGGAGATGTCGTTGCGGGGAAACAGACGTGGGGGGATCTTTTGATGGGGTTTGTTAAGGAGGGTGGGTTGGCGGGAGGTTCGAGTCGTGGCTCGGTTGCGGATGCAGAGGATGAGGAGAGGGAGAGGGAGAGGAGTAGGGGGAGAAATGGTAGGAGAGCTAGTAGGAGCAGAGGGAGGGATAGGGGTAGGGATAGAGACATCTAGGGATTGGATGTAGCGGATCTGTTTTCTTTTCTCGTTTCTTCTTTTTGCTTTTTGTTATTTTTCCTTGCTGCGATACTTGGTATGGGTAATGATGTCACGGCCGTGGAAATAATACCTCTTCTTTACTCTTGGTTCTGCATTGGATTTTCTGCGTTGGATTTATTTCGTTGTGTTTTTCTTTTAGATACGCATTTTATGATTATCATGATATCATGGATATGGATATGTATATGAAAAATGAAAAATGAAATATGATTACGAATTATGGATACGACTTCCTTTTGGATTCTGCATTTGTATTTGGATCTGGACTTGTAGATGAATTCAAATTCTCGTCTACCGCCTACCTGTCTGATGTATAGGTTGAGTTGAGATGTGCTAGCATTTGAATGTGAATTGAATTGAATTGATTTGGTATGAATGTGAATGTAAATGACGTGGAATCTTGATAATTGCTTTTCGTTTGTGTTGATTAGATATTTGGATATCTGGATATCTGGATATTTGGATTCCTACTCAAATGTTCAGAGGTGCTTGGATGATGCTTGAATAATACTTGATTGATTATGTGATGTATGGAGGGAGGGAACGGAGGGAATGAAGGAAATGAAATATTGATGGGATGCGAGATATGTTATACTTTCTATGAGAGACTTGGAGTTCTGTTATTAATTGAGGAAGGGGATGAAAGATAGATGGGATAGATGGATGGGGGGTAGGTAAGAGGGTAGGTAAGGGGATGATTGTCTATATGTCCTATGTATATGTTACTTTCTTTTGTATGATATAATGGAGTTTGTATTGAGTTGGGGAGAGGGGGGAGAATGGAGAGGGTGAGAGGGTAAATTAGAGAGGATGATGGAGAATGGAGAGGGAGAGGGAGTTGGAGATGCTAGTGCTGCTAATATACTTGGAAATTAGTAATCAGAAGGTGGAAGTCAGAATGAGGAAGTCGATTTTTCCACGACTACGATACTGGAAGGGGTAAGAAAAGGCAGGATTGGAAGGTTAAGAGCAGAAAGAAAGGAGAAAGAAGGTTATCTTGAGAGGGGTGTCTTTCACACTACGTATGTGTGTAAACAGTGAAAATACGTGTATGTAAATGCTCATATGCTTTTCCCATCCTTCGCTATGCTATGTATAAATTGGGTATCATCGCTTTAAAATGCTAATATAGTGACTGTTTTTCTAGATGGATTAAACCATTTGCCGGCTGTAAAGAAAAGGGGATTAGTGAGTGAACTCGCTCATGCTGCAGACTAGCTAGGAATTTTCACATACCGGAATAAATTGCCTTAATTTAATTCCCGCCTGACCAAATACTGCTGCTGTTTCCGCATCCATGCTGTATCCTTGACTGTAAACCACTTCAGAAATCCCGACTTGCACAATCTTGATACTGCATGTGAGACAGGGACAGGTATCGCAATAAAGGATGGCGTTTTCGCGGACTCTTTCTCGACCGGCTTCGAGAAGGGCGTTTTCTTCTGCGTGAAGACAGAGACATGTGCCGAGTCCTACTCCAGAGCCTTGTCCTTCATTACAGCGAGAACAACCTCCTTCTCCGCAGTTGAGTAGACCTCTGGGTGTGCCATTGTAGCCGGTTGAGATTACTCGTTTTTCGCGGACTAGGACGCAACCCACACGGCGTTTCATACAGTTACTGCGCTGGGCGGCGAGGGAAGCTAGTTGCATGAAATATTGATCCCAGCTTGGTCGGAGCCGGTCTTCATTTGTCAAATCGAGTTTCCCGAGTGTAGCGTATAGGTGGGCGAGATCTGATGAGGTATTGAGGAGACGAATGGTAGCGCGGGAAATGAGGGATTGGAGACCGTGTTCGGGGTCGTAGAGATGCTGATCGGAACGCAGGAGGAAATCTTCGAGAGTGATTGGTGTGGAAGGTGTGTTGGGACGTGCTTGGAAGCGTTTCCAGCGGATGGAGACTGGGGCGTCGACGCTGACGAGAATAAAGAAGGGGCGTCGGAGAAGGGCGTCAAGGATAGACTCAGTGTAGATATTGGTTGTTACCCATCGTTCGCGCCAGCGCTTGGTTACGAAGTCGAGGAGGTCTGTGGTGCTTGTAAAGGTATATTGGGATTGCGATTGAGGTTTTGACTTCTGTCTCAGAGCTATGCTATTCTCTTCAACATTTTTTGATTCTTCGGTTGAAACGCCATTGGTGATTTGAGTAGAGTTCTTGCTACCTTGTTCTGGTCGAAGGTAAAGGTGAGTAAAGCCATGGTGCTCTACAAGATATTGTGCGATTGTACTCTTGCCAGCACAAATTCCTGTGATCAAAGGTCAACTAAATATTATTTGTATATAAGCTCAGAATATTCACTTACCTCCACACAGACCTATAAACATGACTTTTTTTTACTTTCTTCTTATCCCAAAGTTTCCTAAAACCTTTATTACAATTTTTGCTTCTCCAATTGTGTGAGGATGTGTGGTGGGAGGTTTTGTAAATTCCCATGGAAGTGTGAAATAGCAAAGGCAGCTTGGAGAGAAACAATCATAAATATGCCGGAGTATCACCGATTGGCTGATTATATAACCTCGGGCCATGTGAGTTGAATCCTTGTCTTACTGAATCACTCAACGTGCTGTATCCCACTAACCTAATTGCCCCTCCTCCATCTATCTCATGATTTCAACCTAAGACTCTAGTGTCACACTGCACCTCTTACAACTTGACTTCATTCATAAGATACTTTCAGTTCTTGCACGATCTCAAATTACCACATCAACTCTTACAAAATCTTAACAAAGCTAACCAAATTGCTTTGATCTTTAGAGTCAAGACTGTACCCAAGATACCGACGTTGCCTCTATTGAAGAAGGCCCTTGGGACGGTGAGGTAGAAGAATTAATAACCTCATTTTCTACTATACAAGAGCTATACACAGCTATTTGCGTGAGGAAGGTTAACAACCAACTCGACATGGCTTTAAAGTTCGCCCCATTTGCTTCTGAAATAGAGCTACCATTTTACACAGCTCTTTCCCAACTAAAGATCGATCATGATAAACTGGACGACTCTGCAAGACCTGTTCTTGGGTTATATGAACCAAGAGCTACGCAGAGCCCTGATCAAAGTTCTCGTATGAGAGTTCTTGGTAATGCTTTGAGTAGCAACGAGTATGGATTCGCCTTCGTGTTTCAATAACGCGTACTGATTCATTCATAGTGTTCCATCTGGCCACATTCGAGCTGAGGGCAAAATCAAGAATGTTAATACCATCGAAGATTTCAAAAATATGGACAAACAAGCAATGTTACAAACTTCTGCTAAACAAGTAAGTCCCGTGATCTTCTGATCGACTCGCTTCTATGACGTTCTGACAGGGGCAGATTTGGGATGCTATTAATGATGGCACCATTTATTCCATCCCTTCATTACTTTCTTCATTCACTATTTTGTCGTTTGCAAATTTGAAGAAATACACTTTTACATACTGGTTTGCTTTTCCTGCTCTCCATTCGGAGCCGGCATGGCGGAAAGTGGAACAGCCGCCTAAATTCAGCGCTGAAGAAACCACGGCGCTTACGGAAGAACTTGGTACATGGCGTTACAGCCACGATAATAGAGAGCATGGATTCTTTCTAGCCAAGCGAGTATATCCATCTTCGGACCAGCCACAAGATCCGGAGAATGAATCGACCTCTGACCTGCCCTTCAGGTGGGTTATTGGATCCTTGCGAGAATTCGAAGATGGTTTCTTTAATGGTGTAGATACAAAGGATCAATACGTATCTTTTGTTGACCCGTCTACTTATCATGAGAATCCGGGGTGGATGCTACGTAATCTGTTAGTTCTAGTTAGACGGAGGTACAAGCTCGACAAAGTCCAAATACTTTGCTACAGAGATAATCATGCAAAACGCCATGTGCCTCAGAGTTTAATCTTGATTTTAGAGAGCATTTACGACCCAGAATATCAGCTCACTGCCCCGGATCAGATTCCTAAAGTAACAGGCTGGGAGCGTAATAGTCTTGGAAAGCTCACTGCGAAAGTCACCAATTTGGCTCAATACATGGATCCTGCTCAATTAGCCGACCAAGCGGTAGATTTAAATCTTAAATTGATGAAGTGGCGCATCGCACCTGAATTGAATTTGGATACTATCAAAAACACGAAATGCTTATTACTCGGAGCTGGAACCCTTGGGACATACGTTTCGAGACTTCTGATGGGTTGGGGAGTACGCAAAATTACCTTCGTTGACAATGCCTCTGTTTCTTTTTCGAATCCTGTTCGCCAGCCATTGTTCGACTTCAAAGATTGTATTGATGGCGGTGCCAAGAAAGCATTTAGAGCATCTGAAGCTCTTCAGGAAATTTATCCAGGAGTTGATAGCACGGGACATGTAATGGCAGTACCAATGCTTGGACATCCGATCACAGATGAAGCTGCTACGAAGGCGAATTTCGAGCTTTTACAAAAGCTTATTGAGGATCACGATGCCATCTTTTTATTGATGGATACTCGTGAGAGTAGATGGCTCCCAACTGTAATGGGAAAGGCGGCTGGCAAGATCGTTATGAATGCAGCTTTAGGATTTGATACATACGTTGTGATGAGACATGGGGTTACTCCTGAAGATGGAGGCTCTGCCGCTCTAGGCTGTTACTTCTGTAACGACGTTGTAGCGCCATCTGACGTAAGTTTTCTAGCTATCCTTCCTCTTTACATGATTTACTAACATGACTCTTTTAGTCCGTAAAAGATCAAACTCTTGATCAACAGTGCACAGTCACTCGACCAGGTGTTGCACCCGAAGCATCTTCTAAGCTTGTGGAACTGCTTGCTTCTGTTCTTCAACATCCGCTGAAAGGTGCTGCTCCAGCTCCGAAGCTCTCCTCAAATCAACAATCTGGTCAACTGGAGTTTGATCGAGACCCACCAAATCATCCTCTAGGTCTCGTGCCTCATCAGATTCGAGGTTTCTTGGCCGCTTACAAGACAATGCTAATCAGCGGCCCTTCTTACAATTGCTGTTCAGCCTGCTCGCCAAAGATTGTGAATGCATACAAAGAAGATGGATGGGAATTTATCAAGCGCGCATTAACTGAAAAGGACTACATTACCGAATTGAGCGGCTTGGCAGAGGTTCAACGCCAAGCTGAAGCAGCTGCAAACGATGTAGAATGGGATAGTGATGAAGAGGGCATGGAAGATGAAGAGCCTGAATTACTATGATTGTGAGCTTTATATATGTTTCCGGACATCGAAATGGCGTTAAGCTATATATGGAATGGGCATTAACGGTATGATTTATGATTCTATTGGCGTTTTGCAGATGGTGGTGGAGGATTTTAGATTGGTTGGCATGTTTTTGGGGATAATATATGGATGACGAGCTTTCTCGGGGTAGTAGTAGACTAGACATCTCAGATTGGTGGTTCTGATGGTTTTGGTAGTTTTAGTCTCATGGAATCGAGATAATTGAAACGATCTTTAAGGGCAACTAGTTATTTCTCAATATAAGCTCGACGTGACTATTCTGCATGTGTGATGGTAGTTTCTATCTTGTCAAAAATTTAACTTTTCAATTGAGTCTCTAAAATGGTTCATCGATATCTTAATTCGATTAGTGACCCAGTCCAGCAAAGCTAATATAAGTTGTTTCAAATAGGGATTAGTGAGGGGTAGCTCTCCAACATCAATGATTGGCTGCATTTTTAGTGCGGATCTAAACGGGAGTTGCCGCACAATTCTCCAAGCTTCGAAGGCCAATGGCAAAAAAGTTAATGAACACCTTGAAGCTTCTTAGTACCTCAATTGTATTTCTTCTATCATACCGTGAGTCAAACGACTTTACTGCTTCTTCTGTTTCCATCTAATCCTTTGGTTCTTTAGATACTGTACATAGCATTACTATTTCTCAACCATGCGCTCCCAATTGACCCGCAGAGTCTTCCGTGGACTTTTGTCAAACGAAGGCCTTATATTACCATGCCAAAATCGAGCGCCATCGTCATTAACACTCCGACGTCGCCGGAATGCACTCCCTACAGTATCTTACGCACCTCGTCGTTCTCTTTTTGGATTTTCTCGGAAACCTCCACGACAACCAAAAGCGCCAGACTTGGAACCCGGAATGAAAAAAATGGCAGAATTTAGCTTGATGACGAAGATTCACGCACGAACTGCGAATAAAGATGATATGCTCAAAGCTTTCAATGAATTTTTCAAACATAAGGTCGATACAGAGCGAGCAGTAAATAATATCGAGGCGGGGCATGCGTTGAGGACTTTAAAGTATCTGGTTAGTTGTGGGTTGGGGGACGGACACCTTAAGGACTTTATGACGGCTTTGAAAGCCTTGACGATTATTCCTAAAGATGAGACGAACGATTTCCTAGAACTGGCAAGACTTCTCTTCCTAGAGATCAAGAAGCTGTCGGATTTATCTGGATCTAATGAGAATGCGCCAAGTTATGAACGCTTTATAAAGATACTGAGTGGGGTTGGGAAATCTCTGGAGGCTAGAGAGCTCTGCGAAGAGGAGGCTCAAAATTTTCTAGAGGATGAGAAATCTTCCTCGGGATCCTCGATTAAAGAGTACAGTGCCACGCAGCGCAAAATCATGAAACGGAACTGGTTTACCGTTTTATCTGGATTTGCGCGAGAAGGGAACGAGGTGGAACTAATGAAGACATACGAGAGATTGGAAGAGCTACGCATAGGACGTAATAACACCAGCAAGGAAATTGTCGTCAAGTTTTATACGTCTAGGGACCGTGTTCCGGAAGCGCAAGCATGGTTTGAGAAAGTTTTCTATGATCCGGTGGAACTTACCCCCAGCATACTGCAAGATATACTCAAATTTTGTCTTCGTCATGAGGAACTGCTAGACTGGTGTAAAGGTATCTTTCGCAAAGTTCTCGAATCAGAAAAATTGCAAAAGGAAAAGTGGGATGTTGTGTTTCAATGGGCTGCAAGTGCTATGGACAAGGGCGTTGAAGATGTGGAACGTATGATGCGTATCATGGAGAAGCGCTATCCTGACGATCATTCTATGAGACCTGATATTGACACTATCAATGGTTTGGTCGAATATGCAATATCGAAAAATGATCCATATCTTGCAGAACGTTATATCGCATTGGGGCAAAAGTTTAATATTCGTCCAAATGCAAGAACTTTCATCCTGCAGATGGACTATCGAGTTGGTGCTGGAGATCTTTCGGGTGCCCATGCATCCTATAACCTGCTCCAAGGCGAGGAAATTTATAAAGATGAGGATTTGCCCGTCATTAATAGATTTGTCCGAGCACTCTGTGCCTCTGAAAATCTGCCTTACAACGAGATTTCATCAATCATTTCCGATCTTGACGAGCGTAATGCAAGGTTAGAGGCGGATACTGTTTCGTCACTCTCTACAATGTACATTGCCCGTAACGAACTTCATGATGTAGTAGATTTGCTACAAGTCAATACTTACCACTATACCCTTTTAGAGCGAGCTCAGATACGAGATGCGATACTCGCTTTTTGTTTTGACAGAAACAACCATGAGGATCGTATATGGGATGCTTATCGTGTCGTCACCCACATTTTTGACGAGACCGATGTTCCTACACGGACGCGCATTATGAATGAGTTTTTTGATCGCAAAAGATCGGATATGGCTTGTCATGTCTTTGGTCACATGCGGCAACATATCAGCCCTAACAGACGTCCTGTGTTAGAGACTTACATAGACTGTTTTGTTGGTATAGCATCATGTGCCGATGCCGATTCTCTCGATATGGTTCACAATATGTTGAAAATGGACAGTACCATAGAACCTAATACCCGTCTATACAACTCTTTAATGCTGGCTTATACAGCTTGCGAAGATGCTAGTCGATCTCTACATTTCTGGGATGATATCACAAATTCTCGCGAAGGACCTAGTTACAAGAGTCTGGAAATAGTGTTTCAAGCATGCCAGAGGAAACCTTTTGGGGATGGACCAGCAAGGGAGATTTGGGCTAAGATGAAAAGGATGGAGATTGAAATCACGAGGGAAGTTCATGCTGCTTATGCTGGTGCATTAGCTGGACAAGGAAAATTAGATGAGGTCAAGGTGTTGGTGGAGGCTATGGAGAAGGATGTTGGGTTTGGCCCAGATATATTGACGTAAGTTGTGTTCTGATTCTATTGCTCTAAGTAGTTTTCTAACATGAAGCAGCATTGGAACGATTTATAATGCAATTCAAGGCTCAAATAGGAAAGACTTGGTGGCGGAATGGACAAGGGAATTATATCCAGAGGTATGGAAGGAGGCGGAGAAACTGGGATTTACGGAACATGAGGAGGGTCACATGGTGTTGAATATGCCAGAGAGGAAACTTAGAGCTTGAGTGAAGGTTTTATGTTAAATACATATTTATATTCAAATTTAAGCTGGTTATGACTAGTCGGTATTCAAAGTTTACTACAGACAATACTAAAGTTTAATTTGCTTGTATGATGATATACACTATCTTGATTCTCCATGTATCTTGTTCCACTGTTGATCTCTATCTTTTATGGATAGATCAATTAGGACAAGAGGAATCTAGATTTTAAGACAGTTGTTGTTAGATAGCAAAATTTTGCGCGGCTTGATATGATCGATGTTGATATGTTTTCCCCGTTTCTTCGGAGAAGACAATCAAAATCTCGTCCCTGATGACTAATATCTGTCACAAGATTCAAGGGGCATGAGAGTCATTTGCGGTCATTGTGTTAGTATAAGTGGGATGGAATATTCAGCACAAATGAAAATGTTTCTGGTGTTTACTACATCATTATAATGAATGTATGCTGCTTTTGAACAACATGGGATTGTTGTCTGATATCTTTTTATTTATTTACTCCATTCTATAAGATGAGTTTGGGTAGTGACTAGGTAATCTTTGAGAGGTTTATGGTTAAGCTGAATGCTGTTAGATGGCAGATGCTGTACTCATTGTATCGTCTAATCCACACATTGAGTAGCTGTTGTTTTTCTGTCACTAAAGAGCGCCGACTTGCATTGCCGTAATGGTTTCGATATGTTGGGTTACGGTGAGCTGAATGCTCTAGTGGTAATTTGTCATCAACCGTACCTGTGTATAGTATGGTATGCTTATTTCGTAACAGCGTTGTATGTGTGTGATACTGAGGGTGATACGGTCAGAATGTATCATGTTTACGGTATGTCAAGTCCTCTCGTGGTAACCTAACATCAACATTATCTCTGTATAGTACAGTGACTCAATTATTAACAGCCTCGTATGTGAGTGATATCGAGAGTTATACGGTTAGAATGTATCATGTTCACGGTGTGTCGAAATATTGTGAAGCTAACAGCATATACGCTTACACCGTATCAACCCCTTCGGCTGTGGATATCTTTTTCTCATATCTATATATGTTCCAGTCACGTCTGCTCCATCACAATTTTCTATTCTTGATTCCCAGTCGCAAAGTCGCAACAGTTCAATCAATCCAAAAGCATTACCACCAATTAATTGTTCCTCGTCAACATTATCAAAACCACATCAAGATCATCAGAACTGAATCAAGTCAACTTCTTTAAATCGCAGCAAGTCAATTTCTTCAAGTCACAAGTATCATCAAAATGAATACTCCAAATTCCATCTTCTCAAGACGCTGCCAGATAAATATTTTCCAATACAGATGTCTCCACAGCGGGCAGGAAAACACCGCAAGATGCAGGAGTCATTTCGACAATCAGCCCTGTATCCCTGATGTGGTTTATACGGAGGAAGTCAAGGATAGAGATTGCGCAGAATGTGTCATGAGGTTAGTACTCCCTTTCAATTAGGATTTCTAGATTTGAGATTCGAGATTTGATGGTGGGATCTGTGGCTAACTGCAGACTAGTAGTAGAGATTCCGGTTATGCTTCAGATGAAATTTACATGAATACTCCCACGAACACTGCCACCAAATCATCAGGATTCGATGATAGCAGAGTATTCAAGCGATCCAGTCTTTCCAATCAAAAGCGAAGTGGCATTAAGCACAAATCCACATTGAATGGAACAGGAGGAGACAAGTTGTCAAGAAGCAAGGATATCAAATCCCACCAAGCTAGAGGTGATGAATTGAGATATAGAAGAGCTATTGTCAAGTCACGTAGCGAAGGTGGACACAGAATTCCTATGAATACACCCACGAAGATTTCTAAGAAGATACCCAAGAGATCGAGAATGGGTGCAAAGGCACAATTGAAGTCGAAGATGGAGGCTGAAATGACGGATGAGATGGAACTGGACATGGAGATGCACGGATATGGAGATAAGAATGATATGGCTGATCTATCTCGCAAGCTGGATTCTCTTACATGCGATTAAGTGGGATAGCTAATCGACTCTGGATTGAACTCAACTGGGGTTGTCAATTGCAGAAGAGCAATTTGTTATCAGGGCTTGACGCGGAACAGGAATTGTATTTACTCTGATTAGTAGCTAGTTGGAATATGACAAACAGCATCGTTTAATTATTTTAGCATATAATTCTGATCCGCTAATCGAATACCATATTTAACCATAAACTCCACACACTCTTATTTATTTGGTCGTTTAAATCTTCGGCTATTTTCCTAACCCCTTCCCACGTCGTGAACAAAGTCTAAGTGAAATATACAGTCGCCATTTCAAGCAACACAGTGTATTCCTCAATAGCTTATATATCAGTAATTTACCCACAACAAATGCATATTCAAAACTCTTGAGAAAATCTCTTTTTTTCATGACATTTCATCACCAACATAATATTTCGGCTTCGGCTCTTTTGCTTAACACCGATGATACATTTAAAACATTCGTTGTTGTAGGTAATTGTAGAGGCTTTCGTGGCTGGCTATTTGCTAGATGTTTGATGAATCATGTTTCGAATGACTTTTATGACTTAGGATTACAGTTTTGCTGAGAAGAGTTGCATAGCCCTCTGTCACCGAAGCTCATTCAACGTTCCAAACGCCATCATGTGACAGAATGAACAATACTCAACGAGTCAGATTAGGCAGAGTTACAAAGTAAAAGTACCTAAATTATGCCATCTTATACGGAAATTCCTGTTGACATCAAGAATTTCTCTCATCCTGCAACTTCAACCTCGACCTCATGTTCATCATTCTCTCTCTGAGTACCAAGACTACATTTGGTGTTGCTCTACTTGACAGAGCTATTCCTAGTTCGCAGATGAGTGCTGTACTTGTTTGACCCATTTCTCTTGTCGGGGCGTCTCGGGCCCTTTCTCTCATTATTTCTAAATTTTGATTTTCTAGAGGGAAAACGTCCCTGTTAGTCCTACTTCTCAGATCCAATCAGAAGAATTATTGAAGTCTCTTACTTTCTTTGGCAATCAGGACAATTGTAGTTTTTGATCTCTCCAGTTTCAACGCGTCTGATATAACGGCAGGCCCAAGGAGTGGAGGCATATGTGGCACATTTGTGGAGATTTTGATGCTTACCGGGATCTCCGCATCTGTACTTAAACCAGTATGAAGTGCATTGTAGAGGTTGAGGAGGTACATTTTGCGCATTTTGGTTTGGGTAGTTGGCACTCATCCTGGATATGATTCGTAAGAGTAGCCATTGCTAAATCTCTCAGGTTTCGCAGAGTATATACTATCATTCTCAAAGAGTACATCAAAACAAATGATCCTATTCCATGTCAATGATTATGTTTTTCTGAGTGAAGTATTACTTTGTACGTCAAAGATATCTGTTAGCCTTTTTTGTAAGATGCTTCGAGTTTGAACCATGTCGAATCTCATTAATTGAACGAAAAAGAAGATGTAGGACAACTACATATACGGATATGGCTAACATGCTTCTTTATATGTTGGGCACGACAATAGTAGTTGGATGGCTCGAAACTTCGATCATTGTAATGATGGGACTGTGAAAGAATAAGTGTTCGCATGATAAGGACTGAAACTTCAGGTGAGATCGTCTATGAGTTATGTCGGTAGAAAGCTCACGATGAGCAGAGTCAATCCTACGCGATTTGAAAGCTTCTAGATTAAGAACCTCCAGGCAGGATTAATGCAATTTATCATAAACGTGATGAATGAGTACACCTGTTTTTGTTATGTACTTCCATGAAATTGATCAAAGAAAGGCGTCGGAAGAAATTACCAGTATATGCTTCATGACTGTCGGTGAGCTTTAGAGATTTTCACACTTCGCATAATCTTCACGGTCGTACTGGAATCGATCCAAAAAATGTACGGAAAAAAAAGGGTGAATTGTCGGTAATCACATATCTTGTCAATAGAAAAAGCTAATTGTCCGGTTTAAAGACTTGTGTGTAATTTACTATAAGAGGGAGTGAAAGGGTATGGCCTAACAAGATAATACTGAGTATTTTTTGTATTGTTGTATTTCTAAGTCAACGATCACCTTTGAATCTAGATTTTGCAAGGATTCTCCTTTGATATAGTCGAATATTCATACAGATTATATAGTTCAATGTTCATTGTTTTGAAGTTGATGACTTTATAGTTATTAAAGAGAGAAATCAGATGAATGAATGAACTATTTGACAGCCATTCCCTCAATCAAGTCCAACAGATTGACTGCATATAATGAATTTACCATCGAACAGAAATCTTGAAAGATCGCAATGATTGTGGTGAGTGATTGACATGTTCTGCGTTAGATACCACCAATCATTCCTTTCCAATGTGATAGCATAACATGCTCGCTCTTGGTCAATGGCGTGTAGAGCATTTTTTGGTTTGCTACCTTCATTTCCATTCGTGTCATTCATAGTTCCAGAGATCAAAGAAACCTTGTATAGTGCAGAAGTAAGTCGCACACCCCACTTTTGGGCCACCCCTCTTTTGGGACATTTTATAAATCTCATCACTCTAACCAATCATTTCTTTTTAATCTTCAATAATTCAATAACTATTTAATCAATTGATTTTAGATTTTGGTATATTATTCATTATCTTATAAGAAATGGTTATACCAAAGATGATATTGTTATAATATTTAATGTAATAATAAGAGATATAGCTATTTGTAAAGCTGATTTAGAATATGGAGTATCTTATATTATTCTTTAGAATTATATAAAAGATCATCTTTCTTATCAAAAAGGTACTGAAAATATGTAAAAAATAATTTCAAATTAGAAAAAAGTATTAGTAGAATAAATATTAATCCAAGAAGTTTTAGGTATTAGCCTTACACATCGGTAAATACAAAAAATCAGTGAAAGCCTTTTTGAAATAAGAGGGAATGAATCTATATTTGGAAAATAATGAATATCTAACTTTTTATATAGAAATTTTGAGATTTAAACCAAAAAACAATTTAGAATTAACAATCAATATATTTCAGGTACTATTACTGAAATTATAAGTAAGTTTTTTAAAAAGTTGAATTTGCCAGCTATTATGTATATTAAATTAGAAAATAGATAGAATATGGATGAAACTAATATTATGGAAGGTCAGGGTTTAAATGGTATGGTATTTGAGAGTACTAAGTAATATTTTATTCAAAAAAAGCAATCGGGTATAAAAAGCTGAATCTTTTTTATTGAGTGTATTTCAATTGTAGAAAAAGTATTTTTATCTTTCATTATATATAAGGGTAAAAGTATTTAATAATAATAATTCTTTATAGAACTTGATAATTATAAAAGTTAGAAATTCTATGCTATAGAAAATGGGTGGATTATTAATGAAACAGGTCTAGTATGACTAAAAAAGATCTTTATTCTTCAAATAGTTCTCTTTGATTCAAAAAAGGCTAGATTGCTTGTTTTGAATGGGTATATAAATTATAAAACTACTCAATTTATACTTGAATGTTTCAAAAACAATATACACTTTTTATTTTTATTACTATATATATTATATATATTATAACCTTTCGATTTATTAATTTTTTTTTCCTTAAAAAACGAATATTGGTATAAACTTAATAAATTAAGTTTATTATCAGATTCTATACCTATTGGCAAAAGGAATTTTTTTGTATGCTATCATAAAATAAGACTAACTAGTTTAACATTAAATAATATTATTTCAGAATGGAAAACTTCAGGTTTATAGCCTCTAAACCATACTAAACCTATTATATCGAGATTATTACTTGAAAACAGTAATAAGGAGGTTGTAAATATAAATCCAGTCTCAAATAATAATCTAATACTTCAATAGAATACAGATTCATTTTTTATTCAATAGGAAATGTTTCAAAAAGTAAGCGATATATATAAATATACTTTAATAATAAAATCTAAAAAGGAAATAGATTTTCATACTCATCAATTACTATTTCGAAAGATTCAAAAGGTTTTTGATACTAAGAACTACGAAATTATAAGTTTTAAGCATCGAATAAAGAAATTGGAATACAAATTAGAAAGTATTATACCTAAAAAAAGAAAAAAGGTTTCTACTAGTCCAAATTCGAAGTTTTCAGGGATTAATACTATATATCAAGCTCAAATCAAAACTAATAACCATGAAATTGATATAGAGGATTCTAATAATATATATGAAACTGATACTACAGAAGATTGTATTAAGGTTAGATAGTTGTTGAATTATTGAAGTTTGAAAGTTGTATATAGATATTTTATGAGGTGGCCCAAAAGGGGGGTGGCCCAAAAGTGGGGTGTGCGACTTAAGTCCAGATGAAATCCCAATTAAGAAAGGTTATGTATGTATGATTTGATACTCTGAGTTCTCATACCAGGTTGAAAAGCAAATCTTGCGCGAACGTGAGCGGTGTCTCAGCTTCAAGTATGCTGCAGACTCCAATTCTTGAAATCTCGATCTCTTTCGCTGTTACCTCCAAAGGTGTGCATATCAGAAAATGTAGCCAGGAAGTTTTTTGGTTGGTGGTTTCATCTGTGTGGTATCTTCTTGCAACTAGTAAACAGTATATTTCAGTACCGTTTGCAACAGAGCAGATTTCATCAACTGTCGCGACACATGGAGGCACATCCAAGTTGACTTTGAAATTTCGATTATAGTCACACTTGAAGACAAGTCTGGGTCTGATGGAACCACGAGAGTGCTTTCGTTCCTTGTACACGATGGCAGATATATATAGACATTGGATTTTGATACAACCTGTGCCTTGCATATTGTGCCATTCACTAGCTGAATATGGTATATTGGTCCCCAAATATTTGAAGTTCTCGTCGGGTGTGAGCACTTGGCCTGGGTGAAACACAATTGAGGTGGTGAAAGAACCTACGCCTTGAACCAGAGAAGTCCAAGACCAAGTGGGGGCAAATGGCTCTTTAATTCGTCTTAGATCCATTCTTTCTCTCATGTAAGGGCTTCCAGTAATATCCCACAACAAGCCATTTGCAATATCAGAACTCCATAGTCCAGCCAGATACCCACAATTCACTTTTCTCTGGAATTGGGTTGCGATTCCAATAAGCGCAATCAACCGGTCTGATTCCCTGGTGATCAACAATCGCGAATACTCTCTGACCAATTCGTTCCATTGATTGAATATTTCGTAAGCTTCAGGTCTCAAGCTATCTTGATCCTTCGAATTACTGCCTGAACCATCATTCATTCTTTCAAGAATTGTGCATTCGCAACGGAGACCTGATTTGCATTTCATTACGAGTTCGGAAGGATGGAAATGTAAAGTTCGCGGTGCTAATTGTCGTTCCTGAAAGACCCAAGCTCGAGACAAAAGAGGGGTATTTATCTTATCTAACACGTCTGTTCCAGAGCTTACGCGACTATTGTAACGGTGATGGACTGACTCAAATGAAGGGCGGAGTCGAATTCCCCAATCGATATTCCTGTATTGATCGGTGATGGGGTGTGACTTTGTTCCAAGTGTGAATGACAGTCGCTTCAAACATCTTATCTTAAGACATCCACCCTTACTATCTCTTGCACCTGTTGCAGCGATATTCAAATAGCTGTTGGAATAGATGGCAGCCATGCATGCTGACTCGCGTTTCCAGTCCGCATCATCATCTTGAACTATACACAGACTATTTATCCATACAAATTGAATCCTAAGAGCTTGAAGTACTTTTATTGATTCGCGGAAGGTTTTAGGCAAAACGCTTAGTCGTATTCCCTTTTTATGTTTGCTTAAAGAATTCTTAGTTGTTTTTAGAAGCTGGATTTTTCCCCAACAGTGACTAAGTGTCGCATAACGTGTAATGGCTGTTCTTGACTCCGAGCTGTTGCTTCCATGAACCTCCACAAGAATGATTGCATTGTGAGCTCTTTTTCTTATATCAAGTAGCCTTGATGGAAGGGCTTGTTCATCTGCTGCTTTGATACAACAAGAGCTGTGCTCATTGTCGCATTCTTTTATCCATCTATCAATGATAGATTTACATTTCTTTATCGACAATTTTGGAGGCACTTCTTCAGATATGCCAAAGGATTTTATCCAAGGATTGTTGGTATCAGTTCCCTGGCATGCATCTAGTAACACTGTGAATAAAAGCTTGGCATGAGAATTCTGTGTGCCCTACCTCTTTTGGAAAAGTACTCGAAGCGTGGCAAGTTCTTGAGTTCCAATATCAGTGGAAACCCTTCACGAAGAATCAAAGTCCCCCCTTCTTTCACATCTATCCGATGATTTCTAGTCGAATACTTCTTTTCGATCAAGCAAATTCCACTTTGAATAACCGAACAATGAATTCCAGTAGAATTTTTAAATTGGGCACTTTCAAAAGCCAGACGATGTTCACAAGCACAATCATCTGTGATGTGAATCTTCCAGTTGATCAATCCACCTGCGGAGCCAGGATTTAAGTCAAAACATACTTCACAACCAGGCATATTGACGCGAAGTTATCTAGACTGATTGATGAAACTCGATGAAAATCGACGTTTTTATTGGGGCCTTAGGGGAGCAATAAAACAACTCGGCAACAAGCCTTATGAGTCGCTTCATATATGGCAACATACTCGAACCACCATTCGACTGAGAACTACATCACGAGTTCAATGGATGCACGTTGGTATCATCTTAGGAGTCAGTAATGCTGTGCAACTGGTCGTCCACGTCATATGCGTGTTACCACATATGGTTTTTTTTTTTCGTTTTTTTTTTTTCGTTTTTTTTTTCGTTTTTTTTTGTTTTTCTTTTCTTGAAAGCCTTGCCCTTTTTTTTGGATTTGGTACGAAAATTCTGGAAACGAGATCTGATGAATTGCCTCATCCTCTTTTGTCTGATCTCACTAAAATCAAGTAGATCACTGATAAATTTCCTCGTCGACTCAAAGAAACGGCTTCGGCATGACAGGATCCAGCAACCTCTCGTTTATTGAAGGATAGATTGAGTGTTCTTGTGAGTACTTGACTGCGTATTTCCAACCTGGGAATTCATGCGGTAGTATCAGTATCACTGTGACACTATTCCTCGAAAATTGCTTCTTTTTCATAATTATTGCTGCTATATTATAGACATCGTTATTATTCTTTCATACGTATGTAAGACCTTGGGAATTCGCAAGTTTCGTTAGTGTAACAAGCAGCAAACGTTTTGTATTTACTCTCTGAGTTTCAATTCTTGACACGCACTGAATGCGTTGTGATCAGCCACAAATTCTGATTAACAAAACTCCTTCAAAACCTGAATGAATTCATGCCCCGCATCTCTTCAACGATGTGTGCACAAAACTAAAGCCTGAAGTGACACCAACTGATTAATCACGATTTCATTCTCTTTTCACCCATTTTTTTCGGCCCTTTGTATTTCCGACGCTTCTTCTTGTCACGATCGAAAGGTGCAAGTGCTCTACTCTTCTTCTGTTTTCTCCGCTTATTAGGGTGTTTATTACGAAATCCAGGAGGATGTTTCAAAGATCTACAATGTGATTAGTCCATATAACTTTTGAATCAAAAAAGTTCGAACACATACTTCCTCCTACGTATGGCCAAACAACCATTACACATTTCTATCGCCAATCGTGCGCGATAATATTGAGTGTAATGTTTTCCACAATGATAATTGGTACCTTCATGCACATTACACCAGGAGTAATAACGCACATCGGCTGTCTTGTTACATTCATTGCAGACATAGACTATGGCTCGACAATATCGACGCTCGTCTCCCAACAAGGCGTACATGGTGATCCACAGCATTCTTGTGGCCTCGGATCGCAGAAAATATTGGGGATTAGAAACAATTTTTAGTCGTGCGAACCATGAGCGTGCGATGCTTGTGGCTATTGTGGGATACACTTTTGTTGGTGGGATGGCAACCTGTGTATTGAGAACACTTTTTTGGCGTTGAGATGGGCTGAAAATTATATATATCAATCAGAGGACTTCTAGTATTTTCTCATCTGTCTTTTCAATTACAAGATAAGCTGAATGCTTCAGAATGATGAGATGAAAGACGTGATTAAGAAGACATCCCAACTTCTCACATTTGAGGTCTTCTCGAAGTGCACAAGAAAACTTTAAAAGCATATGGAAAGGGTATGATTGTTTGAATTGAATCTACTGTTCGAAATCACATCTTTGAAGTCTTATATTTTCAAAGTGAATTTGCTTCGCGGTCTGTAGTGGGATTTGTTTTTATGGTAGAAATTTTTCTTATAAAAAATTTTCATGTCTCCTGCTTAAATTTCTTTCTGTCAAAAGCAATCAATGCTTGAGTTTGTCTACGAAGCTTCCAATTTTTCAGAGCCCGAAAGAATATTACTCTGCCGGAAATTCTGGGCAAGTCTTAAGCATACTCTACCATTCCATAACAGACGTTATGCATAATTGTATGATCTGATCTGAGGCTTTCCAACACAGGGAAAGAAGGAACTGGAAAGACATAAGTACACGACCGCTTCTTCTTGGTGAATAAAGGGGGGCGGGAATTGAAAGAGATAAAGGGAAAGAGAGGGAATGGATAACAGTGATTTAATTCTTGGATCTGGCAGCTTCTAGAGCATATGTACGGGACACTAGGCTATATATTTCTCCACGAAATTTGCTCTCAAACAAAAATATTACATCAAGTTTTTGAATCCTTATCTGTCTTCGACCCTACGAAATTCACACAAACACTTATTCCCAGATATCTGAACTACACAATGTGTAGTTTTGAGATCACAATATGCTCAGCCAAGGATGCACATTGGATAAAGCTCGATGCAATTAACCTGTGTGCACGAGCACGGTCAACTTTCATTCCCTGCAGCATCTACTCAGCAGGCGAAGCAAATCTTCGAAAACTTGCTCTTCGGATGTATCCTGAACCTTGCCGTAAATGTCATCCCAATATAGAGCAAGACGTGTAAGTACTTCTAACACCTAGATAACAGTGTTCGCATTCATTCTTCAGCTCTCTACAGCTAACTCATGCAATACAGAAAGGAAGCAATGTCCACTCCTATCGCGACAATTCTCAGTGATCAAGAGATCGTTTCTCAATCTCAGACGACGGTCAACGATATTGGCCATGAAACAAGTAGAAAGCTCAGTTTGGAAGATGGTCATACTTCAGATAAACCGTGTGATAGGCGAGGTGGCTGACATGATATGGATGGCGGATGCTAGTTACCGCGCTCTCGTGATTCACGGGCGATGGATGATGTATCGATTCGGGATCTAACACTGATACTTCCTCTTTCGTATCGATATATGTCAGGATAGTATTTGCAATATGGTCTCAGAGTATTAGTTCGGCGCAAGATACGGAGAGAAATTGGTGTGACTGGAATTTGAGATGTAATTGAGGTATTTTAATATTTTCAGCTTGATTTGCTGTGCGAAATGTTCAACAGTCAGTAATAGTTAATCGAAGCATGACATTCTAGTTTACTCGATCAAACTGTTGATGCGGGCTGCCAGAAGATTTACGAAACTACGTCAACGGGATTTGTCATCTACCCTCTAAACATCCCAGGTGCTACAATTGCCCAAGTCACCTCCCTTTTACAACCGCTTCTCACCGAACTCGATCAGAATGGTGTTGCGTACAATTTAATTGTCACATCGGTTGCTACGTTCTTTAATCATCACGCCAAATAAGGCGTTCCCGTGCCATATGAAGATTGCACAATCAACGACATGGTAGGAAGCTATCAAGCGCGTCTCGGAGTATAAGCTAAAGAGTATCTCAGAGCCGATGATTAGATAATCACGCCGCAAGCAGTGACGATAAATTATCGGCCATCTTGAATGCATTTCTGTTGAACTGATTTTATTCAATGCAGGTGGCTGACAATGGAGGAGTAGATATACGGTCACATATTGAATGGTTGGAACAACATGAATCATAGTGGCGCTAGCCTTAGACAAAAAGAACTTTTGTTGGATTTGTAAAAGGACCTGTGATGGAAACGAAAGTGTCACCAAACCAATTAACAAAAGTCCATTCAAGCATCCTGACTTAGATCGGCTTGCATTAACAAATTTTCAAAGAAATATCAAACACTCTTATACTCAACGCAACTCTCTGATAAAGGCACTACGAAAATGATACCCATTTGGGTTACAATTATGCCAGATGTTTGATCACTTATTTAGCTCAGTTTATTCCTAACAGAAAGTATTTCACTGAGACCACCAGCAGATGATGTCTCATGCCATTTCCATGGGTTCGAGTTGAATAGTGATGAGCATGCCAAACAATTGGCTGTTAACAAGAATTCACATTGAATGATATCACTCTTGAGACCTCCAACTGGAGTAAAAAATATTGAAATAAGCTGAAAGCCAGCTTTTCCATTGGATGTTCGATCTCAAACAATACTACATGAGAGTAAAAGGCGCTTTACAAGTGAATTTCAAAGCAATTCTTTCTACTTTTTCTCTTTTTGTGAACGGTCTATGAAGAAGTTCTTGGAGATTAGCTAGCCCAAATGTCCTAAATTTATCTTTGTAGAAATCTCTACACATAAGTATTGCGTCTTCTTCTGTAAATTAGTCCAAGGTTTTAGTTTTCATCCCATTTTCTTTTGAAATCCGACGTCCAACTGGAAATGTGTATCTACTACATTGAGACTTGTCTTGAAGGCCACGAATGTTCTCTCGTTTTCACCAGGGCCTGTAATTATGCAAACAGTTGCAGACCGCTCAGATATTGTGATATAGAAGAAGTAAGAAATGGCAATATACGGAAAAGCAAGAACGCGAGAGAATATTGTAGGCTTTGCGAAGTAGACAAGTAAGTAGTGATGTCCTTTCATTTATCATTCTACGAGTATCTCAGGTACCAGCTTTTCTTTGAGGTGCCGGAGGAGAAACCATGAATCGCTTCGCAAGTCTTGATGCAATTCAGCGTGTATCGCTAATAAGACATGGTTAGACTATGGGAGGCTCAAGAAGACGCTGCCAAGGCCGCGACCGTGATCAGCGAGGAAGACGAGGAAAAAGAAGTTGAAGAAGAGGAGCCGGCGATAGCGTTAAAGAGAGAGGAAGCATACGAACAGAAGAATGAGAAAAAGGAGGAAACAGACAAACTAGACCAATGTACAGTGACTCAAAGTGGGCGTTCCCAAGCTCCGGCCGCAGTAAGACGCGGTAGGAGCACTGGAAGGGGCTTCAAAAGTTCGATGCCGGCGAATAATACCCCAACGAAACGTGGACGTGGCCAAAATGAGAACTTTGGAGAAAAAATCCCAACTGCCAAAAAGCAAAGAACAAATCAGTCAAGAAAATCAATGGGCTGATATCATGGGCGGTAGTGGTCGAAGTAAACTGAGAAGAGACGAGGTTCACTTGATACAAAGATAAACTTCCAATATTGGTAGGTCTATTGGGTCAGCTTAGAAGAATGATTTGACTGCGTACAAATAAGAGTATCCTCCCTCGTTTGTAATATTGTTTAAATTGAGACGTATCGCACATTCAATAGTCAAAGCTTTTGATAAATATAATCCGTAGAACTGAATAAGTGAACGGTTCCCAAGACCTCATGGCGAACCACTTTATAGTTATCAACATTTTCGAGTAGAACTCCAACTTCCGAAATTGGATTCCACTATCTTTTTGAAACTTTTGCTAACCGTGTTTTGATAACAGCAGCTATCTGGTTTTCTATGCAAAGTTCAGAATTTTTCTCCCGGAGGGCTTCTCGGGAAATCAAACAAAGAAAGTAGAAGATGTGAAGATACTGGATTAATCCTTGTTTCATGGATTGTATATCATCACTCTCTGGTGTCGCGGGATAAAAAGAAAGCCAGATGCTGAGTGAGTCCATTTAGATACTGTCATGCACTTTCAAAGAGCCTGTTGGCCTTTTCAACAGATAACAATGTCGCATGTCTCATTTCATTCAACGCTATCTAAGTCAGAGTGTTCAGAATAGCAATTTTACAGTGATCTTTGAGCTAGATTTCTATTTTTGAAGAAATTTTCTTTCAAATGATACTATAAGAAACAGGACTTCTTCCAGAACTTTCATATTAATCTATAATGTTTCCTCTAGTTTCTTTATTTAGGGTTTGCTCAATAGAGGATTATATTATAAACGTTCTTGCTTCCGACCTCGTTCAGGGCTTTTGACAAAACTCGTTCGAGCCATTCTTTTCTTTGTGAAGATTTCAATGCATAGCTACAACATTTAGGCTCTCATATCTCATTAGCTTCAATATCATACATGTCTTTCAATTAAGGCAATGAAAAAGTTTTAAACAGCGATGTGTGTCTACTACACCGATGTATGCCTGCGAGGCCATAGTATTCTCGTTCACGCCACTGCCTGCCGAGCAGCACATCGACGAGGACCACATCAACGAGGAGAATACTGCCTACACAATGAGCAAACATTACATAATAGGTCCCAGCGGGGATTGATGTCAACGGATTCATGTCCCGTATGCCATGATGTGTAAGTAGCTGTCTTCTATTATCTCCAGCGCTCAGAATTCTGGTAGTCCCGGATCTCATGACAGTGGCTTAAAGCAAGCTTCATCGTTATTCATGATCCGGCAATATTGACTAAATTTAGAAGGTACCCAGCTGCGACACCAGGAGAGGATCAAAATGACGGTGGCGGTGGCAATGGTGGAGACGACGAAGACGACGACGACAAGGATGATAAGGATGACAATGGTGGCAAGGAGAGAAGAGAAAACGAGCGAACAGGAGCTTTTAAGACGACTTCTTTACCTACGATGAGAGGAGAGAAGCGTAAGCGCTTCCCAAAGATTATTCCGCCAAGAAAGAGAGCTACACGCATCATAAGAAGGCGTGAATCAGACCATCAAGAGGATATCTCGAAAAAAGCACTCTCAGGGGAAGTAAAAGGAAGACAACAATACCCACTGCGTCCCAAGATATTGGAGACGGATTCAAGAATCAAGGCCGAGAAAGTGACAAGAGATCGATCTTCGAGAGATGAATATGAAGAGGAAGAGGAATTCTGAGGGAAGATGCCAAGTACTAACATAAGGAAGGAGCTTGATGGTAGTGCGGTTGTTCGGCTTCTACTGGTAGGCTCACGTACACAGAGACAGACTTGATACAGAAGCAGAGCATAGTGACTTATTTAAGAAGCCTGCATGCATCGAAAATCTGAATGTTTTCTCGAACACGCTATAGCAATTTCATGTCAGCTTCTTGAGCACTTACTTCGCACTAAAAACCGGTCACATTAAGTCAAGTGAAACATGTGGTGAAAATGATGTAGTAAACCCTGACTAAACAATGCACCTCTACACAAATACACACAAGACTTGATTTCAACGAAGGTTTTCATACTTATGGAAAAATGAATACGACCTGGAGCTCCTGATCGTATCAAAGCGTAGTGCTTGATATGAAAAGGGGGTACGCCGTCTATCTACTACTCATAAAGCGATGCTGATTCATTGCAAATTCTGAACTGGATCTCCGAAAGTTATTCGCCGATATTAGAGTTTGAGTTTCCTCGATGATATCTGATGTGTTTGAAAGACGACTACACATCGACTTGTCTAGACCACTTTTTGCTGAAAAATCAAAAGCAACTCTACTCAATCGTCTAGACTTGGCTTCATTATCCATTGTTCAAGCCACTTCTAGCAATCTATTATGACTCGTCGCAGCGTGCAAGCCGTCAGTGCTTCATTGTGTTAACGGAAATGAGCACATGTGCAAAGAAATTGACGAAAATAGTCAAACACTGAGCTATCTGGTATCTCTAGGTTACAATAGGTACTCTACACTCGGTCGTTCTGCTTTTGAACAGACGTTGTTCTCTTGCGAGGTGAGAGGGTGCCATGACTTCGTTGACCTTTCGAATGTTACCGCTTAAAAAACATGACTGGACGCTCTTTGAACATCCGTGCATACATTACTAGCGAAAGCTATTGTAGATCTCATCAATCTCGCGAGGATCAAAATTAAGTTTTAACGTTTGATTGACTAACTTTCTGGTGATTGGTTGAATGATAGTTGAGGACTTCGCTGAGCTCAGCCTCGACGACTACCTGACCATGGGGCTTTCAGCATGAAAACTAGGTAATCGACGATTGCTGACTGAAACCTTGAATTTAGATTTATATCAATTTATCTCTTCCATAGAAGTGGCTTGGAGCTGTCTGCATGGCTAGGAACTTTCCCAGATAAGTCTACAATTGCAATTTTGGGTATGATATGCCACATCGACGAATATAAAAAATTTGTTCAAAGACTTCTTCATGATATCTGTATTTCTGTCTTACTTTGGTATCGCATGGAAAAAGAAAAGAATCGCGAACGCCACTTCCCGGAGTAATTTATGAGCTTCGATATCCCGGATCGGTGCTGAGGCCACCGCGAAGCTAACCAAACCACAAATCACAAATGTTCTCCTATCCTATTCCTTCATTTTATATTTGGTATCTAATTCATCACTCATTTCCACCCGTCTTTGCTTCCACTAAATTTCATGGTGATGCGCCCACGACAGCCGGTCCAACTCACACATGTAGCACACACGAGATACGTGAGGAAAACTCCACGTTCCACATCGTAACAGCAAAGTTCAATATTGTTTGAAGTCGCCCTTCGGTCGTGAACTTCGGTGCTTTCGTCTCTTCTCACCTCTCACTATCTGTCGTGTTTCAGGTTGAATGTGGATATCCTCTGGAGCTTCGAGTTTCTCGTCTTCATTATCTTCCAATGAGATAGGAGCATTAGGACTAACGTTTCCCCTTCCAAGAACTATTGGGGGTGGCTCTTTTCTCGGCATTACCATACTCCCTACCCAGGTTAAAGCATGCTGCCATAGTGCCGGTGGCTTTGGTAAAGCAGCAATATTGCCCACATTTGACATTTCGAACAAGTCGGAAGGAACATCTTTCATCGTAGGGAGATTTAACCAGACATATTCTTTCGAGTTATGAATATGTCCACGGACGGTCAAAGGGTAGAGTTCTTCTGGAAAGACGAAAGCCGTTCTAACAACCATGGGTCTATACGCAGGGATCAGGAGATGAAAACGTGCATTAATCCTTGATCTCTCAAGTCGTTTCCGCATAAATAACATCCAAGTACACAGGGCGTGAAGATTCTCGGACATGCCGACAAAATTACTTGGCACCGGTTTATTTTGAACGATGTCGTGGAACTCGCCGTGCCAATCTGTATCTGGGTGATAAAGAAAATAGAGATGCTCCTCATCACCACCATAGACACTCGCTGCCTCTTTCCGGATATACTTGTCAACATGCTTCGCGAATTTGTCAGGGGCAGCAAGTCCTGTCTGTGCTTCGAGTTCGCCATAAATTTTTAACCCGATTTCTTCAAGACCCGACGAACCCTGCAGTACTTCCATGAAAGCAGCGACAACATTCGCCCCCACCAGGAAGGTTTGAAACAAATCCAACCAGTTCTTGTTCTTCAAATATCGGTTCATTCCTGAAGCAAATGTTTGCACCTCCGGCACAACGGATTCCAGCTGATTCCTAAGCGCTGCCCCATTTTGATATGTTGTGTAACCTTCTGATAGATTCTTGACAACGCTCGAAACTTCGGTCAAGACTCCAGGAAATCGAAAGATTTGCTCGAGATGCATCGGTGCTATAGACGTTTGATTCGACGATGATCTCGATGATCCTTTCTTAGGCGCTGCGACAGCGAAGAGCTTTTCGAGACCCATTTCGTAATGTCTTAGGCGTTACTGTACTGCTTTGTGGCCTGTCTATCTCGAGAAAATTTTGATTCTGTGAATGAATGGACGCAGAGAGGGACAGGGCGTAGAGGTGTATCGAGGGGGAGATGCGAAAAAATACTGTTCTAATGTCAATCTCAGGTCGGCTCTTTGAGACTAATAAGACTCACATCAACCTCCAGGGCAGATATATATGTATGTAGCGTACGCAAGAAAGAAGTAAAATGAGAGAGGAAGAAGTAGCAGAACTAATGTTCCCCTCTGTTATCAAGAGTCATCAGGTAATCATGTTGCGGTGAGAGCTTCCGAGGTTCTAATGAGTGATATAAAAGTTTGACGGCGGATGATGTTTTTTCGATATGGATTGCTTTCTCACAACATTGATAGATGATTCTAAAGATTGCAGATAACTCGCCCCTCATTCACTTATCAGCAGCATTAATCTTATGATGTGAATCACATACATATCTACGATTTATGCAAACATGAGCAATTGGACTTGTCAAAATGGGGCTGTCGACGATGGGCCCGCTGTCAACGTAGCTGGCGGTGAGTGGTGAAAAAGTTCATCTAGGACTATTTAGGCTTAGCGAGTGTTTTCGATTTTTAGCGTGTGGGGTGCTGAACTCTATAGGCTTGAGAGCCTTGAGGTGACGCGACTTGCCACAGCCAACAAATCGGCATACAACACGACTTTGACAATTGAAACAATCAAATTTACCAATATGGGTTTCTATAGGTTCTTCAACCCCATCATTCGCTGGACAGGAATGTCTCCTTGCTTGGTATCAGAGCTCAAGGATAGCGGAGACGATAGACTACAACATTGTTCTGGTATCAGGTCCGTAGCTTTCAGAGAGTCTCATGATGCATTTTTCCCTGGGCAGGAGGGGCTATCTTAAAAAGTTGAGAACACAATGTGGCTATGCTATTTGTCTCCTAACACAACTATAATCGCCACCCTATGATTGGCCTGCTATTGAAGCTGAATACGTGAATTTCAAAGATACATCGATTGGTTTTTAGGCTCGCAGTTACAAATTCATGTGGATATGTCGCTTCGTATAGACTGTTTTCGACGTCGAAGCTACGAATGTGGGAATCTAATACAAACTCACTTCGGAATGATATAGTTAAGGTCGAATTTATTTCAATTCTGTTTCCCCGGCCAGCATCCTAAAGTGGAAGCTGGGTAACCCGGACAAGATCCCTTCAATCGAGCTAGGTTCAAACGAAGAGCTATTGATGTTCGGATGTCTAATTGAGTCATTGGAACACTCTTGTCTAAACTCTGGTGAGAAATTCCAGCGTGAATATAACCTACGGTCTGTACAATAGTTTCGAATTCTCTGCTCTGGCAGAGTATTTCCTCAAGCAAATCAAATAGAGTAATCTGCTCTTTATTTTAGAGACATTGTGTTCTCAACTGCAGCTGTTCCGGTAACCCTCAGAGTCTTGCTGAGGTTCAGACTAACATAGCCTGCTATTATTTGACTGCAATAAGTGACATCGCGGCAAATCATTCATATTGCTGTCGGAAATTAGTTGTAGCAATCAATAGAGAGAAAATATGAAGCCCACGGAAACCAACATCGGCTTGGTTCGAATGTCAAAACGCTTCTTATCTTTGACCACGGCACGACAATTCTGAATTGTTCTTTGACAAATCTATTCATTATGCAATTATAACGTTACAAACGCCTTGAAAGATGGTCTGATACTTTCTCCGGTACCACAACTTTTGTCCTATTCGTTTTGACTCTTATGATGACATCTTTGGTACCTCCCGCTCTCACACTCGATATGGCGGCTTTCAAAGTAACAGAAAAAACACGAAATAATCGTTTCAAGCTTATGTATATGTAGTACGCATAATCGCAAACTTGATGCTTATCGACTCGTGTGCGGATTCATGTCTTGACATCATGCGATGCTCGGGCAAAGAAGTGAAAATGAGGTCGATATCTGTATGATTTGCAAACATCAGCATAATGTCTCATGCTGTAACCTGGACTCTTTGAACTTCAGAAGTGGTCTTTGCCAGAGATAGTTTGTTTCCGGATCACAAAATGTGAATCTTAAAGTTCGAATAGAACATTGAAGCTTTGATGTTCGATGTTGACCTGAGCAATGGGACCTTAATGTTCTAGATTATGCAGGACAATGGAATAAAGATATTTACGGTTGAATTAGATATTTTGACCTCAATGTCCCAGATCTTATACAACTACGAGATCGCAATGATCGATATAGTATTCAAAAATAAAACCTAGGGTTTGAGATTTGATTTCTAGTGAATCCAAATTTCGTTCGCTAAATTTGTATCGAAGGAATAGACGAGAAGACTAATGATGAAAAGAGGAGAATGGGAAACCTCAGCAAGCCCAACCTCTTTACAGCAACATTCAAGGAATCCTATGCATGTTTTTAGAGCAAGGAAATAAATTACGTAAGATAACGCTGTATTAGAAGAAGAATATCCGAATAACAGGCATGCCTGATATAGTGTCACTCAAGATTTAGCTTTCACTTTTGGCAGATCGCGGGTCTGTACTTGAATTAGATACTACCGTTCTGGTTGAATACGTGGCACATTGAAATAACTTGATTGTTTCAGGTTCAATAGCGGAGGCTGTGACTGGCATGATATGCCGACCCCTTTGTTGGTAGGCCAAATCGTTCGCAGATAACAGGGTGCTGATAGGTATGACACACTGTGCGCCGTCACTTTGAGTCTGTCCGTATTGAAGATACTTCGATAGAATACGAAAAATGGGGTAGTACACAAACTCGTCGGAAGTAGATCTCTTCGACTTGTTATCTTGTTGCTCCAATTTTTGATTGATGTAGTTGACTTCGTGTAGGATTCCCGCAATCTTAATATAAGATGGAATAACGCCGAAAAATTGTGCGTGGCTTGAGGTAAGCTCATCTTCAATCTGACGAGCAAGACTTAAAGCCAGGTTAGACACAAGAGAAGCGGTTATGGCGTCCAGTTCTTCCTTTACAACCAATTTCCATGTCTCTTTCAAGAACTCCTGTATGCGTTGTAAATCCTCGAAGAAACAAAAGACGACAAATTCTAAGTCTATCTTATCCTCGATTTTCATCCCACATATATTCAGATGTTTCTTCGTTTTAGATTTAGACGCATTGATGATGTCATCAGTCGTGATATCGAGGTTTTCCGCACCAACATCTTCAACCTCCAACATGCCATAAATGTTTGTGCTATGAGCTGCGCTGCTGCCTCGTATTTGAGAATCGGAACTAGAGCCAGTTACTTTCTCTTTTCTAGTACAAGGATTGAGTGTAGCAAGTGCCTTCTCAAGTATTGAGATGAAATACGCATGTGTGCGGTTGGACTTATCGGCGTGCTGGTCCGTCTTGGTGTTACGAAACCACTGTGTGTTCAATTAGCATGACGTCATATTTAACATAAATATTCTTCGCTTGAAGGTGGGTAAGGTATTCTTACACTGGCACAGCGTGTTCGTGCCCTTATCGCACGCTCCAAGGTGTTCCGAATATTCTTTGGCATTTCCACGGGCGGCTTCTTGTGTTTTGCAATAATTTCTGCTTGCAGCAACATCTCTTTCGTTGAGATATACTTAGTTTGTAGAATTGGTGTCGAATCGATTGCAGCTTTCTTTGCTTCTTTTCTTGCCTTTCCCTTGAGTCTAGTGCTTGGTTGCGCTAACTGCGGCTTGGGAGTTTCGTTATCGTCCCCGGGATTGTATCCACAAGTCTCCGCAGCATTCAACAACCATGTTGCAAATACATTGGTATCTTCCTTGTAGCGTCGATAGCTTCCAGCTAGATTACTGGGTAACATGATTGATCTAAGTATAAAGAGACTGTTTGTTTTCAGATGTATTGATGTGAAGCTGAAATATGCTATCAAACAGAGTGTGTCAATTACATTATCATAAACTTAATCGATGGAAGTGGGCTGGACTAAGATAGCCCGAGCCCTACTGTAGACGGCATGTCTCGGAAATTGGTTTACATACACCGAAAAGATGTTAGTAGTCAATAATTTTCACGTGGCAACACGAGTGATTATCAATTATTCACTTCAGTAGGAAACAATATTCATGTATTGTCTTGTTTTTGGGACATCCTGTAAACAAGTGAGGATCATTCTTGACTAGGGGTAAATTGATAATTTCTTATAGGTTCTTTATATACAAAAAGCTACTATCAATGAGATTAAGTTGTGATAGACTTGATTCAACGAGCAGTTGAAGGGGTTAAACAGTCATTGTTTATACTCGCACTTACAAACATAACAAACGATTGATAATACTGAAAACACTGGTTAGTTTTACTCATGTAGCACACCAGTTGTATCTTGGCTCCCCGGGTGATAGGTCAAGCGATTTTTGAACAAAGCTTGTTCGAAGCGAGACCCAAGAAAACTTTTCGAGCCAACTCATTAAGGCTCTTAATTTCCTGAAAAGCTATCATTTTGATGGACCGCTAAACTCTAATTTATAGCACGAAATCATTGTTGCACTTACCGATCTCAAAAAGATCAAACAGAAAGCGAGTGATATATTATTAGTAGAAATCTAGTTGTAGAACGCCCAAGACAACCCAAAAGGTCAGGATGTTCAAAACAAAATTGGCCCCTGAAAGTGTCTTCCCGTGAAGTCAATCAACCGAAGCCCCACCGAGCCCAATCGAGAGGCTAAACCCCTAGACTCTACATCTCGAGTGTGTTCTGTGGGTACATTTCATTCATCATACCAGCTCGTCCAGGCACCATATCCATTTCCCAAGCCTGACATTATTCCAGCTATACTGACCATGCTCTATAGCTGACCGAATTTTTCAAAACATTCAGCTACCATCATAGAAAATGCGTGCGAAGCTTGAGCGGTAAAGAATTGGCCCTGGGTGACGAGAAAGGAAACATGTCGAGAGAAGTAAAAATTGTATCGAGGAGAGGATCGGAATCATTAACAATATGACAGTGAAGAGGCCAGGCTCCAGAGTTGATCATGCAAAAGGCAATCATCAAATATCCTTTCTGTGGTAGCATCACAGCGCATGTCTGAGTGCTCATACAACGGCTAGGGGCAGATATGTGTTATAGTAGGTAGATAAATTCCCACAAGCTTCCATGCGATCACACGGAGCAATGCCGATGAAACATCGAGAAAAACTAGCGGAAATACCCAACAGTACCAGAAAATTAACATAATGTGAGACTTTCTGAAATATAAATTGCTGATGTGGCAGGATCTATTCAGGAAGGCCAAACACACCAGCTTCGATTACATAAGCACCAAAGTTGGTGAATTCATCATCGTGAAACTTTGCTGGTAGATAGACGAGAAACACTCGTTCACATCCGCAATATCAAATTCACTCGTCCCGTAGGTGGGAATGAGATTGGTAGAACCTCATTTCAATTTAGACTCATTAGACCCCGCCGCCAATTTTGGGAATTCATGGATGGGAGCAGGAGTTCTATCCGCACTCACTGCAGAAAGGTCAATCACGCACGTAAAACAGTGATATGTTAGATTTTCATCCACAGTCTTTCGACACCTCATACTCATGATAATGAAAAATTTGGATATCTATCAAAGAAATATTCTTCGGAGAACGGAATGCAATGAATATTCTAGTCTAGGATCATGAAGTTACAAAAGTTTCTAGCGCTCATCACTCAAATTAAATTCGAACCCCGAATTCGAACACCGAGGGACTGTTGTGGAAACTGAAATGGAACCTTGGTGCGATGTAATTTCCACATATAATTGAAAGCTCGACGCTTCCATTTCCCAGCTGAATCCGAATAATAAGTTTGTTTGTAGTTCGTTGACTGCTTCACTTCTACACATCGAGCAACTTGCGCATTGCCTATGGATACCACTCAGGCCCTCACAAGTGAAGTCTAAACATCTGACCAGTGTCATTTCAATTAATCGCTGTGAGATGAGGTCTCTTTGCGTTAAAATTTGGGAGTGATAATGAAGGTTTTATAATCTTGGGCCTAGGGCTAAAAAAATTGATTTCGCTCATCATAAAAACGCAGGCAGTGAATGGAGCATTGCATTCACTGACTTCCACTCATATATCTAAGAAATTGGAGATGACATGAGAGATTGCATATCGAATGTGATACTAGGTACCTAGGTACATTAGGATATAGTCTTGTGGTGGTGCCACTGCTCCTGTGGAATGCTACCCAAATTATTGTGGACTCGTGACACGAACTTAGTGGTAGGAATCAGTTCAACTTGGAAATCATATACTCAAATCCTGAGCAAGTTGCTTATATTTCATTCCATTGAGTTATTGTAGATCCTTTAATATGATATCGATTCGCTTGTTCTTCTCAATCTGTTGGGTATTGTGCGTAGGTGTCGGAGCACATCCCAAACAGTGGTACCATCTGGACTCAAAATATGAAGGAGCGACATTTTTCAGTGGATGGCAATTTTTCACTGTAAGAACTTATGGAATATTTCACTCGAATAAGGATCTTTCTTGCTAAAATATTACAGGATCCAGATCCCACTCACGGTTATGTTACGTGAGTCAGTCGTCCTTTTAGTACTGAGCGCTACTAACGACCTCCGCCAGATATGTCGACGAAAGAGATGCGAGGACAATTCAACTCATAAATGCAAATCCTTATGGATCAGTATATATGGGAGTAGCTCATACTACTCTTTTAGATCCTGCTGGCCCGGGACGAAAAAGTGTACGTATAATGAGTCAGAAATCATGGACACATGGATTGTTTATTGCAGATATTTTGCACATGCCTGGTGGAACTTGCGGTACCTGGCCAGCTTGTAAGTTCTAGAAAACCAGTATGAATAAATTAGTCATTAACGACTCATAAAATAGTTTGGTTGCTTGGCCCAGACTGGCCGAATAATGGGTATATTTGTTTCCAAAATGAAAACTTTAGCAAAGTTTCTAACTTACAATCAAGGGAAATTGATATCGTCGAAGGCGTCAACCAACAGATTGACAACATAATGACTCTCCATACGTAAGCAATTTGCCTTTTCAATGCTTTCGGCCCGCTAACAGTGAAAGCTCGGCAAATTGTACCATGCCAAACAAAGACAACGCACAGCTAGGTACGATGAATAGCAATCAATGTGATGGCACTGTAAGACATCCCTTTCTATTCGCAGTGTACTCTACTCATGAGATAACTAGTTGAACAACTACGCTGGCTGCGGCTCAACAGCTCAAGTTGGAGCATCTACCTATGGTAAATCTTTCAACTCCAATGGTGGCGGCATCTACGCCACGGAATGGACCTCAGATTATATCAAAATTTGGTTCTTTCCCCGAGATAGCATTCCGTTTGATATCAAAAGAGGGCACCCAGAACCCAGCTTCTGGCCAAAGCCTCAAGCAATATTCCAAGGTTCTTCTTCCTGTGATATTGACAGCCATTTCGCGAATCAAAGCTTAGTATTTGATACTACTTTTTGTGGAGACTTTGCAGGAGGCGTTTGGGGAAATGATGGTGGGATCTGCAGCCAAGGGGGATCGTTGACTTGCGAACAATTTGTGGCGGAAAATCCAGATGCCTTTGGAGATACGTGAGTTTTGTGTTGGATGCAATGTGGATCTGAGCTGACATGGAAATATAATAGGTACTGGCTAATTAACTCAGTCAAGGTCTATCAATTAGAAAAACTTCCAATGGATCTGCGCATGCCGGCAAGCACAAGTACAGATACACTTAAAGTTTGAATCTTGGTACTTCTTCAGGAATTCAGAATGCTCGGTCTTATTACGAGCTCCATCAGTAACAAAGCTTCTACGTTTTGTTAAGTCGATAGCTCAAAATACCAGACTGTTTATCCATCTCTTGTAACACGGCAACTAGCGCTCAATTTTATCCAGCATTCAGGACTTCATCAATTCTCAAAAAATTGAAACACCGTGGTTTGACTGAAATATTTCAATTTTTTCTATGTAAATCTGATTAAAGTTCCGGCTGCTTCAAGAGCCGTAAATTCGATTTTGCAAGTTTCTTGCTATACAACACTGTGATATATACTCTACAAACTTCTCAGACCAGCTCTCCAACAAGAGGAAGCCAGATGAGGCATAGATGCGAAGAAAGATTTTTACGTTCATCAGTAATCTCTATGTCTGTTAATTTTTTTGCATATCACTCAATGTCACCATGTGATTTTAGTCCTTGGTCTACTTTGTCATGTCATCGGCATGATTTTTGCTATTCACAGATTATTTTTGCCGGAGTTTAGAATTAAGCCATTGATACACATTCACCAAAAAACACCATAATAAATCTTCAGCGAGATATCCTATAGTGGAGGTGAAAACATACAGGATGTTCATGATCTGTTGATCGTTTCAATTTGTATCTTCAAGTGCGAGTTTAAGCCCTGCATTATCATCACTGTTCCATCTCAATTAAAATCACTCTGCCAGCGAATCTTCACTGGATTATTAGGCTTCCATTCACGACTCTTCACGCACAACCAAGTCCCAATTTTCTGTTCGTAATCTGTCCGTTCGTGATAGATTCGATGCCACCCGACATATAAGACCCAACCACGTTCCTCAAGCCTCTCCATAATCCTGAGCATCATCGTCTTTTTCTTTTCAGGGCCTCCGGAACGGAGAAAAGAGCCCTTGATGCAGAATTGGTGCCAATTTTTCGCAGAATCAGTATGCTCCTTCTTGAGTCTTGAGATAAGATTCATTTCTTGCAAAGTAAGGCGGATGGTGTCAATGAGTTCGTCTGCTCCACCCAGAATGCTTAACTGATCTTTCAGACGCCACTTCCCGGCATGCCCGTATGTCATGGCAAGCCAGTAACATTTTGGGAGGGGCTTTGCACATTTTCGAAAATTCAAAGTGTCGTATGGATCTAAAAGTGATGGAACAGGTTGTACTTTCCAACCCTCGGAGGCCAAGTACGCAATCATGTTGCGTGTCATTCGAGTTACCACATACGTGTTTCCACTACCAAATGGTCTCTTCCTGAGTTTGAAGTAATAACCCTCATCGTCCCTGGCACATGGGCCTTCCTTTTGGATACCATGCTCCCAACCTTTTTCTAAGAGTGTTCGAATGCCGTCCTTAATTCTTTCAGGGAGATGTTTAATTTTCACACAATTAGCGTTATCGAACCCGAAAGAGGCATGGACGGCGGGGCTTTTGAGATATTCAGTCTCTATACGATAACTTGAGCTTTTCATTATTTTTCTTCCAGCGCTTTGACTGCACCTCCGCCGAGGTTCTGTAGTTGAGTCCCCCCCTTTAGCAATTTCTTTCCCGGGTTTATAATTGCAAGACTGTGAAGGCTTTGCACAAGAGTCCTCAACATCTGTTACTTGGTCAGTGTAGCTCAAAGCTCTTGATCCTGCATTTGGACATGAGCTTTCACTTGATCTGGAGTCTAAAGACGCGGGCCGAACAGGTGGAATTGGTGACACATAAGCCGTAGGCGGTGGAAGTGAGAATTTTGATGCAGGCGGGTAGCCAGGCATAATTTTGTGCTAATATTGTTTTCCAGAAGTTTTGGGGTATTCGAACAAGTAGCGTCACCGATAATGGCGAACGATCAAGCTTCTCAACTAAATTGTTGTTTAATGACAGGTTCGTGACTGAGGTTGGATGACTTCCAGCAAGTGGGAACTTTTGATTTGGGCAATACGGAAAGATAAACCAGAACTTGAAATAAAAATTATGAGAATGAATAAGTGAGAAGATGCTGTATCCACATGTAGGTAATTGGAAATAAGGATTGATAAGGTGAATGATGTTGACCAAAATGATGTAAAAGGAAACCGATTTTTTTTGAGAAGAAAAAACCCTCCATAGACAACAAAATGGGAAGGAGTGGATTCGGATGTTTGTGTCGCGACTTTTCACACTAATGATGGACTCGCTACTTCCAAAATCGTAGAATTCAAGAATCGCATCGAAGATTTAGTGTAGCTGAGATGGCTTCAAGTAACAACACCATGGGCAGGAACTTTCGGGAAAGGGGCTAGCAATTCGAAAAACTAAGATGATCAATTGGTCTTTAAATTTCATAAAATTTCAGCCATACCTGCATAACGATTAATGCCCCCAATTGAGGTTTTTACATTTCTTCCTGTACTCCCGACCAAGCTTAAGTAATCCTCGGATTGCCCAAGTAATATTATGAGAATGACTTTTTGGTCGAATTTCCGAGTACCTTGAACCTTCCATACAATGACTTCCCCGATGAGACAGTTGGGATGACAACGAGGATTGAGTTTGACCCTTTCAACGAAAACCGCATATCGATATCACCTTCAACAAGAAACCTTACCATCCCATGCCCTTGGCTCAACAAAACTTTCATAAACTTGATCATTCACTATGAGAGCCATAAGGTCTTGGAGTCCTCGGTCGAAACTCCGGAGCGATATCTCCCGAACCTTCCTCTTCCTGTGACACACTCTTCTCTTCGACATGGCCTACCCAAACTGGCCTGTAATCCTGTGTTGTTCCTCCCTCTGAGGCTTGGGTTCCTTCATATCTCACTTCCTCCCACGATCCATCACTACTGTTATCCTCCGCCTCGCGTACGCCGCCTTGAGATTTCGCGGGCGGGCCTTCAACAGGACTGACAGCTTCTGCAACTCCATCGCTAGAACTACCAATTTCGACTTTCATACTGTCTGGTGTAGAAATAGTACTGTCACGATGTTCAGTGGGGAGCTTGAGTCGGTGAACGTCGGGCTGTGAAGGCTTGGCGTTTTCGGTTGAGGTAGGATTAACTGATTCGGTCTTTCCTTTGAATTCTCGAGAGATTGTGGGTACTGGCGTACTGTCTGAATCTGAAGACATTTTACTTTGGGTTTGAAATAGTGTTCTGACTTTTCATTGTATTTGTTGATTAATGAGAAGCTGTTGTGGTAGAAATAAACTTGTGAAGACAAAGAAATACAGCGATGGCTTGGTGAGGGGCTATGACGAAATCCAAATCAGGATCAGAACAAAGAAAGTTTACCTCGGACTCACGCGACTAAAGCCAAGAGATATATTGATTGGTTCATTTCCTATGTATTCAAAATAGCCTCGATTGATTTTGCTCATATGTAAGAAGTATTCAGTAGTCCCGATAAAAGGCACAACTACTCCACCGACATTTTTCTTGCCTTGTCTAACTGATATTGAATTCAAAGGCATACGCAGTGCTCGTATCCACTTGATAAATAGGAAAAGTCACACTGTTTCCCGAATAAGTATGAGCCACGGTACCAAGATCGTTTAGCGCTGTAACGGAACCAAATGCGCCACCAGTATTTGGGAATCCCCAAGTATGAATGTTCAAACTACCAGATGTTGGTAATCCAACTGAGGACAAACTGTTTACCGTGATCTGCCAAGTTCCGGTTGCAATGCGTGCTCCGCATAAAATCTTTACTTGGGTCGATCCAATTGTAGCATAAGTATCCAGTTTACCATCTACTGACGCAGAGGTTCCGACTCGATGCCCGGTCATATTTAGGTTATAGTACTTGTAAACCTGCCATTCTCCATTTGGCCAGTAACCAGTAGCAGTCGGAGAATAAGCTGAGGTTCCAGCATTTGGTTTACCGAGAAGACCAGCCATGAAATCGTGAAGTGCTCGCCCACTAAGCCAATTACCTCTTAGACCAATAGCGTTATATCTCTCTAATTGCGAAATCCACCAAGCAGTCCCGGAAGGTACTTGCTCGGCAGAGGTTCCATACTCATCGATGTTGAGAGTCTTTTGAGGGAGTCCGTATTTGGCAAGGACTTGCTGAAGCCCCGAATAAGCTGTTCCCATGTTTGCACTACCACCGCCTTCCATGTGCCAGACCCATTGATCTGGAACACTGTTGTTTGTCTTTACAAATGAAGCAAAGCCAGTCCACCAAGTATTGCTGAGGGATGGAGAATTTGCATATGCGGGACCAATGAGAAGAACACCTGGAAATGCCGCTCTAATATGTTGATTTAGCATATAATTCTATACAGAATCATTCCAGTATTTACCTTAACCTGTAATAAGTTCGACCCCACATTTGGTAGTACTGGGCTTGACTCCTGTTCCAGAATATGGTGAGATCCGGCTCATTCCACTTTGTAGAGTCAGTTAAAAAGCTTGATAAGGCGATAGCTCAACGCAGCTTGACTTACAATATCAATTGAAAGACCAGCTGTGGCACCATTTGCATTGATGTCAGAGATTAATTGAGTCAAATAGGCATCCCATGAGGCCCAGTTTCCATTGTCTCCGGGGTAAAGAGCACTTGAGTTTTGAGATCCGTCTGCACCCCACAAATCGTGGATGAGGAATATAAATTTGCCACCATGTGCTCGAGTGGATCGGTAGTTTGACAAAGCTGACGCGAATCGAACCTAGGACCATTCAGCAATTTTTACACGCTTGCTTTGCCAAAAAAATTTCCAACGGACCTTATACTCAGACAATCCCCATATCCAACCCCGTCCTGGTGACGGAACCTGGGCACCACCCGCTCGTGCATAATTGAATCCCATATCAGAATAGAAAGAGGTGGGAATCTGTCCCTGAGTGTCTGGAATGCCATAGAGAATGCCTGAAGCAAGATGTCCGGTAGAACCGGTATTGTTATTCAAATTAATAGTAGAAGTTCCCAGGATAGTTTGTCTTTGTTGTATATTTGAGCCATTTGCAATGGCTGCCAAAAACAAAGACAGTATTCCGTACTTCATGATGAAAATCGAATGAGATGGTGTGCCTCTGACGTACTTTTCTGGCTCGATGCTTCAGCATCTTGCCTTCCTTTATATAGAATTTCTCGGCAATATGGCAGTTGAGAAATTCATGAAGGATTTGGCTGCCGATCTCCCCAATCTCGCCATTAAGGTTAAATGACAACCCTGCCATGCAATATATCCACATCTGTTTCCCCAGAATTTACTTTACCCAATGAATTAGCGCATGGTCTAATCTCCTCCAAACAGCCATGAGAACTGAAGATTCCATCCACAAATAGTTTACCGATGCAAGAAGATTATTCGAGCGGTTCCATGGCCAAACTTCTCTCGTTCTGCATGAGCTGCGGCTCTTCCCCGCTTTAACACTCAATCTGATAGTGCTCCGGGATTACGCCCACCGGAGTTGTCCACATTCTCATCCCTTAGTTTCCACACATGGCACTTGTATATCTAACGATTAACGGTAGATACTAGCGCCAACTAGTTAGGACCGAGCCGGCAGATACGAACTTCGGTAATGGTGACATTAATGTGCTCTCGTGAAGAACACCTGGCTCAAAAGATTGAGGTATATCACCCATCCGTGTATAATATCGAAGATCTTATAATTATTACTCCTCTAACTTCTGTTTGGTGCAATTCCCGCTATTACGTTCACCAAGCAGGCCAATTTTGTGAGAAACAACAACAAATTATTGACTAAGGAACTGTTGGAATGACTCGCAAAGGCCTTGTTGGATTGGTCAATTTTGGACACCGGCTATGAGAATTGGCAATGTGAAATTCCAAACATGTTATAAACAACGAAGAGGTATCTCTTCTTTTTGCTCAAGGTGAATCTCACAGAACTGCTGAAGGAGCGTCGATTTTGCTTGCTAGATCAACCTTTTGTTTTTGTGCTTAGTCAGCCTCAGTTACCTCATTCAATGCTGTTTCAGATTAATATGTTCTGAAAATTGTATGCATAGTCCCATAGACAAGATATTCGTTCATTCTTGCGAAGTGCATCTGGATCTAGAGTAGACGTTCAATCTATACTTCACATCACGATCGATCTGTGGAGCGATTGTCTGGCGGAGATTTTAACCATATGAAACACAATAACTTTGGAAACGGATTGATCAGGAATCTCATATTGCACTTGGCTATTTCTCAAATAGTATCTCTTTCAAGAATAATTCTAAGGAATTAGAATATGCTAGAAATCACTGTCAAATCCGTGCTTCTGTGCCTTGTGTTCAATCAAAAGCGCTTTCTGCCAGCCAGGACCCCCTTCACCCCATGACAATGTCTTCTATCTCCAGTCACGCAGCCTTATACTCCCCTCAGCCACTTCATTACATCCTCTTTTTATCCACTGGTACTAATTCCTTGAGCAATCTCCGCCGTGGGCTCCTTACACCACCGCTTGTGTCTCGTCTTCCAATCCACTTTCTGACATTCTTCATTGCAATACCATGTACACTTGCATCTGACACAGTTCTTGAGTTCATCCTGCTTTGATTTGACGTTTATGTTACTGAGTGGACACTTTTTACAGCTAATTAGCTTGGCCTAGATTTTCGGCAGAGTCAGAGAAAACACTTACCTTGAAGTTCGAGCAAACCATATTCTCTGGATTTCTTCCTCTCACCTCTCTAGCCTTCACAACGTCACCCTTGATCTCCCATAGTTGACCAAGATTGTCACGAGTGCAAGCTGCGTCGAAATTATCGATGACTATTGTTCAATTCTCATCAGCATTTTTTCTTCTTGTCTTATCATACTCAATCCAGATGAAAGTAACATACCACTCCTAACCCTATCAGCATCCTCCAACATCTTCTGTGCATCATTCAACTTGCTCTCCATCTTCAAATACAATTCACCCAACGCATTTTTTGCAAGAGCAGTCTGGATAGAATCTTCACCTGTGACCTCGATTTTCCTCGCGAGAGATCTCAAGAATAAATTCTCTGCGCCGGCAAAATCACCACGGGCTTCGAGTTGATTGGCTTGGTTGTTCCACTGTGCTGCTTCCATGATTTTCATTGCCTTGTTGGCGTCACCGCCGAAAGCGAAGGCAGACATCTTGATTATGGTATGTGTTGTATGTTTCGTTACTTGTGGTGATGAAAAATGAAAGATTTGAAGGTCTTATTGAGGTTTATATGGCATTTAAAGTGAGCGGACAGAGAAAATTACTCCTGCGGAATTGGGTTCGAGTGAATTATGTGTAACATAATCAATTGCATCTTAAGAAATTGGGAGGCGCGTGAGGAGTGGAGAAATATCTCGCGTGGAAACGTGACGCAAACAAAGTGTTTGGATATCACAAAACTCATAGTTGAAAGAGGGGTCATTAAAGGGCATGGCTTCTGTACGAAATGCAAAATAACTAAAACATGTGATTTATAGTCATACAAGCAAGCAAGCAAGCAAATCATCACTGGGGAAGAGAAAAGGAAATATGGCATCATCAGATATGGAGCTTTTCCCTCCTGAGAAAACAATGTGATCTTACAGACACAAGATAACTCACACAAGACCAAGACCTTTCTACGATACTTGGAAAGCGAGCAGCCCCCCCCTCCCCGTAATATCACAAGGCATCATCCGCAAGAAGAGAGAGAACCAGAAGGTGGTCACAAAGCTCAAACAATATAAACGCTTTTAAGAAACCCACGTATTTCATCAATTTTGGCTATATTGCACAGATCTTCGTATTCAGTTCCAAATACATACAACATTTTTATTTCACGTCCTAATCAAAATCTCCAACACCGATTCCATGCCTTTCTTATACTTCATTTTACAACGATCCCGTGAGCCTCAAGTCCCTCGAACTAGCACCCACCCTAATCGTAAAACTTCCCTCTGTGGGCATAACCCAATTTTGCCTGACTACATCCCAATAACTTAGATCTCTTCTCGTCAGCTCAAATTTCACTGTTACCGTCTCATCCTTTGCAAGTTCAACTTTCTCGAATCCTCTCAAGACCCTGACTGGAAAGTCGATATTGGCAGCTTCGCCACTGATTTTTTCATATTCGAGGTATAGCTGTGCTACTTCTTTGCCAGTCACACTCCCAGTATTCTTGAGGTCGACCGATACAGCGGCATAAACAGTCCAGAGATCAGGATTGCCGCCTTCATCTCCACCAGCTGGTGATGGGGTCTGTTCGGTCTCGTAACCCTCTGGATATGGGTATTGGCCCTCCTTAATATCCGAGATTTTTTCAATATATGGATAAATAAATTTGGAGAGCTTCCTGAAATTTGAAGGGAACAGGGCTTCACTAGGGTCTGGAATTTTTTCATCAAAACTAGGTGGAAAAATTCCGTCTGGGCGAGTAGCTGGGAAAGATGATTTGGGTAAAATAGCATCGACCTTGAGGTTTGTATATTCAAAAGTGGTGTATGAGAGTCCGAAGCCAAACTCAAATGTAGGTTCCAAACTGTATTTGTCGAAGTGGCGATAATCAATGTATAATCCTTCTGTAAAATTCTGCTGTGGAACAACAGCATTCGGATAGTACAAAACTTGACCACCAGGACCATAATCTTGGAGAGATTTTCCAATGGTATAAGGCAGCTTACCACTTGGGTTGACGTTGCCGAGCAAGATATCAGCAATTGCGTTTCCACTTTCCTGCCCAGGAAGATTTGCCATTATCACTGCTTTGACTCCTGGAAGATCAATCCACTCATCCATAACAACTGGTCCGACAGCATGGACTACCACAATTGTGCTACCTTTCCCTCCTCCACACCCTTCAGCGACTTGTTTCACAAGTTTCTCGCCACCATGCTGTAGGTTCAAGTCATTGCGGTCGCCACGAATGCCTTCGTAACTGATATATCCTTCTCCGCCATCGGAATTGACAAACACGATACAAACATCTTGGTCTTTGATGATTGCTGGAGCCTTCTTTAATGGGGGAGAATTTGTGGGGAAGACGGTAATGTAGACATGCTCTGGGTTGAACGATTTCTTAATACCAGAGATTGGAGAAATCAAGTAAGGAAAGTCAACGGCGCCAGAACCCCATCCAGATCCTAACGTACCTTTGTTGCAACCTCTATCTGGGCACACATTTGGACCTTCACCTTCACTTGCATCCTCACCGAAGATCCCTATTCTGTACACTAATTCATGCTTTTCTGGTGAGCTCCAACCGTTCTTATTTAGAGGTAGTAAATTGTCCTCGTTTTTTAATAGCACAGTTCCCTCAGTGGCTACTTGGCGTGCTATGATAGAATGCGCTTCATCGCCTGTACCTTGAACATCGATAAATTTATTGACAACTTTCTTGTCCTTATCATCAGGGCTTCCAGCATTGATGTATCCTTTTTCTTCATTGGTCCACGAGGAAAAGTTGGGACCTTCACCATCAAATTTTGATTTATCATCTTGTCCTAACTGATACCAAGCAGCTACAATTCTGGTCACCATGTCATTGAGTCTCGAGACGGGCAATGACCCATTCAGAACTGATTTACTCAGCTCGGGGCCCCATAAAGATTTTCCGTCAACCCAGATAAGGCCGTCTCCTGGCATGGTCATATCAAGTCCAGCAAGTGCGCTTGCTACACCAGATCGTTGCGCAAGCCAATCGGATTGGACAAAGCCTTGAAATCCAAGTTCGTCTTTCAGGATTCCGTTGAGAAGCTTCGAGTTTCCACACGAGTATGAATTGTTTACCATTTGATAACTGCACATAACGCTCGCCACTCCAGCTTTTACAGCATCTCCGAAAGGCCACCCATACAGTTCATGCAGAGATCGATCGTCGATATTAGATGACATGGCATTTGGTAATCCCCACTCATAACTTTGTCTGAAGTGTTCTTGCTCATTCCCAACAAAATGCTTAATCGTAGCAATAACACCTTCTTCCTGAATGCCTTTGATAGTTTGAGCTGCGGCAATACCTTGAAGATATGGATCGGTACCGAATCCTTCCCAGTTCCGCCCGCCTGCGGGCATTCGACCTATTGGTCCAACACAGGGTCCCAAGAGCACATTAACTCCCTTCAATCTGGCTTCTTGGCCATGTGCCTTACCCCGCTTGTACATCAATTCCTTGTTGAATGTCGCCCCAACAGTGATACCTGCCGGGAAAGCCGTTGCATTATCGGCGAATCGTAGCCCCAAAGGTCCATCTTGCAAGGCGAGACCAGGGAAACCTACATTCAATGCAGGACCAGTATTGCCAACGGCAAGACCCATCTGCCATCCAGTACCCGTAGTGATATTCACCTTTTCCGGCAATGTCATTTTTTCGACCAGAGCGGCGGCCTTCTTATAGCTCTCGCTCCATTGTGAGACTGTGCCTCCAGGTGGTGTTGGGTACCATGGCGGCGACTGTCCAGTCGCAGGTGTTTTCTTGTATAACCAGAACCCTCCTCCAGCGAGAACCGACCAGAACACTACTCCAACAATAATTGTTATTATAAGACATTTCGAGCGTCGAGCCAAAGTACGTCGTAGATTACTCAATTGAGTGCTGGTATGATATGCGGGAACTGAAACGTGAGGGTGGTTCGGATTGAGATAATCCGTGGCGTCGATATCAGATTCCTCTGAATTTCGATAGGCATCTTCGAATGATTTCCGAATTGGCGTTTGTCCATTATCGTCATAATCTCGCAGAAGCCCTTCGCGGCTCTGGTTTTCCTCTTTACTGCGATCCATTTTGGATCGGTTCCAAATTGAATTTGTTCCCGCTTTGTTGTACCTGATGATATGCCAACTGTGCGTCTCAGCTCAAAGGGTGTGGAATCATTCAAAGCTCTAAGGGAAGGAGAAGAATCACAGATTCATCAATTGAGGAGATATACCATGAGATGTAGAGATGAAAAAACATAAGAACTGAATCAAGGCGACCTACATAAGATGGGGTCAATGGATGTTTGGCAGAAGCAAATCTCGCGTTTGCTTTGGACCAATGTTGTTGGGTGCTCTCAGACGGGAGCGTGGGTAGCTTCCCCGGTTACAAATAATGTAGTGAGCTGACTCGAAATCTACCAACAATTGAAGCAACATGAAAGCAAGGTCGCATTTCTCTTTCGCGCCTCCATAAATTAGGTCAAGATTCACACATTCACTGAGTCAACCAGCGAATACTCTGTACAATCGTCAATTGCTAAAGTATAATTTAACAATTTGAGTGAGGTCATGATGAAAGAAGAGATAAGGGCCCAGAAATTCCACTCTCTTCCGGCATCCCCGGTGAGCTTTGACCACTTGTTCACAGTGGATATCGAGCAGAATCAAATCTGGCTGTTCTCCATTTCATCTCTATCACAACATTTACACAAATAAAGATTCTCGCTGTCCAAGACGCCTTAGGTTCTGATATTAATTGGCAAGTGCAATTACTACAAATCATGGATATCAGGTTCTGCCGATCTTTCAGCTGATAAGAAAGTAGCAAGTGCGCTTTTCGATAAGTCATGCCATCATATTCAACAAGCACCGTCGAAACGACGTGCGGGGAAGGTTGCAGGCGGCGAAAGATGTGCAGTAATCATCGTACAAGTAAAGCCAGGAATAGAAAGACTTGCGTGTTGTGATTACTATCTGGGGCATGATTTCCACCTTCTCATAAAATCCGACAGAGGGGTGGCCAAAAAGTGGGCTGAGTATCGAGTTATACCATACCTTGATTCAATAACGAATATCCTATCAGCTGCTGAATACGTTTTGATCTTATCTCGGACAATGCTCACTTTCCACTCATCATTCAGCTGTGCAAAAACTTGATTGATTTCAATATTTTCAAGAAGCTAAATGCTGTGAAGGCACTGTTCAGTGGTTCATCTACAGCTGCTGTGTACTGGTTTTGGAGCCGAAGACCACCCACACCAAAGCACTTCGCTTGAAGTGGGAGAATTGATCCTCGCCTCACATATCAGCTGCGCTTCCAGCCATTATAGGAGGAGCTTTGGCTGGTCTTGTATTTATTCTCTCCTTTTCCTATAACCTACGATCCAACATCGTCATCGCATTGTTCTTGGACAACTATCATGGAGCACCAAAGAGAACGACAAACAATCACCGTTGAATCTCGGGAAGTAGATCTAGAGCTTCAAAAGTTGTGGGATGAGGCTCAGAACGAATTCCATAAAAACACAAACAGAAAACTAGCATCAATCCCTCCGAGAAAGATCGAGGATGTTTTGGCACAGCTTAAGGATAAATTCCAGCCCGAGGACGAGTTACAACCCAGTACCAAGCATAAGATCAAAGATGCTATTGAAAAGATTTTAAAATGTATTCAACTCATCGGCGGTGTAGCCGCAGAAGCTGCATCCACTGTTTTTGCTCCCGCAACGTTATGCCTTCAATGCTATCTCTTTCTTGATTGATATTCCTCAAAAGGTCGCTGAAATCTATGAAGGCTTGGGAAACTTGTTCGAAGAAATGACCCATGCCATGGCCCTTTTGAATATTTACGGGAGCTTGAAGAAGCTCGATCGAGAACTGAGAGATGGCATCCACAAAATTATGGTCTCAATAGTGAGAATTTGTGGTCTATCTATCAATATGTGAGGTCACTTCCGTGAAGGATTTTTTACAATATCCGTTGGTCCCTCTCCCACTTTAACTGACACACTTCTAGCATCGATGGTGGGAAAAGAGCTAAGTTTAAGACTATATTCAAAGTCACCTTCTTGGGAGATGACTCGGGCATCAAGGATGAATTGAGCAATTTCAAAATTTGATTACGAGGCAAAATGGCCTCACGGGAGTCATCACTTTGAAGAGCATTCTCGATAACTCCGCAGTCACTGATGAACTACTGAAAGGCCACGTTTCTTTCGCAAGGGTGCAGGAATTATTTACAGAACAGCAACGTCACATTGCAGACAAGGTCACGTACGTGGAACGTGATATCAAGACAAAAATGGATGAGAAGGTCGCATCAGATCGTGTCGAAAAAAATTTCGAAACTTTTGTCGATGCCCGAAGGATCAGCTAAAGCAAACACAGCTAGAGATGAACTCAAAGATATAAGAAAACAACTTCCGGAAGATGCCTTTAAGTGGCTATCCACATCATATGGCTACAACGAATGGCTAAAACAGTTAGACGACGCTTGCATGTCACCGTTTTGGCAGCTATTATACGTGTATGGGGGCGTCAAGACTGGAAAGTCCTGCCTCGTGGCATCAATAGAAGAGGACTTGAGAAGTAGAAACATAGCAAACCTGGCTATTGCATATCACGCTTTCACTGGGGTAGATACTAAGACAAGCAAGACTGCAAGCAATAATGATATAGTCTATGCTTTGAAATCAATGGCCCTGTAATTGGCAACTCAGAGCAAGACGTATGCGGCAGCGCTGTCGCAACTTCAAGAAAAGGACCTCAGAATTACAGATACGCGGGAGAGGTCTGCAGAGATACAATGGTGGGATAAGTTGCGATTTGCTAAAGACCCTGGGAACCGTGAACCCTTGAGTATCGTTCTCCTGTTCGATGGACTAGATAAGCTTCCCAAAAGTAAGACTCACCATTTATTAGAGATTCTGCGGGAACAGCTGAGAGTGTTTGCAAGCGAAGGCTCTCTTCAACTTCTCATCTTGATCACCGGAAGGTATGATAAAAACAATTTTGATGATTTACGTATTGACATCACCAATGGTACCGAAGATGATATCAATTCATTTATCGAGCAAGAGTTGGATAAACTTAATTTTCTTGGAGGCCAGGATGTAGAAACAAAGCAACTTCGTAAATCAATTCGTGAGAGACTCCCAATAATCGCTGAAGGGGTCATTCTCGATTATCCTTCAGAAATTGATCAGAATCACGGAAGCTGTGAAATCTGATGCATATTCAGATGATATTGAAGCAATTTTGAATCAGGATCCATCCGGAGATATGGGTATGATAGCACAAGAGATTATCACCAATCTTAACACCTCTCTCAGTGCTCGCGAAATTGAACAGCTGAATGAGATACTCGACTGGTTTGTATTTAGCTACGAGAAATTTAGCATTGACCAAGTCAGAGCGGCCCTTTGGCTAAGTTCAGGCAGGTTACCTGTGCAACCTTTAGAGATGAAGCTGAAGGAAAGGTTTGCTAAGGTTTTCCCTCGCCTGGAGAGGGACAATGTTGAGGTGTGTTTTCCAATTGAGCTGTTCCTCAAACGCTCGGACTCAGACATACCTACCGGAACAGCTTCTGCATATAATATCGAAACTGCCAGGATAAGTATGACGGTCGCTATAAATCAAGCCGACCTCCATTCGGTTCAGAGGTTTTTTTGGGATCTCGCGGAAAGAACTGGGATTGGGAAGTTCGATTCTCTCCTGCTAACTCCGATAACGAGAAGAAAGTCACTATCCATTCCACCTGGATTCAAGCCCATTGTCGCATAACTGAACAGCTCCTAAAGCTCCTAAATGAAGAGCCTAACAATGAAACCATACATGTTGTTGGATACGCCCTGGAGTTTCTTCCTCTCCATATTGGAGAAGTAAAGAAAGCATTACTGCGTGGTAACGGAAGAACAGACAGACCGAAGCTTCAAGCTATTGCAAAGAGACTTGTGGATCTCCTTAGTGATGCTGAGGCAATCGAGAAATTCGAGAATATAGCAAAACTCATGAGTAACACCTGGTGGAGTTTTGACAACGTGAATATTATTCGGGATTTTATAAAGGATGAGAGAACAATCGAGCAGCTTGGGCCGAGGGAAAGTCGTTGGGTTAAAGACCATACAAAATCGGAAGGCAAAGTGAATTTCTATTGGCCTATCACGCTTATGATTGCCAAGAGATGGCTGTGGGATTCAAGCCGTACTTGGAGTCCTTACGACTCATATGAATGGGTAGGTAAATTTATTGATATGGTTAGTCTATGTTGTCTTTTCTCTCTTCAGTTTCATCTACAGATTTGCTAATAAGAAACAGCAAGAATTGAACGATGATGAGATTAAGGATACAAAGATTGACAGTCCAAGCTTGAACTCCACATACGTAGAGGAGTTATCCCAACGTATTCTAAGCAGAGCTATATGGGCCCGAAAGACACTGCGTCTGGGCGAAAACTCTTTGTGGTACGAGCGTATTGGCCAAACATTCTATGAGGCCGGTCAGTCCGAAATAGCAATTGAATATTTCAACAAAGCTAAAAGCTTCCCGTCCTGCCACTGGACGGTGAATGAATACCTGGCACTGGCATATTACCATTTGCGGAGGGGAGATGATCTCTGGAGGGAGTGTGCCTCTTCTGAGTTGGAATTAGCTATTACAACATTGAAATCGATGCAAATGGAAAAGAAGTGGCTGAAAGATCAAATGAGTGTCTCGCCAGCTAGAACTCTGGACTTGAATGAAGCATTCTTTCGAAACTTGGCACGATTGACATTATGGCAGAAACAGGTAGGAAAGATTGATCGAGCAATTGCCCTCTACAACGAGGTACTAGAATCCAATCCTTGGGATCACAGAGTTCGTTCCGAGCTTTTGAAGATTCTTTTCAGTGAAGGGAAAAATGAAGAAGCAAAGAGCTTGATACTTGGACTTAAAGACTGGGTTCTCAACTCCCAACAACATGACATAGGAGTATTATCCAAATTTCTTCTTGAAATAGTTAAGAAACTGGAATTTTATGATCCACACTTTGGTCATAATCCCATACGCCTCAGTTATAATCCTCTAGACGCTGGTATTTCTCTATGCTTTGTTCATAATGCGCTAAACTTTGATCATAATCCTCTAGACTTTGTCATTAAAGTAGCACGCTCTAACATAGAATTGGGCAAGTTCACACTCCAAGCGCTCATCAAAGCAGTAATTGCTGCGGAAAATGAAATCCATCGTGTAGACTTACTAGTTTACCAGGGTCTTCTGATTGCAGGGGGGGCGAAACAAACGTATAGCACCTACAAAATGCTCTCACATGTTGGAAAAATTGCGGGCGCGTCTTACAGGGTTTGGCCCTTAAACCTGGGGCTTACGATTATGAGCGGAATGCTTTCACTGTGCAGTCTCGATTGTTGGCGCATTTTCAACTTGCCATCAAGATCAGGCAGGACAATCCTCGTTCACAACATGAACAGCAATTATTGGATGCATTAGAAGCCGAGAAAGTATATTTGCGATTCTATTTTCCTGGGTCTAATATGCAAGCAAATTGGTTGACTAGCATCAAAGCATTCCTTGCATCATACTATTCCCAGTCGAAAGACTTCGTCAAGGCACAGAATTTATTTAGGGATGATGTGTTCACTGCGATTTCTATATTAGAAGATGAAGATCCAGATAATGATCCAATTGGGTATAAAAGTTTGATAGGGTGTTTTATTCATACTGGAGATGATCGAAACGCGCTCAATGCTTGGTCTTTACTATATCCGAATGACACTGGCACGGAGCGACGATGATGAGGGCAAGAGTACCAGAAGTGGTCCACTAGACGCCAAATGCAAGGGTGGATGCGGGAAAACATGGACCTATGCAGATGATTTCTACATGTGCAAATCATGTTATGAGACTATATTTTGCGGCGACTGCTTGGAAGAGCTGAAAGGAAATCGCTTAAAAACATGGGCTTGTCATCCTGAGCATAATTGGTTGTATGTCCCGCCGTGGAATGACGAGAATATGGCTGGCAAAGGAATGGTAAGGGTAGTGGATGAGTCGAACAGTCCAAAGGAGGTGACATTTAGTGATTGGATCAAGGATTTGAAAATAATATGGGGGATTGAGTAGTGAGAGATTATTTATTGATCTCATTCAAAAAGTGGGAACTATTGAAATTCTTAGAAATTTCAATTCTTGCTTCGTGCGAGATATTTGAGCGGCAGATTTGACAATTGGACCGTCGAAAACAACAGGAGAACAGGGGGGAAGGGACTCATATATTTTCCTACCTATATCTCTGTAACAGACTGATCATTCGTCTCATCAGAATCAAATTTAGAGTTTACTTGGGCTGAAATAAAAACTGCAACTATCCCTTTCTTTGCTCACCCAATCTTAGTCTGGACCGCAACCCAACACATCTGGGACAAACACCATGCGAATCACCAGGCACCCGTTGCGAATTATCGTTATGTGCATAATTATCCTCGTCGTGAGCGGCGGTCGCTCCCGCAATGTATATTGAACAATGACCTGTGCAAACGCTGATCTTGTTCTCAACAGTTTTATAATAGGGCTTAGCCCCCACCGCTTACACTACAATGAATCTGGCTATAGTGAGTGGAGTCGTATTCTTTTTTAATTCTATTGATGCACGAATTCATCTTTATTCTTGTATTAGACGCAAGAATATAATGGCCAGAGGTGATTCTTTGTTCTAGGGCTCTGGTCTTTTCAAGTTGGCACGGGTGGATGACCTGACAACTATGCCTGTCATATGCCCATGCTAGAACAACTCGGCGACTGTATTTAGATCTACAGGGGTGGAACTAAGCACTAAGTAGGCTATTCCCTGATGCCGACCGGGTAACATATTAATATGTCAGCAAATTACGGTACGTCGGTAGTGGTGGTTTCCTGGGAGATGAAATTCGAGCCGGAAGGTTGATGAACTATCCGGTTGATGCCCACAAGTAAGCCAGCTCACTCATAACCGAGCCTCATTCGTACAACCACACCAATTTCTCAGAAGCACTTCATTCTTGGGAATACTTTTCTACGTACACAATCATTAAGTTGTACACTACTATGAACTCGAAATAATAAGGTAAAAAGGAGTGACTGATTCACATCTAGACCTTTCTATCACCGGCACCAGCCTGATATCTAGATGAATACGTGAATGAAGAAAGAAAGTAAGACTATCGAATATCCCTCTCACGTTTCTCCTCCTATGTGCATCAAAGCTCCAGTTCGAGTTCTTTTCATTTTTCAAAAGCCCCTAATTTCCCCGTCCAAGATTCCCCAAGAACTGGACTAGAAAGGCACAATATCTATTGACGTTAGCAGAATGCACAATACTCGGCCGACTACTACTTACGCAACTGTCGCTACAAATGCTTCAAACTGGCTGGCCGGCGTTCCAAGAGTCACAACAATATATACCAGAATAGTGAAGACTAATACCACCAATACCATAAGCCCACGAGAAAGTTCGAGCAAGAATAAGAGACAAATCGGAGCAATGAGCATGCTAGTTAGGACAATGAGCGACAAAAATTGGGCCAAGCCCGATTGCAATCCTTCATCGTAATATGATGTTTGATCGTCGCCTTTTGTCTTGAGGAATGGCTGAGAAAGTATCAGCTTTTCAATTTCTTCGCTGGCATTTGCGACTGCGAAGGAATGCAATAGCAGGCTCGCAGATACTCAACAGGAAATATGATCTCACCTTGAGAGGCGACTCAGGATACTTGAAAAGATGACTGCTAAGTACTTCTTTGAAAGGATTGTCTCTTTCTCTATTGTCCAAAGAGATAAAGTCATTACAATGATAGATGAATTCCTCTGCCTCATGACCATTGAGACGACTAACGCCGAGAGGCCTGAGATTCAAAATCCAATGGAAAACTGAATCATAACACCGTTTTGGGGGACGATGGAGAGCGTTAATTTTGGCATATGCCAGCAAGACCTCATCTGTTTGGGTTGTCACCAGTGCTCAGTGATCCGTGAATTGAGACTAACCATATTGCTTTTGCTTGGTTTCCAGTAGAGACATGAGTGTATCTTTGGTCCAGGTACGATACTGGCTCTCATTATCTTCGGATATAACTTCTTCCCTCTCTTGTTCATGTAAGTGTCCCTTCAATCTATAAAAAGCCGGTGTGTTCAATGCTGCAAGATCCTTTTTGTCCCTTTTCCGAAGTTCTCGTGCAATGTCCGTGAGTTCAATCTCTTTATAAATCAAAATACGAATATGGTTTTCATGGAATGCACGGAAGATCGCGAAGTCTTTGTGGGTTCCTTGAAAACGAGCAAGTTTCGGAATACCAGTTTCGAATTCCTCCCCTATTCATTGTTAGCTCACATAGTTTAATGTAGAAGCATCTCGGTACTTACAGATATAGTCTTTCTTCAAGTCCTCCATCAACTCCTCATGGCTAAGCTTATCCTTACTTTTCCTTGATCTCTCTTGGGTCAAGGTTCTCTCCGTGTCAGCTGAAGATGTTGTGCTCTCTCTTGCAGCACCAGCATACTGATCAGTATTGCGACGACGAATACCCTCAGATTGAAGAGATTGCGAGCTTGTTACAGCCTCGCGCTCAATATCGTCGGCAGTATTATCACGTTGTTGAAAAACACGCACTGCTGCATTTGCGCGAGGGGCTTCCGCAGTGGCTTCAAGGTCAGGCTCCATGACGAGATTTAGATACTCGATATATACGAAACGAAAATGAGGACATCGTGAAAAATTTCACTTCTTCAAATAGGTAGGCAACTTTGCGGCCCAATGCTCAAGGCTGTAGACCCAGTGCTCTGGTTCATGTCAGCAAAATGCAACACCAGCACACCATCATGACTCGTTGGCGAACAAATGAGAGGGGTTCATTCTTTAGCAATCTGGAGATAACCTCAAATCGTGGCAATCCTGATCCAGTGCTATTTTTATGCGAGCCGAAAGGTTTATTTTTTGTTGAAGAATTTCAAGAGATGAGGGAGGTTACTACAAACTTTTCGATCGTGAAGTTTGAGGGTAGACACAACTATGGAAATGGCGAATGGGGAATGGGAAACGAAAGTTTTACTGTTTTATCCGATGAAATATTGCGTCCAATTAAAGCGAATTCTTAAAACTCGTGATCGCGATTTTCACGAGTGGGTGTACAGACTGACAAGACGCTTCAAAAAATTGACTTACCGATATCTTCTAATATATCAATTAACAAATCTTAGAAATCATCAGAATTGTTTATTAGAGCTTAAAAAATCAAAATGTAAAATTTGAAATCAAACAATTGAAGAATGAATTTGTTAAAAAAAATTGAAGAGTGAGGAGTGTCCCGTCAATCCTTGTATCGACTGGTGATTTCATTGAGCCAAAGTGACAACTTCTCAAATCGTATTCCTACAAGTATAACATCCGGTTTCTCAGCTATGTAAATACACCTAGATAAATTGAAATTTATAATTTGACCCAAACAAAATCAATTTACCAGCTTTTCCTTCTAAATGGTGTAAATCCAAAGAAATCCCATCGTCCTCTCCAAGGACGCATAACTGGAAGCATCAAAAATAATCAATTTACCCTCTGACTGGCTCTAAGAAGTATACATCATCCTAAATATTACACTCAAGGCACCAGAACATAGTATAAACGATTTCCACCCCTAAAATATCTTCCACAAACCCCGACCATCATGTGCAAATGCCCGATTTGGGGTCCTTGAATCAGACGTTTTCAACATAAAATCAAGGTAGAACCATTCTAGCCTGAGTATCTCTATATTTCCCTCGAGCATAAGAAATAATTGTAATAAAATTGTGTCCAGTGGGGTCATCTATTGTCTCCTTGAAATTATTGTCTAGTTACTCCTTCTGTTCGGTTCGATTTGCCTCTTGCCGGTCCATTAAGCCAAGTAGCTTGCTCGTTAAAATGGGTTTTCGCGTCTGGGAAGACGTCAGTCCAACATCTCTTCATGGACGTGGATTTGTAAATGATCGTATTCGCCTTTGGTTGTCGATCATCAAACTGGAGCAGTGTTAGAAAGTCAATCATCAAATTATGAAGTAATCAGAGTAATACTGGTTTTGGCTCAGATGGTTGAACATCTGCGTAGTTCACCGGAGCATTATTGAGTAGGTTGCTTGGAGACATTGTACTGGGTTCTGCTGGGCTGTCGGTTTATGATTGGAAGTTGATTGACGAATTGAATACTGGGTTCTCTTCCGGAGTCTGTATGGTTTTGAATGTTCTTGGACTTTGCGGATACAATTTTGTTGAAGTTTGAGGAATAGAAAGCAAGTCCAGGACGAGATGACTTATATATATTTCGAAAAAGCTCCCAGTGATCTGGAAAACAAACATAAGTCATCACCCATTCTTAGGTATATAGTTGTGAAAGCGATCATGTTCGTTTTTGGCACGCTGATTAGCTGCAAATGCCAGGTTCACCTGCAGAAGCAGCTGTAGATTTAAAAAAGGCAAGACTAAATTATGGAATTATGGAAGCTCACGATGCGGCAATGATTATGATAAGTTTTGTAGTCAAATTCAGCAAATTAGATGGTCCATAGAGAAGAAATATTGACTATAGTGTACCCCATTGAAAGATCCAGGACAGTAGGAACGCGTTTCTGTCTAGCAAAACCACACTTTTCCTTGATAAAGACCAAATTAGAGTATGGTGAGGCTGGAGCAATTAATGCACGCTTTGATTGTCTATCTATACTACTGCAGTCAGGTTATTAGGGGCGCTTCTACATATATCCTATGAGCTGTCTGCAATGCCCTTCTCCAAGCAAACCCCGCGTAACATCGTTGCCAAGAGAGTGGGTAGCTTCTCCTCCCTCGGAGCCCTCACCCATGGAAGGACACAATTTTAATCACGCATAAGTCTTCAAAGGCAACACAATGGTTATAGATAAACCAATTGTGACCGAATTTATGGGGGAAAAAACGTACCAGCTAATCGGTTTTCGGCACGGAACGGCACATATTCGTTTCATGGATGCTTTATCAGGCTTCAACTATAAAACGTAGTTTATGGACTGGTCATGATCATATGTGTGATGCCAAACGCAAGTATTTCGGTTTTTTATAGTTCTGGTGGTTTCAAATTGCAATATCACTCTTCCTAGAGGGCTCTTTTTGGCGCGTAGTATCTAAGGAATTTATTCCAAGGCTAGTATCAATACAACAGTATCTGTGCGCTTGCTACGCCTTGCTTTAATGATAAGTGTTCTCGATGAACAGGGAATAATGACCTACTTTGGCGACGCTAACTTAAAATGAAGCCCCTCCAAACTCATTGTGGTGCTGGTATAACATTTTCCTGTTTACTGATCTACTGCGGCCTAGCTGTGCATCATTCTTCAGTTTATAAATTCATAGACAGTTCTACGGGTCAAAAATAGTAAAGGAGACAGAGAATTCGGCGAAGAGTAAATTAAACAACATCGCTACGTAAACTTATACAGCCTACCAGTCTGGAATGGGAGCATATAACTGTGAAGAACTAGCGTAATTTAAAGCTCTTCGCGTCCAGCTAGAACTAAGACGCATCTTTCCGGGGTGAAAAGTTCTAGAATCTATGCGGCGCTTAATGCTTATATGAGCCTCCGGCTTACTATGTAATTTACTTTGTGGATAACCTTATCAAGGGCAATATGACTCTTCCGTCCTAGGTAGCCCTTCGGGAAAAATTGCAGACTCAGTCCGCGGTCTCAACAAAAATAGTTGACCTGTGGAAAAGAACAATCAGTCAGGGTAGTGGTGAGATACTCCGCCTGTGTTAGATATGATGTCAGGGGGGAAAGAGATGAGAAAAAGTCAAAGTGGCACTTAGAATTGAGGCTGGTAAACCTCAGCCAGCATGGTCGTATGGAGTCGATGTGTCGGGTGAGGAGTAGATTTCTTTCAATTTGTCTTAAACAATCATAACAACATAATTCCTGCTAACTGAATATATTACATTCCTTTGTGATTTTCGAGTTCCGACTTCAGAATAGAATATGCTTCGGATTCGAGTTCTCTACGCGTGATAGATTACCGAGATTGATTTGAAACATTCAACAAGTGTTGGAATACAGCCTTGCAAAGAGCCACAAGCGAAAAATCTTGCAAGCTGCTTGGTATTATAGAGCCTTGGCATACGATACTTTCAGACCGCAATTTTGGACGTATAAATGGCATTCACCAAGTCCACGAACGGTCCAAATGCGCATTTCGTAATCAATCACGTTTCAACAGTAGAGAAACTTTGGTCCTCGGGCTGGATTCGTTCACTAAACGGATTCATCACATGACAGGCATTTTGATTGCAAAGTTCCCCCTTGTCGCGTTACAACGGTGTTGTCACTGATAACTGTTGTATTCCACACATACCTAGTAGTGTGCAGGGGTAGAGAGTCAGGTGCACCGACAGTCCCTCGCCGCGCATCATGGCAGACAAGCGTTTCAAAATCGTCATAGTACGCTCAGAGTAGACAATTCTTTTCCAGATTGATCTTTCAAGCAGCTACTAAGCTACAGATATTCGATTCAGATTAGGCACTTCAAAAACTTCCTGGAGTGACATATCTTCTCTATGAGATGGTACTCACACCATGCCCAGCTTGGGTCATAGAAATGGATGAGTTCTGAGCGCAGAAACAAAGAAAAGTTCGTTAGATATTCTACTGGTCTATATATGTAAAGCCAGCAGTCAGGTTGACCCAAGGCTTGTGGCATCGGGCCGAATTGAATATTTCCAGTTGAGAAAAGCCATACCGGGTCTAATAGTGGAAGCGAAATCAGTCTCTCAGTACTTGTAAGTCCCTCGGCATTTTCGACCCGGATCGCATTCACAAAGGTGTTGGTATTGCTATATATCCAGACTTGCGTGTGCTATCTTGACGTTTCAAGAAATTGTTCTAGTTTCATCAAGTCACACAATCTCGCCCTAGACTCTCTGTGTATGCTCTATGCCACAGGACTCTATATATTCCAGAGTCACAAACTCTGCCAGGAACAAGTGGCATGTATCAGTTTCAACGTAACAAGATGGTAACGAGGCTATATGAGTTCATATATGTGGCGTATTGTCGAATGTGAGAAACATGACTACATCTCCGGGTGAAGCAAATTTGAGAATCGTTGTTAAAAAATTTCTTTTCAAAGGATATTTCAAAAGCAGAGATGTCATATGGAGAGAGAAAAACAAAACTGGCAGAATGTAGTACCTGAAATAGTTTCAATATATCAGAAAATGGTTTTGCGACGGAAAATAGATTACCCCTCGATTAAGACCCACACCTGCTCGGATGAATGGTTACGATCATAAATCAAATGTCTTGAAAAGAGACAACTTTCAAGTCTTCCGCTACAAATCTTTAATGATGCTTTGCGTCCGCTTTTAGTATCAGCCACAGCTCCAATTGGAAGGAAAATGCTTCATTATGCGGCCCAAGCTCATGCTCTTCATGACGAAACCGAATTCAGATAGTTGCAAGCCATTGCGTTCTTCATAATAGCCAAGACACATTTGCATTCTCCTGCCGAATAAATATATTTTACTTTCCCATCATTCCAAATTCAACGCCCATTTTTTCGATCTATCAGCTAAAATGGTGAGATTAATAGAGTGATATCTCAAAGGAGGAGACACAATTGCAACGCAAAGTCAACGACGTCACAAAAAGCGTTCTCTTGGGAAACAGCACGAGCTTCACATCTACCCAAAAGCTCCTCAAGATCACAGTTCTTGATTCTGAATCAATCTTCTTGAATGCACTGTGAAATGCCAAACACGTTGACCTGGTCAAAACCATCAATTTCCATCGAAGAAAACGATCGAGAATAATGGACAGACATAGGAAGAGTGACCTTCGAGAAGTTTGTGCTTGCCGCATGCTTCAAGCGAAATCTCATGTAAAGAATCGAGACGACGATGCTTCAAGGAGAACTTGCAAATGAAACAAGACCCGTTGAGCTTTGGTTATATCGACAAACATGCCACAACACACTTAGGGTTTAATCCAATACACCACCATGACAGATATACCCAGAACCCACGATTCATCCCATTCTACAACTTCCTCTTCATCGCCACAACCACACCCAGAGAACCATTCTCAAGAATCCAAATACCTACTCCCTACAAGTACAAAACACAACTCCTCGTCCACCCCCCCCCCCCCCCCCTCTCTCCTCTAATATTCCACTCTCTATCTCCTCCAGTAAGAACTGCCATTCTTTTACACACTCACACTCATTCCTATAATTACCATTACAATGCCATCCCCAAAATACAACCACAACCACATACCCGCACATTCAACACACGCGCCAGACAACGAATGTTGTCGGGACATCGATCATGTGATCGAAGAGGGCACTGTATTAGCTAGAGCCGCGCTAGCGCTTTCATATATCAAGTACTAGCTTCCCATAGATAATAATGATCAAGAACGAATACAACCACAATAGACTAAAGTACTTACTCTTATCAACCAAGTTGATACCAACAAATATATATCCGATAGAAAGTTTCCCATAGTCATACTTACCAGGTATATATCACATCATCCACGATTTCACCCAGCAATTAAAAGACCAAAATTACAATTCTTAGAAAGCTATCTATCTACCTAGGTGAGTATCTCAAACATGGATACAATCACCAAGTCATTTTCGCATAAAATTTTCTTTTACTCTATTCCCATTTCTTCATTCTTTCATATTCCACCCTTCTCAACTGCAATATCGCTACACCATTCCTCAGGATTTCTCGCATTTTTCGCCCACAAATGGACTCTTCCCCCTCCCTCATATACATTATCACCTTATCAACGCACACCATTATACCATCACACATACAATCACGAATCACTACCAGAAAAAAAAACTAGAGAAAAGACTCATCAAGCCAATCCAAATCTTTTAATCCATGAATTACTATTAACTAATTGCTTCTTGCCTCAAGGCGGGTATCACTTAACATAACGCTTCAATAAGACCTAACAACGCTTCGTGAAAACAATATAACCATCCATCCACTTTCTTCTCTTTGCATCCCTCCACATCGCATATCCACAACACACTTTCTCTCCCTGTTTCAAATCTACAGATCCACCCTATTCCTGCAGTTTGCCACACCTAAACTCTGATCACGACCCCCCATCCTATTGCCCCGGCCTCCCTAATCGCACAAGCTAAACAACCTCTCCCCTTCCTACTGACTAATGCATTCCATCCCCTTTCTGCACATAAAGCTCTTACCAACATCTCCGCATCACTGCCAAATTCTTTTTTCGTTCCCCCACTTCCAATCTCCACTTCCAATTCCAAATCCACATCCACCTCATCAGGAGGCGAAGGGGGTAATATTGTACTCGCACAATCTATCACCAAAACTTTTGGGATATTGCTTGTAGTAGTATGAGCACTCGCCTGTATAGTTGCCGAATAAGCTCCTTCGACTGGTGACCTCGGTGGTGAGATGAGTAGAGAAGAAAGAGATTTCGATGCTGGGGATGTGACTATGTGTTGGAGAGGTATGATTGCGTATGTGAAAGCTTTGTGGAGGGGGTGGCCTATGTTTCGTTAGTATTTCCATGCAAGAATAGGAAAATATGCAACACATACCCATATTCGGATTAGGAATTTGATCGCTTCCATCACCATTTTGTTGGAATAATGGACTTGTAGGAGACTTCAGTACTTCGATGCTATGAGATTTTACACATGGATGAGCGGTAACGAAATGAACATCATGAGTCAGAGCAACATTGATTTCCTTCTTATCATCTCCATCAAGACTTAATAGAAATCTCATCATTGCAGAATATGTTTTGATACTTGGCGCTGTTGTTATTTCTGTCTGCGGGGTTGGCTCTTCTTCAGTAGGCGTTGTCTCATCTGAATCAACAGCGAAAAGATCTAGTGACTCAAAAGTTATCGACGGAGAATTCAATGTCGGGGGATCGTAAACTGCGACAAAATCACCCGGGAGTATTGATGAAGGATCTGCTCCACCAATAACACTTCCATCCCTTTCAATAGTAGCTTTTTGAAGTATTCTAGGGGTATCTGAGGTAGCATCTATCACTTCATTTGTCAGCTCATCGATTGATTGAATACATGGTGAAGGAAAGACTTGCCTTCTAGTGATGCTGTATCAACATCTATATTAACCCAAGCCTCGCCAGAGATCCCTCTAGGTTTAACATTCGATGATATCCATCCCATACATTCAGACGAGTTTTTACCAGCAGCCAGAACTCGACCAATTATACAAGCTGTGCTCCAAAAACTTCTTTGGCCAAATACAAACCCACCATACAGGTTGGCCTCATCTCCCAATTTCTCAACTGCAGCATCATCGTTTTCTAATAATGTTGAGATTAAAAAATGGCTTAGACCTTCACCAGGGAGCATCAGGCCACTGATGTAAGAATTTGACAGCCATCCAGAAGAATGTATCAGAGCAGACATTCTCTGTGTCGATCTTGATAAGCCTCGTCGCGGAATAGGTCGTTGGCTCATGAAATAGGAAGTTTTTTGTGTTGAAACCGACATCGGTGTTCCAGTAGATGGAGTATTTTGTGTACTGTCGGAAATGTATATATCATTTGACGAGACCTTTTCGTTCAATTTATCCAGATGAGGCCATTTTAATTTTTGAGCGAAGTGTAATAGTCCGGCTAATTGTCGAGTCTCATTCCTCCCACGAAATGTATATGTTTGGACACTTTCGGACGGTGCACTTTTCTCGACAGAGGCTGATGCTCCAGTCAACGATGCTAACCACCCAGAAGCTTTCCTCTCTGGAATGATTTCGGAAACACTTTGTTCAATGCGGATGTTTTCGAGCCAGGATCGAGCTAAGATAAGAGACCACTTAACACTGGGCGTCATACTTTTTTCGAGTTTTTTGACATCAGCAGGTTTAGCGGGCTCCAGGCCATTATCGATATTCTGAGACACTGTATCAAGTCGCACTAACAACTCACACGAAAGTAATATTTGCAACAACAGCCAATACTTCTGGTCTTCAGATTCATTCGTGAATTCACTATTGCTAGAGATGCCGTCTCCTAGATCACTTTCGAGTTGCTGGCCCCACAGTATCTGTCCAAGACGAATTCTCCATTCGACAAAGCTAAAATCAACCCAAATATTAGGTTCAGCTAAGACCTTCACAAGTACCTCGATTTGTACCTGCAGGCTATAAGGATCATCTGTATCTGTAACTCTAGAAGGCGGAAACAGAATCTGTGTGAAGAGCTCGGAATATAACTCGACAGTAGAGCGGCTATGCATTTGATCCTCGTGGTAAGAAACACCAATGTCCATGAGATGTTCATAAACAGCGGGCTCATCGAGAGGTCTTATTCCATTCTTGCCATTTGCGAATCCCCTTCGCCTATAGAAAAGTGAATAGAGCCCAGCATCAGGCTGTATTTCCTCAGGTTCGTTCAACGCATCGGCTACACCTAACTCCAAAGCCGCTTGGTACCCCACAGTTCCCCTTTCAATGCCCTGCATACTGAGCATGTTCGGTCGTTCGCGACATCGTGGCATGAAATAGGCACGGCGTTTGCTAGTAACCTTCGCACCTTCCAGACTTATCGGGGCTTCTCTCGTAATATGAGGCCACGCTGTGATACAACCCCATGCTTCGTCTTGTATTTGCACATGATCGGACAGATCTCGTATCTGCAAACTTAAATCCCAAGGGAAAGCTATCTTAGGATACGGTGCGCTTGTATGATGACCTTCAGATCGTGCATAAAATTGAGGAGCTCCAGAAAATAGTTCGCGAAGCTCTTGATCCGTAAGAGGTGAGATTATTCTATCTAGTTTCTTGTAAGGCCTAGAAGATATCGCTTCCGAAGACGCAGACTCCTTGATTGAAGGTGGTGGTGGCGGAAGAGGTTTATTATGATTCGACATGGGACTTGAAGGGTTGGTTGTGGGAGTTTGTATTGGGATTGTCTGGTAACGACGAGTAATATCAGCGTCATTCCAAAAGTATTACAAAACAATCACCGGTGATTTAATAGAAAAGTAAGTTACCACGGACTGCTCCTTCCCCGGTTTATCTTTGGAAGAGAAACTAGAGATTTTGAAAAGGTTGCGAAAGAAGTTGCGCTTCGATTTTCTTTGTAACTTCTCTGGAGTCACGCTCAAACTCAAGCTCATGCGATTCTCATTCTGACTTTCACTTCTATGCTTCAGAAGAGAAGATATTGAAGGCATCTTGGAAGTGAAAGGAAAAGCTATTGCGTAGTAAATTGTTAATGGTCATCAGATCGATCAGCATGCAGGAAACGCGATTGGGTATAGCAAAAAATAGATGTAAGGAGCAATAGAAATGGATATAAATGAGGAGCCAGTTATGTTGACAACCTGGTATGCGGGGAGCTGCATAAGAAGAACGTTGAAGTAAGAATAAGGTGACCAAACAAGTGCAATGAAAGATACTTGTACGAGCAAAATGGCATATACAAGAAGTATTAATATTCGGAAAGATTTCCGAATCCCACAATCCTGCAATGAGAGTTGCAGATTTGTTGTGGTGGTGCAGCATATAAGTATGTGAGTACCTAGCAGGCAAAGTAATGTAAGGTAAGCAGCTATCAATCAATCAATCAATCATCAAATCATCAATCACATCCCTCTTTTTTTTTGGTTCCAAGGCAGTGGATGATAAAATGCGTGGTTAAGCAACTTCAAGCAAGGATTCACGACTCTGTATATGCAGTCGGTGACAGTTGCATAATAATACGACATATGCCCAGTGCGATACGGTCCTCCGTGACTGTAGATTGCACTGATATGTATGTATTAATCTCTCTCGTCGGTGAAGTGACTCAAGTGAGTGACTGATGAATAAGTAAATGGGTGAGAGAACGAACGAATGAATGAACGAGTGAGTGACTGACTTGAGTGACGTGTAGGAAAAGAAAAGAAAAGAAAGGGTCGTGAGAAAGAAGGAAGGTGGGGTTGAGGTATGGGAATGCTTACCTTGAACATCCATCGATCCATATCCAAATCCATATCCATATCCATATCCATATCCATACCTTGAACTTTATTACTAGGTCAACTAGGTCGACTAGGTAGGGAACAGGTAGGGACTTATTACAATACTAATTTGATAGTTACCATGGATCTTTGCATCTTTATTTACCTTCCCTGTCTTCCCTGCTTTTCCAATGAACGACGAGGACAACACCAACAACCTTCTATCTATCATCCTCTCTTGTTGGTCTCGGCCATTATTTCCAGAAATGTTTTAGATATCTTGGACCTTGGGCAATAGTCGTACGAACTTCATTTCCGATAAGCTTATTCGATCATTTCTCGCGTTTGTTGTTTGTTATTGTTTATGCTCCAGATTATCGGAGAATACACTTTGATGCTTCATTTGATTGGAAGGGAGGCGTTACGAACATTGGATGTAATTGTTACTCCGTATCTTTCGTGTGGCGTATGGAAGTGCCGTAGCCTCAATCAAGACATTTTTGATAGCCCTGACATGACCATCATCAACTTCCCCAATCTCTCGTTTTCGTTTCACTTCTTCCTATCTGCGGAATTCCTTCTCTTCTCTTCTCTTCTCTTCTCTTCTATGTTTTGTTGAGTAATGTTCAGCTGACTTTGATTTCTAGCAGTCTTCTGCAGAAGCCCACTAGCTGCACCATCAACCAACCTCCTTTTAATTGACGGAGCAGTCCTTCTAGATTCCCGTTGGCCAATACCCATAGTTCGGGATAAAGCTGACGTTATTCCGCAGAATTCATATTCAACCCGTCAGACTAAAGTCGGATCTGATGGCAATGTCTGATGATTCAATATAAATTCAATGTAGAAGCCCTGGAGGTTTCAGGAGTTGTGAGTATGTAGTTCGTGGGTGGCTCAATAGATCAGGGTGCATTGTTTTGGAGCTATGATCAATTTCCGCCTTTTGCATGTATTCTGGCAAATCCTCGGTGCCATTTTCGATATTGGTAAAACAACAACATGTACTACAATACTTTCTAGAGCTTAGGGAATACTTGTACGCAGAGTCAAAACATCGGATTTATGTGAGCTTATGAGGTGGTACATTGTTTATCTCAGTTATTCCATCCATTGCAAAGGATTCAGAGGGGCTGTGTTCCCAAGACTCGTAGAGTCGTGGAAATCCCGCGCTACGTACAAATGGCCAAACTAAATGTTCCAAGACACGTACGTCTACAAATGGAACCGCTCTTCCAGCGGGGGAGTGGAGAGTGCAGTTATAAGTGCCATTAGATTGAAACGCTCCCATGGAGCTGTCTTGAAGACTGACCGACATGCAACTTAGCGGTGTCATGTTGTCTCTCACTTTATAGTGTTGTCCTGATTACCATCTCTGATTGAGCGCATTTGACATTACCTTTTTAAGTGCAATCGGCATCTGTCAAGTATATAATGAAAATAAATATCTTCGGATCTAGTTAAATATCGACGTTCAGCAAGTGCTAGCCTTGATAAATACCCACGATCTGATCATTTCATCCCACAGTTACGGCCCATACTTCATGATTGGTCTCATCAAAAGAGATATGCCTATAAGAATATCAAGGAACAATGAAAATATATCAAATGTCAATGATAAGAGATAACAATGAAATCGCCGCCGTTGGAGATTCTCAATGACACCATTTCCATAGGTGAAACGACACTACCAAAACAATTAGGAGTGAGCTTAGCTGCTTGAACAGCACCTTTATCATTCTCGATCACCGAAATGAATATTGGCTAATATTTTATATACATCCTAAAAGTCTTCCTAAGTTTATATTTTGAAGTTAAATTTTCAATAGTGGCGTCCTATTCTTCCTTCCAAAGTGATTGCAGAAACACCTAACTCTGTTTCTGTTATTTCCCATATCTTTGATGGGGGGTTAAAAGTTCATGTATTTCTAACAGTAATCACGCTCTTTGACTTCGGACGAGCACTCGAGAATAATGTCTTGAAGATATAGATATTTTTCCAATAGGCACTACTATCCTGTTTCTACTCAACGAATACTAGAGAATAGTATCCTGGAAATATACATTGGATCAAGACTAACAATATCTTCGCATGTCAATTTCTCAGTATTCCGGTTTCAACCAGTCATTTCTTGACGCTGATTTGGCCTATCAGACCACACTCTTGTAGTATCTAGGCTGAAATTTAATATTAATAGAAGTTCAATTTACTGCACAGATGAAAGTTGCGAGTCCTTGAAAACAGATTGTGCAATATCCAATTGAAATATTTCGAGATCCAATTCTAAATGTCGTCCAATTCATAATAACAAAAACCATGTATCTATTATTTATGGCCCAGGTATCAACCATCCTCATCCACGTATCTCCTCTCCTCTACTCCTATCTTTTCCACTCACCCTTCATCCCCTTTGCCACCCTCACAATCTCAATCATCCCATCCCAAATTGGATATACAACCACCGCCAAAATCGCAAAGAAATGCCACACAATCGCCATCACAATCCATCCGCTAAAGAAACTCTTCGTAAAGATCCAATCACGGTAGAGTGGTATCGGCCACAGCACAATCGTAACCAATACATTAACAACAAAGAATATACTAGCAATTTTCAGCCATTTATTGATGTGTTTGATTATTTCGTCTCCGAATGGGTGGACCACATCATCAAGGGGAAGCTGGGAGTTTGGTATTATAGAAGGAGGAGAAGTAGGACCGGCTTCATCTCCGCTGGTGGTGTAAGATTCTTTCTTCGATTCATCTCCCGCATGAGCGACTTGGTTAACAGCTTCATTACTGGGGATTTTAGATGTCAATGAGCTGTTTGCTTGGCTTTTGTCCTCAATGAGTCCAATTCTCAAGAACTCGCGCCAATCAAATTTGCTCGGCCAAATCAACGAAATCACAACCGAGTATATACCCGGTGAGAAAAATGAAACGATAGCTCCATACAGCCCTGGGATCTGTACCTGCGTCGTTTGGATATTCAAGGCACCAGACCAATACCAGGAGAGACTGAGCCAAGTAGCTACACCCGACATCAAACCCAAAATCGGTGCTAGTATAGCTGCTAGCTTTGTTTGTCGCGACCAGAGAAGTGTGAAAATCATGGGGAGGATACCCGGACAAGCGATGATGGGACGGAAATACGTTGACCAGTTATTTGTCGCTCCTGCATATTCGAGCATGATTGCGAAACCAGCCATGAAACAGCCGTGAAATACGACGCCCCAATGACTGACTTTGAGGGTTTTGCGATCTGAGGCCGCGGGATTGATATAGGTGCGGAAAAAATCGAGAGAGATGATACTGCTAACTGCGATCATGGATGAAGAAACTGTACTTGTGATGGCCATGAATACAAGAACTAGTAGACCTGTGGTTGCGCCTTTACCTAACAAGGAGCGAAGGACGTATGGCATTACCATTCCGGAATTTACTTGGGTGATGGTTAGAGTGTTAGGATAGTCGAACCAGATGGGAGTTTTTTCAATTGCGCGGGCGCTAAGACCAATAATGGTTCCTGTACACCACGGGATTGCGATAATAACGATTGATACAAGATCGTATGCTGGAACTGTCGAGTGGACTTCAGATGCGAAGGATTTTTGCCAGAATGCGGTGTCCATGAGGACAAGGGCAAGATTGCCGAATTTTAGGACGAGACCAAATAAGACGGCTTTGGAGGTGATTAGAATAGGACTTTAAACGAGAGGGGCGTAGCAAGTCTACATATTTAGCTTACCGCTCTTGGACTTCATCGTTAGAAGTGATCCTTCATAGTTGCCGGGGATATAGTCATCTGTAGCTTTGACTTTCTCATAGAGTCCTGATATACCCCCAATATGCTCATTGCTCAGAACCGCAAGCGAGAAGTAGATCAAGAGTACCAGAGCAACGGTAGTATGTAAAAAGTCTGTCAAGAACGTCGCTTTCAACCCTCCCACAGCCGTATAGATGACAACTACAAAGCAAAAAGATCAGCATCAATCCTTCACATTCCCATTCCCCTCATGAACTTCGTCAACATTACTCACCACCAGCCGGAATCAACACACATGCCGCCACAACATGCATACCCGTCATACCCGTAACCAACTGCGCCCCCGCCAGAATCATACTGCCACAGCCAAAAATATTATTGATAAGATTCAGCACAATAAAAATCCAATGCGCATAGTTTCCATATCTCATCCGAATAAATTCAAGCGAGGTATGTGCATACGGAACCCTCAATTTCGCTACAATACCCAGCACAGCCATGAGTGCGATTTGGAAGGAGAGACCGCTGGCCCACCAGATGGGGAGGGCAATGCCCCACTTGTACGTGTAGGCTGCTGAGAAAACACTCTCGTTGATCCACATCCTAGATGTATGGGTTTGGTTAACATTGGATTCTCTTGGGGAGGGGGTCGGATCGGAATGGGAGTGAATTATGGATGTATGGAATTACCAGCTTGAGAAGACAGCGGATGCAGTGAGTCCGGTGCCGACAGAACGATTTGCTACCATGAACATTTCGGATTGATCGCTGTCTTCGGAGAGATATCTTTTTTGGATGCGAACGGCTGCGAGGATGATGAGACAGAAAAGGATTGATAATCCCACAATGATGCCATAGCCGTCGGCTTGGGTAAGAAGTTGTACGGCCATGTTGAGAGTTGAAATTGCTTAGCAGTCACCTGTAGAGTTCGGGATAGACTTGGATATATAGTATATATGAGTACCATTGTCGAATATATGCGGGCCAGATCTAGTCTCCACAAGCATGGGTGATGTGAAAATTGACGCACATGTTATCATCAATCGCAATGGGCACCATCACTTACCATGCAAATTTAGATAAATGAGTACCGTGATAGATGGCTCACTCTTGAGTGATTATTGGTTGATAACATTTTTTATTCTTCGTGATACACAAACTGGGTGGGATCGACCAATTGCGTTCATGCAGCTAGTGAGCACGCAAGATATACCAAAGCACCATCATCACCCCGGGATAAGATATTGTGCATTAATCCGCACGACTTCATCTCAAATATCGGAACATTCTTAATGGTTGGGTTTATTCCGGTAAAAATAAGCTTCTCGAAGACGACTTCGCAAAATCGATGCTGGATGATTGATCTCCGACTAGAAAGGAAGTACTTTCCTTTCAGAAACAAGTAGTTGTCACATTTAGCTAAGGTCTCCAGCGCTCAACTTCGATGGAAAAAAACCAAAGTTGACGGATGAGAATCCGAGGACGGCAAAATAGAAATTCTTACAACATAAAAAAGAAGCTTCTTCGTACAACCGTGAAGCAGTCTGATTTCAAGGATAAGTAATTTATTTTCAAGCCCAGATCAAGCATTATATTGAAGATTCTTTAGACTTCTAACAATAGTCGCCAGCCTCCAAAGTCAAATCAAAAAAAAACGATTTTCGTATGATACCATGTAGACTGCTTGATGCTTGAGTTGAAAACTATACTTCATATCCGGGATTTAATGTGAGAATTTGCGGCCTCGAGAAGATTTATATATCCATACGAGATATCACAAGATCGCTTCTGACTTCAAGGGGCCATCTTGAATCGATCACTCTGTACTTCTCCAGTCATCCAGTACCTCGATAACGGTTCGCGTGTCAATCTCAAATCCACGTCGACGTCCAGGGGTACGCACTGAATAGACCACACATTGAAATGAACAAATTTGCATGGTTTGTGTCATTAAGATATCCTCTCATATAAACTATAACGCCGTAGAATGCTCCTTGGGTATTGAACGCCGTTCCATCAATATGTGTCAACTAAAAGTTTCCTGCGCTTTTCTCTTAAGCTGGGGGTGTTTCATGCACAACAACGAGTATGTATTTTGGATCCGGGACAATCACAAGCTCATGTTTCTTCGTTCGTAGACGCAGGAGTTTAACCTCATCCTAATATTGTGTCAGGTTGGTATTCCCACATCACAGTTCGATTTTGACAAACCTCAACATCTAGTCCCTGCACAAGTCCCCCGGCTGATTTCACAAAATCCCATACCATAGAAGCTAATTCTTCGATACCTTGGCTCTCCGTGTTGGCTGCTGTACCCGAATCTTCAGTCACAACACTAGTATTGTTTGATCTAGAGGTTGAACGGAAGGCCGAAAACGATCCCGAGTTCTGGATGATGGTACCACTAGAGGTTTCAAGCACCAGTGTCGCCTCTACCCCGGGTTTCTTAGAGAGTCGTGCTAAAGTCTCCGCCAAAGCTTCAGCGCCGCTGCCCTTTGAACACTGTCAGTGAATGGTTGGGAAAAATAAAGTTCAATATAACGTACAGTAAGCTGGTCGGTCATTTGAGGCATTTTTGTTAATGTAGTACAATCAGTGAGTTGTGGAAACAAATTGATGCTGTAAACAATTAATGATACTCATGTGCAAGGGTAACATCGGAGTGCGGCGTAACCAGTTCTTCCGGGACATTAGTCGGGAACTTTTCTATTTTGCAGTTTCCAGATTCTTTCGAAGGCATCATTTTCCATAATAGTAATTATTCACAATGGGTTCAAGTGCGAGAAAAAAGAGAGAAAAGAAGAAGGACTTTCAAGTAAGAACATTATCCCCAACTTTTGTTTACAAAATTGACTTAATGTTTCCAGAAAGTAAAACTTCGAGTTGGCAAGACTAAAGCAAAAGCCGACAACTTTACAGACACCAGTTTCAAGTCCAAATCAATTGTTGTAAATCAACAGTCTCTTACAACTGCTGCACCCTCGAATGTTGTACAGTTCACCCATTATCTTTCACTGGCATCGACCTCGAAATCAGACACTCAACGAAAGGATGCGCTCTCATATCTTACGACTCAACTCTCTTCTCAACCCGTAAACGAATCAATACCCCTCCCAACTGCTGTTATTCTCCCAAAACTCCTACCTTTAATCCTTGATGGAAACGCATCTGTGCGAACACAGCTTCTCAAATTCCTTCGACTTTTACCACCTGCAGATATCGGTGATCGAGCAGAATCCGCCTTACTGTACACAAGAGCTGGTATGACACATTTGGCCACCGAGATTCGAGTAGATGCTTTAGCCGTACTAGAATGGCTTCTTCAAGTTGCAGGAGAAGATGTAGTTTCATGTCCGGGTGGATGGGTGAAAACATTGAAAAGTTTCATGTCAATGATAGGCTGGACTACAAGTAGCGCGACGTCAAAATGGTCATCTGCAAGTAGAGTTAGTTTCGGAATAAGTAGGGCTAGTTTTGAGAAGTCAGGAAAAACTCTTCCAAGACAATTGATGGTGCTTTCCCAATTTCTCAAGGCTGGCCTTGTGGAACCGGAAACGGTTGCGCAGCCTACTACGAATGGGAATAACTTCCCGCTTTTTGATGTCGAGCGACATATGATACCTTCTAGAGCAAACGCATATGCGCATCTCAATCTGTTTGGGTCATCCAGAGATGAAGAAGGAGAAATGTATATTGACAGGGAAGATCGCCAAAGAGTTTTCCACAAAAGATTTGAGGCAGATTTACTCATAGGAGTAGAGCATGCTAAGAGGGAAGCAGGTGAAGCTGGCAGAGCTGCAGCAGTTCTCACCAAAGTTCTACGTGATGGTATGAATGATTATAGTGGCGTTGATGATACCCAATAAAAGGACTTCAAGGTGGAGTTCAAGGTGTTTTACTAGGATATTGTATACAATGCTGTTCAATTCATTTCATCCAATCTTTCGTTTCTTCATTTCCCATTCTAGTTCTGGCTTATCACTTATTTCTACTGTATATGTACCTAGGTGATTCGCCAAACTCAAAACAGATGGCATATGACTCTCAGAAGTATCATCAAACTTGTCCTTCAATAGAAACAACATCATTCTTCTACAGTTTAATTGTATGCAAAGAAGCGCTAGGGGCGAAAGAAGTGCTTATATAGATTTCAGCAATTGCAGAATTTCTTGCAAATCTCAGAGGGACCTCAAAGAATGTACCTGAACATGAAGATATTTCGATGCTTTGAATCCCTTGACGTATCGATTTAGTTAGTGATCTCTCCAAATATATCTTAAACATCAACTCCGTGCGAATTGATGAATCATCTGGAATATTTAATAATGATGAGAGTTTCCTGGAAAGGCTCTTAGATGTTTGAATACTTGAAAGATCTAGACATACAGCTTCAACACTAACACAAAGAAAGTTAGACTAAATGCACCCCACCTTCCGCAAACGCTCTGAGACCAACAAGACCCGCCAACCCACCCAATGCTCTCGTCATGTCCAACAAACACGCGCTTCACTAGCTAACGATGAGATGGCAAACAATGTCTGAACATTACATTTCAGAAAGCATCATTACCAGCTATAGAATAATTTGTGAGTTGGCCGATTTTTATGACTTCCTTTGCCTATGTGTACCTCCATTCGGATTTCTTGTTCGCCCAATGATTCAGAAACTATGCCAAGCGGTAAACGTGTAGTATTGCAAGGCTGTCACAGCTGGCTTTGAATCTCATCTTGCTCAGTGGATTGAAACGGAATGGAAAGCTGTTCAATTAGCTTCATGGGTACTTCAAACATGTTCTTATCGCTTTTCTGGTGTATCAAAACTGTTCCTCTTTGTTGACACGACGTAAATGCAAGTGCAGCAGATCCTCGGGTTCTCATAGGCTCATTATTTCACCCCTTTTTCACGCGATGGCATTGTGTTACTGACCAACTGTTGTAGGTTAATCTAATAATCATCTTGAGCATCACGCCACACACACACACACACTCTCTCTCTCTCTCTCTTCTTTACGGAGACGTCACATGACTCTTCATATCTTTGATATTGCATTTGGTCGATGACTCTTTTAAGCTGGTTGCTACAGTCATATACCTTCCACTCAATCTTCTACCCTGGATTTGAATTCCAGATTTGATTTCGAACATCCGTACAGAAGAAACTGCGACAGTGAGCACTTCTCAATACGTATCCAAGAAAATACTGTCTTTTATTATGACGAGAGTTGCAATTAAGCCAGGCTCGCCTGTCGAGGAAAGGCTAATAAAGAATGAAGATTCTGGAGATGAAACCCTGCAACTGAATTTACCGGATATCGCAGAAGATAGTATTTTTGATGACGTAGATGTCGAAGACGAAGAGTCTGAATACGTGGATGGCAATTTTGAAGGTTTGGTGTTCATCAATGGTATTGAACACTTTGTTTGTCCAGGTAAATTGACAAGTGAAATACTATGTTGATTCCTGCTAATGGAGACGTATAAGGGTTTAAGATCCGACAACTTCCTACACCAATGATCGTCAAAAGGTCTTTAAGAATGCTCTATAATACCATCGTCAAGGGGAATCTCGTATTAGATCCAAACTATCAGAGAGCTAGTGTATGGGACGAAGGGCGTGCTTCGACTCTTATTACTTCAGTGTTGATGGGATACTTCATTCCTCCAATCGTTCTCAATGTCCAAACAGTAATCAACAAATTGAAGGACGACCGGAAAGAGGTAAAGCACATGCGGATCTGTGTTGATGGAAAACAACGCTTGACATCGCTTTTTAAGTTTATGAGCGGAGAGATCGGATTTTTGGACAATTCACACCCGCCAAAAAAATGGTACTATTGTCATCCAACTATCAACGGTGTATTGACACCGAGTAGCAACAGAAACATTTGTCCAGATGGATTGAAGAAGTTTTTCGACGACAAGGTCTTCTGTTGCTATGAGTACGACCATTTGACACAAGAGACTGAAGAGACTATGTTCCAGCTTGTCCAGCGGGGAATTGCTTTATCGCCAGCTGAGAAAATGAGAGCAATGTCCACTGAGTGGGCTAGATTCACTCGCATATATGAGGATGATTATGCCATGGTGATCAACTGTGAGTACCTTGTATTTTACGCGAGGAACATGGCTAATTGGGTGAATAGTATCGAAGCAAAGTCGTGCATCAGGTTTTCGTCTTATTCTCACTATATTTACTATGATTCAAGAAGTTCTTTCTGGACCAGCCAACGGTCGAAGGAGGAAATCTGTGCCCTCACTGCAAGCTAGTCCCCAAGCACTTATGCGTGTCCTAGAAGATCCAGAACCAATATCTATGGGTCTCAAACTCGCATTCAAGGACGTATTCGATAGGTTTGAATCACTGATCAAGTTATCATCTACGAAGTTACCAGACGGCCAATATGAAGTCCAAAAGAACTCAGTATTTGATCCCGCTCCCGAGTTCCTAAAGGAGGCGGATGTGAACCACGTCCGCACTTTTTCACCACTAGAGTTAGTAGCCACTGGTATTCTAATATCATTCCATAAAGACAGGCGATCAGACGATGTTCTTCTTTCAGACATCAAATCCCTACGTCGCTTTCTACGATTGAAGCATAAAGATCTACGAGTCAACACTCAATGCTGGGCCACGGCTTGGGAATTCATCTCTGAGCATGTTCATCGAAATCCCAATCCCCTGAATAATTTTGCACTTCGTTTACAATCGCATCGGGAAAAGAATGGGACTGGTATTCTTACAGAGGGGGGTATGAGGAGGGCAAGATCAAATTCGGATTCCAGTACGCTGTCGAGCTTAGATTCGTTGTTTGAAGCCGAGGTTGAAGGGGGCCGAGATGATTCGAGTGAGGGCCCGGAGAGCAATTCTTCCGTGGCTAGTTCGAGTAAGAGGGTTTCGGTTGATTCTGCGGGTAATGAGTCTTCTAAGAGACTGAAGAGGTAATCTTGCATTGTCGGCGCAATGTTTCATGCTGGTTGTTTCTTTGTGAATCGGCTGACGGAAATTCTGGTTGCTGCATTTTTGGGATCTGGTTTGCCGCATTTGCTCACGGGTTAAAGAATTTTCTAATCAATCTTTTACATGATGGGCAGAATAGCAGTGTTTATGCCGGCGCTAGGCTTCGTGTTTTGGGAACCTTGTTCGTGGCGGTTTACAGCAATGCATCAGGAAGGGTGTACATGGTAGAATTTCAGTTTGATTATTGTATGATAGAGATATAGAGCTTTGGTTAATAAGGATAATACGTAAACAGTTTGAGCTGATTGTGATCATTTTCTTCATGTGAAAAGCGTGTGTCATTGTATTGATTTACTTTCAGCTAGACATCTTAACTAACTTGATGTCAAACCCTTCGGTCACGTCTTGTAGAAACTGGATCATGGATGGATCACTCATTCATCTTTTTAACAAGGACATGGAAGATCAAGATTTAAGGGAAGATACATTGAGCAACGTATAAACAACTATCAAATTTACTAATATACATATTCACACTTATGATCAATCAGTCTCATAGCGATATCCTAGCATCACAACTCCCAAGAACCTCCTAATCCCAATCCCTCAACCGCCCATTCCTTCCATCCTTTCTTTTCTCCTACCAATCTCACTTTCTCCCACTCTTCTCTTTCAACAGACCTCCACTCCTCAATAGGTATCCAACCAATATACGCGCGATCTCCAAATCCTCCTATCCAGTAGATTTCCTGCACAACCAAGCGAACCCACTCACTATGATGAATATGGTTACCCGGTAACCAATATTTAGCATCGGGGTGCGTATCGACAAAACATTGCCTTAGTTCTTGTTCTTCTGCAGGCGAAGTAGTGATGGGTTCTAGGTATCCAAGGATACTGAACCGCGGTTGGTTTGCCGCCGAAAATGCGAATGGGTCTGGCTTAGAGGATATGCGAGATTTAGGAGGGTAAGGAGGGGTCCAAGATAGGGAGAGAGAGATATTTGGGTTTGAGACTGCGTTTTTGAAGGTGGTTGCTATGCTGAGAGCGAGGATGGTAGGGTTGTTAGTTGCCAGTTCACAGTCAGCTATGTAGTCCATGAGACCGATGGGAATATTTTGGAGATTGGAGGGTCGGTTCTCGGAAGTTGATGATGAGTTGGGGAAGATGGTCGAGAGGGTTCCGAGAGGCGTAAGATTGAGAATGCGACGGGCGAGAATGGCACTTTCGCGGGATGTAGGAATGCGATTTGTAGATTCGGCAGAGGATGGATTATTGATAACGCTCTCTGGAGAATAAATGGCGATTGGTATGGATGAACTGCTTGTAAGTTGAAGGAGAGTGCTCAAGAGCAAGGCTCCTAATGGAGCTTTTGGGAGGTACATTGCGAAAGAGCTTCAGGAAGCAGGATAAATGTTTATTAGAAGTAATGGAGGCCAAATGAAGATATATTTATATGATAAATATTCAATATAAAGTTGACAATCACTATGTAATAGTTACATAACAAGATGGTTTATAACCTTACCGCTGATGAGATGTGATGGTACTCGTGAACAAGACTCGGATAACAATCCGAAACTGAAGGGGTCACGGTGATGGCAATGGATCTGATAACGATAAGATCTCTTGGCGTTCATGTGATTAAATATCTTGACACAGCTCGTTATCAATCTGAAATTTGTACCTTTAGAGACTGGAATAAAGAACAAAATCTTCAAAGTTTTGAGATGAGTACAGCACGGTACAGTGTGAGAATAATCTCATAAGCTTATGTATTGATTAATGGAGAAAATGAATTGAAATGTTGATTGAACATGTTCATGAAGTATTTTGGTGTTCATCTCCGTAAGAATTCAAGAACGAGAAGAGAACGTGGCTCGCTCCAATAATGAAATGTCACGTGACTCTAGACAAAGGGCTGCCTAATTTCGAAGCCCTAGCATTTTTAGTGCGAAACACCAAGCGATGGCGCTAGAGTAAGCAGCAAAGAAAGAGTATACTGACGCATCTCACGAATCCATCGACAACCCAACAACTCAGCAACCGCGTACGTATACCCATATTATTTCATCAAATCTACGGTTCCTGCCATCTCTAGAATCGCCCGCAGATTCTCAAATTGATTTCTTCATCTCTGCGAAACCGGCCCATTTGCATCTCAAAGAGAAGAACATCACCGCTTACATTTGCCACTCTTACAGTTATCGGAAATATCAATCGACAATATCCCGATAAACCGCAATCATGGGAAAGGTTCACGGATCCCTCGCTCGTGCCGGAAAGGTCAAGTCTCAAACACCAAAGGTACGATTCTTCTGATATAATTCTCGATTGAAGTCAAGGACATCGAAATGGGCAGGTTGGAGTGGCGAAAAAGATCTTGAGGATCATCTAAGGAGCAAGCAACATGGGAGGATGGAAACGGGAATGGGATACTTTGAAAGGCTACATGATCTTGATGAATCAAATCATGCTAATACGATGTTATAAATAGGTTGAGCCACAAGAGAAGAAGAAGCGCCCTAAGGGACGTGCTGCCAAGAGAGAGAAGTTCGTTCGTCGTTTCGTCAACGTTACTTTGACCGGTGGCAAGAGAAAGGTTCGACAACACTATAAACACTATCGCATTCAAGATGGTTTGCTAATCCAGGAAATAGATGAACCCCAACCCAGGAGCTTAAATAACCAAAAATTGATGGATGGGGAACAAGAGGGGCGTTGCTTGTTACTATACACAAGAATTTCACCACGATGGGTTTACGATTACGATTCGGGAACTAGAGAATATCTACTTCAAGTTCGGACGGGAATCCATTGGTTGAAGGGAAAGCAATCTTCTTTAATGGGCGTATATGTACATTTGAGGAAGTGGTTTGCTGCTGAATTGAGATCAATGTTATCTTGATCTTTCTCCGTCTCAATACTTGTTCATTGGTTTCTGCAGATGTGATGTGATCTTACGATGTTTTCTTACGCTGCAAAATGCTGAAGGCGAACTGGACAGCCCATCTGTGCGGGGCATCGACCGAGGTCTTGAGAAATGGCTATGGACTGGCTATTGGCCAGGGGCACTAGAGATTCTGGCTAGGAATCTAGGTCCCGCAGATTTTCATAGGGATTTGTCGACAATCAACAAGTTTCAACGTCTTCCTCGCATTTCTCTTTCTGTGTTCTGAACACACGCCACCCGTATAACATCTTTGTTTTTTTCTCTTGTACTTGGCGAAATCAAGACCATAATAAACATGCCGTTTGATTCCCTGATCACCATTGTATAGTACCAAATTATCAAGGAAGCGAGCTTTAAAAGTGTCTGTTTCCCTTCGTGTTCTCTTGGATCTTCATTTATATAAGTTGCTAGTTCATCTTCGCTCTCTGGGTGTATAGAACAGACGCTCTAAACTATACTGAGATTTTCTAATAGATTATGACACATGATCGTAGCCTCTCTCTTTTTCCTCCATCCGAGGCTTATATGACTAGTGATCACTCCAAACCCTACAAGATGAAAGGTGTTCAGCATCCATCCGGACGCGCCGTTCGAACCTTACTCGGATATTGAGTTTTTGATGGTACTTGTCCTCGGCTGTCATATCTTCATTCGCTCACCTAGACTTGGATTGTTTTCGCCGTTCATTGGAAATTTCTTGTGTCTTTTCAGGCTTATCTTGCCCGATTCGAGGAGACCAAGTCATCCGGCTTTAACCACTTGCACTCTCAAATAAGAATGTGTTAACCCGAGTCTGGAGAGACTTCTACTGAGTGTTCGACTTCCTTCTCGCAAATGATTCACTTGGTCATGATTTTTAATTTTTCTTTGTTTAAGATATATACCGTATCTTGTTGTCTGATTTCCATCATGCATGGTTCATATCCTATGTACTTGGAATGTGCTCCAGTCGACTCATCATTCGAATCGACAAAACAGAACTGGCGCTCATTCGTCTGGAGTGAGATGGATGTCCGCATGCTTTCTACCAGTGGCAAACACCCGTTGCTACTGGGCTTTTGTTTCGTGAACTACACCAAGAAGTGTATAATTCTCGATTGCAGCTACAAGCGTAAATATCATCTTAGATATAGATACCATCTCGTCATAGACTAAAAGTATATATCACTAGTAGAACATCCGGAAGATATGTGGCCTGTGATCAAGAGATTGAGCGTGTCCCTAGAGTCTTAAGAAAAAGTTGCAGGTCACCAGGTGTATTTGCTATTCCTTCACAGTGTCACTGAGGAATAACTACGGGAAGGGAAATCTGTGCTGAATCTACATGCCCTTCATATTTTACACAGAATCTAAATCGATGCGAGAATTTTTACAATAGACGTTAAGAGGATGAAAGAAGGATATCAACTAGGGGTATCGAATCTCTGTACCTCGTTACGGAAAATTTGATGATTGAATAAATTTCTTGGCACATTGGAGTAGCATAGCGTGGCCAGAATATATGTCTATGTCGCTTCAATTAGTAGATGCAGATGTCTATCGAATATTCACCCCATAAATTCGGATGATCGTCTGTGAGTTTGCGTGGGGGGCGAGGGAGGAAGGGCGAGAGCAGAGGTATATTTTACAAGAAGCTTTTTAGGGGATATCTATCTGTATCGAAAATATAGGGGAAGAGAGAAAGAAAGAAAGAAAGAAAGACGAAAATTCCCTCAATACCACCCACCTCATGAACTTTACCAATCCTCCAACCCTGACTGTGTGTATATCTTTTACTGCTAACCATGTCTACCTATCTATCATTGTTCAACATTCAAGAACTTGATAAAGATTAACATTCCTCTCTCATTCATTGCATTCGCCATGCACAAATGCAGATCAAAGTCAAAATCAGTCAATCAATGAAATGAATCAAGATCATATTATTCTCCAACTACCACTATCTTAGCATCTCAGCTGTCTTCTCTCATATTCTCTGGCCTCTTTCTGTGCACTCTACTACATTCCCATTGCCATCATTGCTATTCCCATTGTGATTGCGATTCCAGCCAACCATCCAAGCGCGAATCTAGATCCATCGACCCAGTCCAATTCAATCCCTTCAACCTCGTGAATCCATCCAGCACAGCCAAGCCAGCATGCTTTCCTCAATCTCTCCATGCCCCAGAAATAGAAGTCCCTGTAACAACCCGTCTATCCGGATATCAAATCATGTCATTAAAGAGCCCCTCAAACCCTTGATGCACTGCTCCGACAAAAAGACCAAAAATCGACATGCAAAAACAATAGTAAAATCGAACCAAGCCAAGGCCAACCCCTATCGTATCCACTCATACGTCAACCAACCCA